TTCCACGTATCGATATGTGATAAGTATATAGAGCAATCAGATTCTGTAAGCGATCTCCTGTACCGAGTTTATGTGATGTAAAAACTAGCTCAAAGCCCTTGAGCATGAGCATGATGCCTGCTTTCGTTTTCTTTTTACAAGGATAACTATAGGGTAAATTAGTTCATTATATCGCAACGTTACATGATGAAAGTTATATGACTTAGCCCTGATTATTAATACCGAGTCTTAAAACAAAACTAGAATGCTCGGGTTTGAGACCATGATCCAATCATGATGGAGACAGATATGTACATAAGTGTATCACTAAGCAAAAAATGAAACCAATAGTACATATGCTCTGTTATTCGTATGGTCTGCACTGGAATAATCATTGTATATAAACCTGTTGCCTTTCGTTTGATGTTGGGGTTCTTGGAATACAGAGATATAAATCTCATTCATAACACCATGTATATTGATTTGCCAAATCTAAATTGTTGCAAATACCATATTTTCGTTTGCCGCAGCTGCCATAAGAATTTGGCACCACATGGACCTGATTACTACTCTTATGCATGCTTGATTTACTTAAGCTTAAACCAAACATCTCAGGATATGCGAGGCTGAGCGATCCTTTGCACGTCAATGCAGGAAGGCGGCTCATGAGGCTTAGTCAAAGTTAATAGCGATCTTTTGAACTTCATAGATTGGAGATTATCGAGCAACATGATTTTCATTTCTAGTCAATAGCCATGTTTGTCCTTCTCAAGTTCCACTAGAAAATGATAATTGGAGCTCATGAGGGACTTGGTTATTAGTTCAACATTTTCCCCAAAGAATCTTTCTCCAACAAAAGCTCCAAAGGCTTAAATGACTGCAATATTAACAACTCACTCCTTCTTGCGGTTTCCTTCAATATAAGCCTTAATGTTTGGTCGCGCCTCAATGGCTTCTCGGAGCTTAACAATCTCCGCAGGTAGCTCAGACTAATCCACAAGTCAGTGACTGTGTAATACTACAGAAATTCTGCAAAAAAGAATAAACTCACTGGCAAAGCTCCAATTCGCTCATCGTTGTCAATTGATTGGTAGACAGCAAAGTCGGCATAGGTTATTTTATCGCCAAGGAGATAGGGGCCTTTGTTCTCTGCGTAATACTTTGCGACGGCGGCATAATAATTTGGGAGGAATTTAGTTTTGTACTCGTCTGAGACATTTCCAATATTTGCTACCCATTGTGCCTATATTTTGTTTTGATTAGTCTATGACAAGAGAAGCAAGTATAAATGGAACTGTGAATTCGCTATGCGCTGCACTTACCCTCCAGTCGATATAGTTGTCAGCCACAGCATCCACCTGGAACTTCTCATGGTTTGTCTCGCCGTCATAGCGGCCGATGTCCCGAGCCAGATATCGCAAAATGGGAATATGCTAAAAGTGGTCATTGTTAGTGCGTCTCCCTTCTGTGATACCCAATGGGATGGGGTTGACAGTTCAGTGGACTAACTTGATTTAAAATGGTGCCATTGATGATGAGAGCTGGCAACTTGCCGGTTCGGGTGATGCCTTGCTCTTTGAACTTCTCTTTCTCAGTAGACCATGTCCCATATGAGTGCCGGATATCTTTGAACTCGATACCAGCATCGCGTAAGAAAATGCTAGCAGTAGTATTAGTTACGCAAACAGTGGCTGCCAGTTTTCCAAAAGCGAGGGGTAAGCCAGTAGGTTAATGAGTGGAAGACTTACCGTATGACTTCACCACGGCCCATAGTACCGAGATCAAAGTAGTGGAGAGTGGGTGTTGTTTCGGCAGCCATTGCGGGCGTTCAAGATGAGTTTGTTGGTTCAGAAAATTGGGTAGTGCGGATTGATTGAGGACTTGATTTTGCTCAATTGAACGCAGTTTGCGGACCCTGGCCTTTATACACGTTGACAGTTGGGCATCAGTTGTTGCGTCGATATCGTTGGGCGTCTCATTGTTGCGTTGAAACTGGGCCTCTTCAAGAGACTGACTAATAGATCCTACGGAATGCTGCTCGCATTGTCCTTCCTGCAGTATCGTTCAGAAAGTGGTGGCGTTTTTGCCGGCTTCCGGGCTGAAGCCGGCAGCAGTAAACGGGAACTGTATCCCACTTCGACCCGCCGGAGATATGCTTGTCTTTTGTTTGGCTCAGCTTGCCGATCCCCTAGCCGCGAGTGGGCTCCATGACTGGAATCTGCTTACATAGCTAGGTCGTGGTCTTTGGACTGGGTGAGAGGGCTGCCAAGGGGGAAGAAATACAAATACATGTACCTACGCCAGCCGAGCATACACTGAATCTGGTGCCCTTACATTGTATGGAGATCAGCCCGGTGTTTTCATTCCACCGCAGGGCTGCGTTTGAACTTACAACACCTATTACTGCTTTCGGCCTATATGAAGGCGGTGAGTACATCTTTAGTCTATTTTTATAAAACTAGCGCTGTGATTCGACGTATGCTCACAATGCCGAAGAACTAAGCAAGCATCATCTTAGCCTTCAGCCGGCGGTGTTGAAGAGCCCCTGTTTTCAATGGTACAACCGAGTTTAGCGAGTAGCCCAGCTACGGAGACACACTGTTCATGTCTTCATCTCTGGTCATGAAAACGTTTCCATTAAATGAGTAGGCAGTGCTCTCGTGCCATTGCTGTGAAGAAAGCCACAAAATGACTGATGGCGTAACCGGAGTGGCCGTTAGGTCATAGGTTTGGAATATTCCAAACCTTGGTGACAATTCAAGCTGTGGCGCAGGCGATATTAGTGCCCATCGTGCCCAGCAAATAGTCTTGTATCGTGCAAAGTAGCCCAAGTGCTGACGCCCGCGCCTTGCTTAGCCCTATACTGGAATCTTGCAAATGATGACAAATCTTTGTGAAGTTCGGGGTAAGATGATGATCTCCTGCATTGTATTAGAATCTGACTGGTCTGCCTTAATTTCGTATCGTTGACCCAGTTATCAATTCTAGTGGTGGATAAATACGTCGTCATCTCGCAACGCAGCGCGTCCACTTTGCTTGAAGGTTCTGGTAAACCCCCGACATCACGCTCATCATCTGCGCATCACCTGCAAGACCGCTAAGTGAGCGTATAAGTGATTGCATCTATCACCATGGACACGAGCATATCCATGGTAGATCGTAAAGCTGCAGCTTCGGATTTCCTGCCACCTACAGTCGTCGACATGTCGATTCGTCAAGATGTACACCAACACCAACACCATGCACCATCAGATCCGGCGGCCGAGCGAAGAGTACGAGAAGCTATTGAGAGAGCGGCAACACGAAATTCGCAACTACTGAGCGAGCTGGAAGCTACAGCTCACGGACCCGGACTGCTGGGAAACAACCATATCAAGATTGAGCATGTTGACAAACGTCTCGCTGATCTCGAGCCCGAGGTTGCAAAGGCCGTGGCTGCTGCTAATCAGCAGCTCAAGAGCCACAAGTCCTACAGAGACTCCCTTGGAAAGAAGTGGGTTTACACTCTTTTGAAGAAGAGAGACGTCTTTGATGAAAAGGCCCAGCGTGAGGAGAGGGCATACCACCAAGTGCTTGAGAAGCGCCACAAGGCCGAAGCTACGCTGAATGAGCTCAACGCTGATAAGGCGGCGCTGGTCGTTGAGATGAAGACTCTGGAAGATCTGGTGGGACGACACGGAGCTGCACACAAAGGAATTGATAATCTCTACTCGGATATCTTCGATGGACCCACGGCTGGCTTCCCGGACGAGGACGAACAGGAACAAGCACATAAAGTAGCCAAGGCGTCTCTCCAGGAGAGGACAGAGGCACTCAAAGCAGCAGTTCGAGGTGTCAAAGCAGCTCAGGTGGTCAAACTCGCCATCGAGCGTGCCTTGTTCGAAAAGCAGCGAGCAGGCTTTGAGAACCACTCTGACATTTTTTCCCAGCGAAGTTTCCACGGAACGCTGAGTCGCTGCGTTGCCTACATCGATCGCGGCCTTGAACTCACCAACCAAGCCATTGATGTCCTCGAAACAAGACCTGGACCCGAGCAGTTGCTAGCCAAGCGCAATCTTGAACAGCATCTCACCACCGCCAGGACACAAGCGACGTCACGCTTGAAGGATAAGTCACAGAACAATGCACTTTTGGAAAGACTGGGAAGCGCATTAACAAGCGCATTGCAAGCACAGAAGGAGTATCACGAGTCCATGAAGAAAGTCAGCGAGTCGTGCAGAAACTCTATCCGCCAGACGGCAAGATCTCTAGAAAACGAGCGACGCGCTCTTCAACAGATCCGACAGAGTGCCTTCGAGACAACTGTCGGTTTTGGTGCCGCTGCTCCTGCATATCACGAGTGCTGTGATCGAGCGCCTGGATTTGAGGATGACTCTCACGCGCAGACTGCGTCGATCCAGGACCCAACAGTTGCAGAGATTCCTGTAGACTCAGAACCACCTCCAGACTACGAATTCCCCGCCGAGGGATCAGCGCCTAATACAACAACAGAGGCAGCACCGGAGCCCAGCACTCAAGCACAGACTTCTGCTGGGTATAGGTCCAGTGTTGCTGGCCCGGTCTCTGATTTGGGCGGAGAGGTGACTCTGACCAACCCACGGGGCCTGCCCGAGGCCTCATAATTAGATTTTCATGACTATCTTTTTCATTTACTCTGACGAGTGGTTTACTTGATTTGTTTTGCTGTTTCTATTCCCTGTCCGAAATTTGGACGCGCAATGTTTGGGCACGCTCTAATTTGAGATTGTGATTCTTTGGATGATGCTGGATGTAACTATTAGCGACACTCGTTTGGAGTAATCTACTTGTACAATCGCACTACAATAATACCTATGTTATTGATCGAGTACGTATCAATGAAATTTCCAGTATGAATAGCTGCACTGCCTGAAAGTGACTTTGATCTGGAATCTAGGATATCTTGGAGAGTAGGTAGCCCGTATGTAGGATCGAAATCATGTGTTACTCGTTCTGATTAAGAGATAGTTTTTCGTTAGTAAATAAGAGTCGCCTCTTTCTAGCTACGAGAAATTGGCAATCTTCCACCTGCTAGCGATTTCATCGCCACCCAAGTTTCCAAAGAGCTGTGAGATCTGGATACCGCTCTGTCCATTACCCATTCTTCCAAAGACTTGCATGATGTTGTGTTTGTCGAGGAAGTGTCTGAATGCAGTGAATTCGTGGTTGTGTGTTTGGAGTAGCAAAATTGCCAGAGATGCAATTCCTGCGGCTAATGCAGGGGCGACAGACGACATCGTTTCACTTACAAGTCTTTTCACATCGGCTGGGGCATCAGCCTCAATGTCCTCCCCGGGAACCAGAATATCGACGTTATCTTTTGAGGCCGGTCTCAAGTGCCCGCAGATGTTGTCTGCGGCGACTGTCATGGCATTTCCATAGCAGGTAGGGAACGTTGTGCCATCTGTGCTTTCAACTGCAGAATTGCAGAATATAAGCGGTCGAAGCTTGGTCTGAGGGTCTGAAGCTGCACTCATGGCCTTCTTGGTGGCTTCTCGTAGCAGGTGCCTATCGTTCTTCGCATTACAGGTGATTGAGACAATATCGACTTGATGGCTAATAGCGTAGTTAACGGCCTATGCGATAAATCTCAGGTCAGTAAACAGGTGGATGGCAAAGGCGTCCTGTTCACGAAAGGGACGCGCAACCAAGCTCAGCTATTCATACCTTTGCCACGTTCTCGGGTATGACATCCTTGTGGGTTTCCCCTACCTTGAGGATATAGAGGTGGCAGAAAGGATTCACTTTCCGGATTATGGACGCCACCTGCGTCCCATGTGGATCTGAAGCCGAAAACCAGGGTAGATACCTGTCTTCAGAATCATACTTGACAAACGAACGTCCTATCGAGATATTTTTCCATTTTTGAGTCAGAGAGTGTACGTCTACTCCATTGTCAATGATGGCGATATAGATATGACTGTTTTCCAACCTCTGGAATCGTTTACTTCGAGGTGCGTTTTTGATGATATTCCACAAGGAGTGGTGACATTCTTCCAAATCCTTCAAGATTTTGTTCTCTATATAATGGGATAGCCAATTAGAAACAGCGTAAGAGAGAAATGGATACTTCTGATTGTTTAAAGAAGTATCCGACCGCGACAAGTAATGGAGACGAAGGCAGGATAGCGACAAGGTGCTGTGCGACTGGTATGTGTTGAACCGGCCTTTCCACGTATTCTGGGGATCAACCCCTGTGGTGAGAAACTCTCTGACTGTCTGATGAAGGAAAAACAATTGCGAGTCGTAGACACTGATAAGAAGACCGCACAGGTTCTTCACCGCGATTTTGAAAGATTCTGGATCGTGCCATTTGTCCTCCTCGAATTCCGCAAACGAAGTGTACCACTGCTTCTCCAATGCCAATGTCAGAGCAACGTTGGCTTCGTCAAGACTCAGAGGCCGTGCTGCAGCAAGCATGATTTGAAGAAGCGCTATTGTCTTTTCTGACTCCTTGCTTCGGCCCAAGATCTTTTCGTACGCATCTGAGACCTGGGTTGGAAGGTCGGACAAGAGCTTTTCTATATCTTGCCTCCTGCTATACTCACTTGGGCTTTGCTTGATAATATCAAACGTTAGGTGCAGCCAGAGATAAGTGCGATTCTCCATACTCTTGAGACGTTCGGAAATGATCCGGCGACCTTCGTCGGTTAAGCCATAACCAATGTCACAAATTCTGGCATCGATGACGAGATTAATCTCTCGACCGATTTGCTCGGACTTGTCGTCGCCGTCAAAGCGCAGATATGTAGCTGTATCTGAAAACATCCTGAAAGATGCCTCCAGATCGTCGTATGGGCGACTGGTGATGAGAAACTTGAGTTTGGAAGGGCGGTTCGGCGATCTTGCCTGTTCAGTATAAAAGCTTTTGAGCTGCTCAATCAGTTCCATCCTGCTATCCCTATTGCATTCGTCTAGGGCATCGAGGAGGCAGATTATCTCGCCTGCATTTGAGGATTTGGCGCAACTCTCTAGAATCCCCCACAGTTCCGACAAGTTCTCCATGAGCTTTTCGGAATTCTTTCTATAATTGGGCAAGGCGTGTTCAATCAGACTGCCGGTAGGGTCTTTGGTGAACAGCTGATGAAGTATTGCGCATAAGGCGTTGGTGCTGTTCATACGACGCTGATCCCCATCCTTGAAGAAGAAGTGACAGACGGTTGAAGTGGTAACGTGTGTCGAGAGTCGCTGCTCGTCAACTAGAGCTCGCGATAGCACTGACTTTCCGCAACCAGGGCCTGCAGATACCCAGAGAAGACTGGAAGTGCTGCTGTCTCGCCATCTGCCAAATCGATCGTCGTTAAAAAACCACTCACAAGTGCCTGGCACTCTCTGCGTGTTGAAGCTTTTGTAACTCTCGTAGTCGGACGCGAGATCGCGTAGAAGATTCCGCTCCGTCTGGTCCTCGTAGAACCTCTGAGATTGTTTTCCATCTTCCTCGAGAATGCGGCGAATTTCACTGAGGATAATCTGAGATTCCTTGATCTCTTGTAGTTGGTTATCTCTGTATTGTCGCAATTCCTGTTCACGGAGAGGAGGGATGCAATCACTACATATTTTGCTCAATGCATTAACCTCATTTGCTAAGCTGTCCCAGTCATTCTCAGCGGCCACGTCTTGCCATGCGCGTGACAGCTGGGCGCTGGACAAATGGCATATGACTCTGGCTTGATATTCGACTATGTGGGAATAAAGCTTGGCCAAGGGTTCAACAAGATCTCGGTAATCTTGGCCGTGTGAGGATTGGAGATAGGTCTTTTCACTGATTCGCCAATAGACTTGAAGATCGCTAATTGAATTGAAGCCTTTCAACATGGCCTCATTTTGTTTGGTACCGCTCGTAAGAAGCTGCTCTGGTAAGCATCCGGTCAAGAGCTGAGAGGGCCACGCAACTTACTGGCAGTACCATTGAAACACCAGACCATGCTAACGCGGCATATGGCTGAGCACTGAGAGCGCTCTTAACGATCTCGTCGGACCACAGCACAAACTTTGCCAGCCTCTCGACTTGCTCCCGAACCTTGATGTCCTTTCCCAGAAGTGGTACCTGCCATTGCTTCTTCTCCCGATCTGCTAATAGCTGTTTGACAATTGATTCGACAGCCAACGGAGTTGAGAGGTCCGAGTTAGGTTGAGGGTCCTCTTGCAGTGTGGCGAGGTGCTTCTCGTAGTCTGCTGCCAGCTCGGATTCTCGACCCTGGAACATCTCGTAAGCCCGAGTCCATGGATCCAGGCTGCGGCTGGGAAGAGAAGAAGCCGCATCAGGAGAAGCGGGCTGTGCGACGATTGCCGTGACAGACGAGGTATTGACGGACGAAGATGGTGGTGCCACGGTCGCTCTGCTGGATGGAACCTCCTCATTATCGCCAAGCTTGGCACTGGTAGTTTTTCTAGACTTTCCCAGCAGGCTGCCCTTGAATTTCCGAAGGCGCTCCATACTGTTGTCCAAAAACCAGCTTCAAAGAGTAACTCCGATACCTGTCTGCAGTGATTATTGTCGTATCAGGTTAACGCTTACTACATTTTTAGCGACTATGCGGCTGAGCCCATTATGCGGATGCCTGGCGATCAGCCGACCAATAGGACTTGCAGCAAGACGTGACAACCACATTGAGTTATCTAGAAGGGAGCGTAGTAGTTAGCAGGTGTTGACCGTTTCAATACCTAGCTATGTTCATGATACTTTAGATACGTGTAGTTTACGGAGTGCTTGACGAAAAGAAGAGCCCATATAGACTCCAGCTAAGGCCTGATGCCCTGTAACTGAAGCAATTAGCACACCGCATGCAATCAGCTTATTGACCCGTTAGACACAAAATGCGCATCGCACCGCGACAGGTGAATTCTTACGGCGAGCACATACATAGGAGTCAATTGGTATGGATTTAATGCTCGTAAAGATATGTGAACTTTGGGACCGCACACGATATTGAAGCCCTTACAGACACAAGACTTATAATATCTGTGTTAAAGACACATTAGAGCTCTTGGCTCAACAAAGTTACGAAATCAAAATTAGATACTCATCACATCATTTGGCCTAAGGCTTATCACATGTTTAACAATTAGAATAACAAAGCTTTTGAGATAATCTCCACCTAGCCCCGTACCCGAGGAACGTCATTCATGTGAATAATCTGATCTCGCTAATAACGGCAAGAACGGGTATAACGGGTTCTTGGAACGGTGATTCGTCTGCCAAAATATGCATATTTTTATTATGTGGCTTAGTAGATGTGGATCGAGATGGTGCTTGTAATGTAAGAGTGTCATGATTGAGTAGCATTGCTGTTGCTAGTACTACTATGTTCAATTTAGTCTCACTAGGAGCGCTGCTTTTAATGCAACTATATGTAATTGATTGCGCTCTATTTTAAATCTCATATATACATTCTGACTGTTCTACCCTCATGGCTCCTCAATTCTGATATCTTCAGTCCAACTTTCTTTTGGCTGGCTGTACAGGTTCCAAGCTTGCTCGGCAATGTTCCGGGGGTTCAGGTACTTGTTTGTCTCCGTTACATATCCAGCAACGGTCAGGATAGCGACGTGAACGCCTTTTGGTTCATAAACCTTTCGGAGAGTTCGAGTAAAGTTCTTCTGAGCTGCTTTGGACATGGACAAAGAGACGAGATTGGTCTCTGGGGCCTCGGGGAGATGAGAGCTGGTAACAATGACTGTAGGCTTAGCACTGGCATCAGAAGATGCCAAAGCTATAAGCTGTGGGAAGGCCCATTTGGAGAGGTTGTTCAGCGCAATCGTAGAGATTTTGAAGTCACGCAGGAGCTCATCGTCGCTGACTTCTTGATGGCTAGACTCTGCGACTATGGCTGCGTTGAATAAGACAAACTCAACCGTTCCGAGATCTTTGCTGATCTGGGCAAGTGTGGTGGTAAACTTGGCAGGATCGAGGACGTCGGTGGAGTAGGTCTTCACAGTGGCATTGCCATTGGAAGCAGTTGTAACAAAGGTCGCATCTTTCTCAAGCTGCGTAGGATTCCTTGCAACGAGAGCGACCTTGTTGAATTTGTTGGCCGCGAACACGGCGGCAGTGTTGCTGCCAATTCCAGGGCCGGAGCCGATGATGACGACGGCGTTGTCAGAACGAGCAGACATTTTTGTGTATTAGTTGGAGTTTTGTTGAAGTTTCGAGTTTCAGAGCTTGGAGTTTTGAAGTAGAATATGTGTCGATATTTGCTGAAGCTTTTGCTCTTTTGTAGTAATGTATTGCTGAGTCTGCTAGAATAATTTTCTCATCACTATGACGGACTTCTGTCCTCTATTTAAGCTGCATTGAAAATTTGTAAACTCCCTCAATCCTCCATCCTCCATTCTACTATTGACTCCGATCGATAGTACTCTTTGGCATGAAGCCACCTCGGCCTTCCTTCAGCCGCAAAAGTTTGACAGCCATTATTAAGCTGGTTGCTGGGTTTAGTGGCCAATGACGATATGTTGTCGACTATAGCGCTGCGTCGCAAACATCTCCGCGGGGAGCTTAACAATCGGCTTGCCGTCGGCTATGCCACATGGGATTTAGACTCGCCTGTAGGTGCCGCAGAGTTTACTCATAAAGCAGATGTGCGCTCTTGTTCCATTTTCGTTTGCCTTAAAAGAGTAAAAAGTCCCGCGTGTAAGTTTTAGCTTTCTTGCCGTAACCCTTTGCCGCAAGATACCTTCTGGCCTATTCTCAAGCTGTTTCTTATCGAGCACAGCGCTAAAACCTTACGACGCGGTAACTCCGTTGAAAGAGTCCACCACGGCATCTCCCGTCAACAGGAAGAAGTTGACCGATACAACTAAATGCTTGTTTCTAATATCTGATTGCCTAAGTAATCGAAAATTCAGCCTTGCAAGGCGCTGATACCTGGGCTGACTTGTGTCATAGGTCTCACTGTATCCCCGCCAGAGCTAAGCCAAGCGAAGAGTCCCCAACCACCAATTCTCCCTTTTGTTTCTACATTTAATAATCGACCAGTCTTTTTGTTTCAATATTTTATAATCGCCCATGATGGCGACTCAACGTACTACGGAATTAAGGCGCATGCTGGCCCTCTCCTACCCATGGGTCAAGAAGCCTTTCGTGGTTGGTGCACCCATGCGCATCATGGCCGGGCCTCAATTGGCTGTCGCCGTGTCTGCGGCCGGCGGCCTCGGGTTCATGGGACCACAGGCCAAACCAGATGGAGTGCTCGCCGATCTCGACAAGGCAAGAGAACTGGTAGAAGCGTCGAATCTGCGCCACCCTCTGCTCCCAATTGGTGTGGGCTTTCAGGTATGGAATGGAGACTTGAAGGTTGCAACAAGCGCTATTGAGAAGCATAAACCATGTGCTGTCTGGCTGTTTGCGCCCAAAAACGGCCAGGCAGAGTTGGATGAATGGACCGTTTCTCTTCGAAAAGCTTCTCGTGATACAAAGATTTGGATTCAGGTCGGTACGCTAAGCGACGCCATTGCGGCTATCAACAGCTCAGCGCCTCCAGACGTTCTCGTCGTTCAAGGTTCCGAAGCAGGCGGACATGGAATGGCAAAGGAGAGCGCAGGAACCATTGTTCTCTTCCCAGAAGTCGCTGATGCCGTCAACGCCAGGAAAGATCTCGGAATACCTGTAGTGGCGGCGGGAGGCATCATCGATGGTCGAGGGGCTGCAGCAGCATTTTCTCTAGGAGCCGCTGCCGTCGCCATGGGCACTCGCTTCCTTGCTTCTTCAGAGGCACGCATCGCAAAGGGATACCAAGATGAAGTAGTTCGAGCGTCCGATGGCGCCAAAAACACTCTCCGCACCCACTTATACAACCACCTCCGGGGCACTTTTGGCTGGCCTGACGTTTTTGCACCTCGAACTCTCATCAACCGTAGCTGGACTGACCACGAGGCTGGTGTTCCATTTGAGAAGCTCCAAGTGCTGCATGACGAGGCTGCCAAGAGCGGCGACGCCGGATGGGGCCCAGAGGGAAGACTGGCAACGTATGTTGGTGCAGGTGTAGGTCTTGTACGGGATGTGCAAGACGCGGGTGCGATTGTTGAAAACGTAAGAAACGAAGCGAGGGGTATCCTCAAGGCTTTGAGCGATGATATTTGAAAGCACCGACGTGCTTACATTTCCAATGTGAAGTATCTACCAAGACAGCGTTGAGACTTTCAACATAGTCGAGTGGATTAACGGAGACAGTATTACTGCCCTCAATGTGTCTGGTGATGGCATCAGAATTCTACAGCATGTGAGAGAAAGAATTACAAAGCATCCGCGTAATCGTGAGTATGCTGTGCCGTTGTTGGGTTGTTGAGAGATCAATAACTGCAAGTAATTTTCATTGCACCCCGCCTTAGGTGACTCAATCGCCGACGAAGATGATTGCGCGGCATGCTTAAGTACCCGTAGACTGGACTATAATTGCCAATTCCGGCAACGCGCTAGCATCCGCAAAATAGACGAGTATCAAGACCATCAAATGTATAAGAGCTCGACGCGGTCCTCGGATTTATTGGATAGACTCCGGTGATCGACATACATGTAGTTTCTGCTTCTTTTGCTCTAGAATTCTCGACATGGCGCAATCGTTCAATCCGAGCCAGGCTCTCCCTCGCCAGCGTATTCGCCAACTTATACCTCACTTACGCCTTGGAAAATGGCCTACAGGCCCCCTCAATTCCATCACCGACGTCCCAGGCGTCCTGGCCCATACTGAGTCTATCCATAGCTCTCCTCATAGCAAAGAGACATCTACCGATATAAATACCGGAGTCACTGTCATCTTGCCTAGGTCTGACTGGTACAAATATGCAAGCTTTGCCGGCGTCTTCAGCTTCAACGGCTGCGGAGAAATGACGTCTGCTCACTGGCTTAACGAAACGGGCCAACTTCATTCGCCAATTGTTCTGACCACGACTTCAGCCGTTGGCGATGCGTATCGTGGAATCTGGGAATACACTATCGAACACCACTCTAATGAAGATAAAGAGCCCAACATCTTTCTCGTACCCACCGTCGCTGAAACATATGACGGCTATCTCAACGATCAAAGCAAATTCGCCGTCACTCCGCAGCACATTGCCAACGGCATTAAGGGCGCAACTGCAGACCCTGTGCAAGAAGGAAACGCAGGAGGCGGAACAGGCATGATGTGCCATCGCTTTAAAGGAGGCAATGGGTCTAGCAGCCGTGTGGTCAAAGGATACGACCATGATGGGAACGAAAAGTCCTATACGGTTGGAGTGCTTGTCCAGGCCAACTACGGATCAATGGAGAATCTCCATATTGGAGGCGTCCCAGTAGGCCAAATTCTCAAAGAACAAGGGAATCAAGCATTGCCAAGTCTCAAACCTGGACAGAAAGAGCCTCGCAAAGACGGTAGCATCATCATCATCGTTGCAACAGACGCTCCTCTTCTACCTATCCAGCTCCAGCGATTGGCTAAGCGTGCCACTGTCGGCTTGGCCAAGGTCGGAGGCTACGGCAACAATACTTCAGGAGACATATTTCTTGCATTTTCTAATGCAAACAAGATTCCATTCTCAGAGCTGTCTGGGGGTAAACGTACCTACGAGCCGCAACCGTACGGCGTGCAGATGTCAGATAACTATACCATTGATGGATTATTTGAGGCCGCAGCTGATGCGACGGAAGAGGCGATTTACAACGCACTTTGCATGGCTGAAACGACGGTAGGATTCAAGGAGAGAAGAGTCGAAGCTCTTGATTTGGCCAAGGTAAAGGAGATTGTTGAGAAGAGGTTGTGATGGGATTATGGGGTGTCAGACGGTTCAGGTATCACAAGACGTCTCCATAAGGAAGAACTAATATAAGCTAAATTTAAACCTTGCTTTCAAATTTACAATACGAGTTCATTGATGAGAACCAACTGCTTCATTGCTATTAGTCTACCTGCACTCATAGTAGAACTGGCCATGTGGCGAGTAGCACGTTCTGTTGGGAATAGACTGAGTTAGCAAGTAAGGTCTGTCTTACTAGATATATTCCTATTCTGAACGTCATCGTGCGTTCGGCTCGTCGCCTTGGCCCCCGCACCAGGAATACACTGTGCTTGTGTAGGGTTACAGTGAGAATAGACGCCTATTTTCATGCTCTCAGCTTCGGGAATCCTGAGATACTCGGTCCCGAAGACAATGTTTAAGCATGATATTAGGAAGAGATCGGCAATTCAATTTGAAGTATACAATCTGAAGATCTTCTTATAATAGAACAGAATTCGAGTATAAAAATCTTGCTTGGGCCGTGAATATTTATCTATTCTTCAGACAACTCCTTCTTGATTCAACTATACAATCAATTGAACCATACAAGATCATAAATCTCGAAAAAAACTCGCATATTACCATATCCAAAATGCAATCTTTCGTCTTTGTCCTTGCTCTACTCGCCTCTGCGGCCATGGGAATGCCTTCTGAGCTGTAAGTCAATCATGGTTCTGCCACTGCCTGCATGCACATGTATGCTAACTAGTTTGCCAGCAATAAGCGAGTCAACTGCTGTCTCTACTACCCTGGTGCCAAGTCCAACTGCCAGGCTGACTGCATTGATCCGTCATTCTGCAAGGCATATGGCATTCCCCAGACGGGATATTGGTGTGACTGCGGTCCAGCTGCGAACTGCAATTCTTAATTAATAGCAGGAATACTTTGTGCTTGGAGATTCCTGATAAAGTTGCAACCGAGGAATTGGAATTTGAAACACTCTTTTACACGAAGATTATGTTATTGATTACTATATAACGAATAATCTCAAGTCATTATTATCATACATGATCATTAAACCACCCTATACATGATTACTGAGGCCGACGCACAAGGTTCGCTGGATCAGCCATTGCGGCAGCAGCTCGCACATTCAACTTTCTCTTTTCATGAGAGTTTGAAGTGCTTGTATGTCCCTTTTCGTGTCCAAAGATAGCCCACTCCGCGACTGTAGCACCGGTGCCGTTCTTTGCCACGGCGTCCACATGGTCGAGACCCTGGTTGCCCACAATGAGAAGCGATGCGTATCTAGAGGCAGCAACGGGCGTAGACAAGGTGACATTAGTCGTGTTACCAATGGGAATGGCAATGACGTTCAAGTCAGTAGTATGAACGTCATAAGGATTGGACTGCTTAATATTGGTCAAAGATGTGACGACCTTGAAGTTCGAGTTGTGCTTTTGCGACTTGAAAGCTGCCGCTGGGTCGCTGATGGCCTCGTTGTGGAAAATGACAGTTGCGTTGACTGGAGGTGCCTGAGCCCAGTCGAAATGGAAGCCCGAGACCAAAGATCCCACATCCTCCTTATCGAGCGTCACAGTAATGGAGCTTACGTCGGCAGCAGAGGCAGGCTGCCACTTGGTCGACGTAGCACCGTCCACAGCTGCAATCGGGAATTGACCAGGCACATAAGTATCAGGGGAGCTGGCGGCGTTGCACTGAACCAGGTTGCCAGCGTAAGTTTGCTGAGAGCCAAGCTGCCTGTTAGGAACGACAACAGATCCCTTAACGGGCAGTTGGTAAGCCTTGGGGCTTTCCTCGGATCCAGAGTGGATGGTAATAGTCTTTCCAGCAAAGCGCTGATCCGCACCATCAAGCGCAGCAATGCCGCTGGCACGGCTGATAGTGGTGTGAGTGTAGTTGGACCAAGCGGAGATGGGCCAGCCGCGCCAATAGAACGTCCTGTATCTGAGGTAAGGAATCTGCGGAGGCAAGTTTGGATCGATGTGAATGAAGTCATCGGGCACGAGCCGGAGTCCAAGGTAGCCAAAGAGAACGACTTGGTTGGCGCCGCCGTGGCCAGTGAGGAATGGATAGGCCGGGTGAGTACCGCCGTTGATGCTGGCATCATCAATGAGTTGTTCTGAGATTTGGTAGAATGGCGCGCGAACGTAGGGCTTATAGGCGTATTGAGCGTAGGTGTACGATGAGCATCCTGAAGGAGAAATTTCGTTGGCAACAATAGAGAAGAAGGCGTAGGTCATGGCAGGTCCATCAGGAGATTGTTTGTTGGCATACTATGCTACCGGTCAGCAACCAATTGGTATAGAAATCTGGGTCCTGTAAAAACTCACGTAATCAAGATCGTTTAGAGCGTCTTCGGAGCTGTAGTTGGTGGTGTAAGACAAAGGATAAGTGATCATGATCACATCAGCCTGTTTGACAACAGCACTACCGTTCATGGTAGTAAACTCCAATGTGACTCCATTTTCTCGAAGCACCAGCGAGTTGGACGCCATTTTGGCCCAAGTCTTGTTCTGCTCGATGCCGAATTGCTTGCGGAACGTATTTGCGTTCTGCAGGTGTTCCGCAATGAGAGGCATTGTGTATCCGCCAGCATCGACATGGTTTGCGTATTCATCCTACAATCTATTAGTCAAAGAACAGCAACACTAGGAAGGAAGATAGACTTACAGGATCAGTCATGTTGGTCAATGTCCACGACGTCTTGTTGGGCTTTAGCATGTTTCCGTACAGCTGAGCGATTGAGTCGTAAATCGGGAAAAGGTTCTCCTGGAAGTTCTTGGTATCGCCGCTAACAACCCACTGGTTTACGAGAGAGAGGCCAATATCTCCATTCAAATGATACTCGTAGTCCCAGCAGGGGCCAGTAGCAGTGCAGTTTCCATAACGGCCACTGGTCCACGGGAATACGGCAGCATCAGCAGAGAAGAACGTCTCATTTTGGGAACCCGCAGCTTTAGTCTTGACGTTTTCCTTGGCCATGCCGTATCTCGCCAGACGGTAGTTTGTGATTCTTTCAGCAGCTTCTGGATGAGCTGCAACCAGACCGGGCTGCATCCAGAGATCAGCATCCCAAAAGACTTGTCCGGCGTAGGAGTCGGAAGTCAGTCCGCCGACAGAGATACTGTCAACATTGACTGGGGCTCCGTTGGCTTCCTTGCTTCCATTTTTGCCCACTGTGTTTTGCAAAAGGTAGTAAGCGTTGGTGACGGCCATGATGGCAGAGTCGATGATGTAGTTGTCGGCTGGAAGCTTGCCAGTCTTGGGATCGGCGAAGCTGTCGACAGAACTCTCAGGCATGACAGTTGCCCACTCCTTAACGTGGTAGTTAAGAGACTTGGCGTATCCGTTGCTCAGTGCTGCAGCTGCTGCACTCTTGGCAATTTGTCTGGGGTTCTTGAAGGCATCGGAGGATGCAGCTCCAACAAATTTAGTCACTCGGGCGGCGTGTCCTGCTGAAAACTTGACTGAAACAGCCTGTGCAATGGAAGATGCGTTGGTGTGTACGTATGGCTTGCCCTTGACAATCTTGCGACTCGCCAAATTTACGCCCCCAGAGCCGGTAATGTCAGCATACACAAACGCCGTCACATTGGAAACGCCGTTTGGTCGTACGGCGGAGAAGATGGCATTGCCGTCTTGTCCAGACTCCACAAAGTCGGTGCGTACGGCAGCAAAGCCATCGAGAACATTGACAATTGATGCCTGCACGTTCTTGGATGAGGTAACTTCCATATCAACCACGGCTTGGTTCACGTATAATTTGTTGGCGAAGATGCGATAGCTGATGTCGAAGCTTCCTTTTTTGCCTTTGGGAGTCCACTTATATGACCAGCTCAAAACTCCAGCCTTGTAGTCATAGGTCGATCGGAAGTTGGAGATTGTTCGGTTATCAACCGTAGCATCAAGATAGGTATTGTCACCCAGATCCAAGATGAGCCCGCTCCAGTGGGGAATGCCGCTGATGGCAGTATCGGAGCCATACTGTGAGATCCACGGGAAGTTTGTCCCGTTCATGACTGGCTGGGAGTCCCAGAATCCAGCAATGGTTGCAAAAGATTGGCGTCTCGAGAACAAGGGCCAGCCGCTGATAACGTCGCCATTCTCTTCTGTGTCGACTTCAAAGAAAGGTCCGACGCTGGCGACATTGATGCCGAGATAGCCATTGGCCACAGAACCGCGTGATTCAAACGCGCCCTGCTTCAATTGCGTTGTGCTGAGCAGCCAATTGTCTTCGTCCCAGGTCACTCCAGCGAAATCGGTCTTGTACACGTTCTTGCTGAACTGGGGTCCTGTGCTTGATCCGCCGTTCCTGCTCAGGCATTCTGCGACGCGATCATTTGAAGCGGTGCTGTAAACAGGATGAATAAACTGAAGCAGCGACAGCAGCGCAGCTCCAGACAATGTCTAAGGTAAGATAAATCAATATGTGTTCGTTTGGATAGAGGAACAGCTAATAAATGCTGTGAGCTACTCACTGTGGACCGCATTTTGTCAGCCTGTCAACAGGCAAAGCAAACGCGCGATGCCAATTTACACTACGGTATAAGTTGAAATAAACCCGCCACGAGGTATCGCCGTTGCATGCAGATACTGGCTGGGATTTCATCGAAGAGCTGAAAGTGCGGCATCTTGCCCGGTATTTAAGCCTATCCTGCTGCTCTCTCCAACGCTGGTAATTCCCCGTGCAGATCACCGCTTGGACCCCAGAGTCAGTGATGGGGTGTGGAGAGAACAAGGTGATTTGGGCAAGGCTGTGGCCGTAATACGGAGAAGCCTGCACAACCCGGATGGTTGAGGTCATTGCAGGGCATCTCCACCACCCGAATATGGCCGTTTGAGGATCGTCTTCTGCTAGCTTGACTTGGCTCGTGGGTAGGATGATTTCATCTGAAATTAGTTTCGCCGCGAATCAAGTCTACTAGGCATCCACAGCCTCTAGAGAGGATAGTATTACCGGTTTTACGGCTGCTTCGCCGCAGCTCCCAATTCACAAGCAGGGCACTCAGAAGAACCAACGCTAATTACGTACAGCTCCAACGCGTTTTGACCCTTTTTCGCATCGTGAAAGTCCACCCGTCGTCGCTAAATTACCCCACAAGCATCCCCAGACCCGGCAACGAGCCGTGAAAGGGCCGATAGTGCCGTGGCACCACCACTGTAGCGCCATAATTTTCCTGCCAGGAGGAGAAAGAGGAGCAGGCGGAGGCCTTTAACATGACTATTTACTTGTTAAACAAACTAGACAAGCAGATGCTGAAGAAAACAGCGAGGCTAAGTAAATGATCGGCCTATAAAGTGGAATGGCATACACGCGAAAGCAGTGACATCCCTGCTCCCAGTGCTGTTCCTGACCGATTCATACCGCAGTTTCTATCCCTTGAGACCCAAATGCGCAGTGACCACTTCGGTCATAGTGTAGTTATCGTGTCATGGAGAATAGGCACTTGTCATAAGAAGGAGTAGCTAATGCATGTAAATGCCTAGTTCGGTGAATAGTGACATACTCCCGCAAGTAGTCTCTACAATCGCCTCACACGTAGTACATGAAGCAATGCTGTTGGTACCCGCGATATGTTCGGTGAGGCCGCGCAAAAGTTCCTCTGCGGCAGTCCTCGAACCAGAAGCCGATCTAACTCCACACCAATACCGAGATAACCGGCTTCGGGCCTGGAGTAGTACTGCTAGGAAATAATGTTCAGGCACGAACATATCTGCCGCGTAACCGATTCAATACCATACAAACCGCGTGGCCAGCGGTAATGTTCTCCGATGCGGAGAGAAGTCTGGCTGCTGAATAGCGGGCTCGAAATAATCCTTGGTAGTTTGTTAATGCTTATGCCCTCCTTGGCACATAGACTGTGGGGAGACCCAATATGATCTCGGCAGAAAGGCTACCCGAAGTCTAGAATCCAAGTCAGCAGATTCTGAATTTTCAGCTCTTGGGACTGTTCATGGAGTGCCCCTTGAAATTCTTCCATTAATCCCTACCATACCGGGCCGATTGGAATATCTCCTAAGTAAGTATCAATGGCTATCATAGACAATAGTGACGCTCAGGAGGGATGTTGACAGTACCGGGCCTCTGGTTCTTGGTAATGAATCCGAAAGATGTTTGACAATGCGCCTCCTTATCGGGAACGAAGAGACTTTCTCAGCGATGTTATCGTGTTTTTCGTCAAAATTATGACCTTGATATCATATAGCCATTTTGAACTAGAGTCTGATGTCTAGATGTTAGATTTTGTGCTAAAAAATGTAAAGATTGTGTACGATTTTTAGGTGCAAAGACGTATGTTAGAGTACCTACCCATATATGAGCATAGCTTCACACATGTATGTCTGGACAAAATATTATTTTTAATCGGGCACGCAATCAGGGTGAATAACCATGAAAATATTTTAGAGTCGCTACATGATTTCGTAGGAAACCTGCCTCGTTCTCGGAATGAGGAATGTAAGTGTATACCGCTAATTCAATGATTAAATGGCAGTCGTGAATTTTACGTGTCGAATGGATTGAGCTGAAGTTGAGAAGCTATTCCATTCTGTGTCTGCCTAAGTTATTAGATGATTGGTGCACCACATAAAGCGTTATTGCTTGCTTTAAGAAAATGATCAACAGGAAAAGAATTCCTGTTTTACTGATTGGGATGTGATGCGCTTGAGAGAGTCGCACTTATTTCGAGTTGATGAGAGGCGGCAACTGCTGTGAAGCTCAGCGAAGGATCAACATACGTGCATTTCCCCAGCGCACCACTGCAGGTACTATTTCGCTTAACCCGTTTGGCTGTTTTCGTTGCATGGGTAAACTCGCTTTGGTGGTTTAATATTGCTCTGCTTGCCTTTTGTGAGGCCGCAATGACACGCTTGAATCCGAGTCATCTTAGGGCTGTGTAATAATATTGACCTTGGCAGTAGGTGAGTCATACATCAGGCAATTGGCAATAAGCGTCAGAATAAAGCCCAAGAGCGACAGAGGTTTGTGCCAAATCAGGCAGTCGAAATAACTCTATTCGCATTTACGTTTAGACTGCAGACACATCAAGACGAGCAGAGTAAAGCTGCCGAAGATGACAGGTGCACCGCCAAAGTCAAAATGGATATGACACATTTTAGCTCTGGTCATTCGGTAACCTTCTCCAAGCACGCCTTGTTCTATCACCACCCACCCAATTGCTCTATAAATTTCTATTGAAAGGGCATTTTAGCAGAGCTACTGCAAGAGCTGCCATATCTCTGTGTCAAGCAAAGCACATCTTTTTAGCCCACCAATAACTTTCAAGAACGCAAAATGCGATTTTCGGTCGTCAATTATCAAGATGTCCTGCAAGATCTGGACAAGGGTGTCCCGATAAACTTTAACACCAACTTCCACACCGCTGAGGAGGCGCCAGATCTTCCCATCCCCACCAACAAGCCATACGACTACGAAATATGGCTGCCATTGATACTGAGATCTCGAGGCCTGCCTCCTACTGCGCTTCAAGTCGCCAAACTCTCGCGCGCACAGATTAGAGTCTTGGTCAGTGCTTCTGCAGCTTCAATCCATACTGGCGTGCTCAATCGATCTTATGCCGAAGATCTCGAAGATGAGGTGTATCCTGCCTTTGATGGGCTCCATTTCCCCCCAGAAGGTCTTTTTATGCGCCTTGGAGCTTGTTCCCCCAAAGATGGTGCGCAGCTTACGCCTGGAAAGCTGGCGATTCATTCCGTCGAGGACATTGTGCTCCGCATCACTACGTCTGCGAGAACGTGGAGCGCGCTGACGAACATACTCAACCATGAAGGTGAAGAAGGTCACGTATACTTTCTTCCATTCAATTCCGAAATGAGATCTGAGAGGGAATATCGCGTTTTTTGTATCCCCGGCTCGTTGAACATATCTGGTGTTAGTCAGTACAGATGGCATAAGCCGTGGATTTTCGGCCATGAAAACAAAGATGAGATGGCCAACACGGCTCACATAATAATTACCGGCATTCAAGAAGTTCATGCCGATATCATTGCATATATGAAAGCGCATGATGATGATGAGCTGGAGAATCTTATTCGGACCCAAGGATTTACTTTCGATGTGCTCTACGACGAGAATACGGGGAGATGCGCCTTGATTGAGCTCAACACTTTCGGGGTGAGGAGTGCATGCGGCTCTTGCCTTTTCCAATGGCTGAAAGATCGAGCGTCGTTGTATGGAGAGACTGGGGATATTGAGTTTCGTGTTACGGTATGAGATTAAGGCTTGACAGTTTAGTAGCAGTATGCAGGTTGGGCTGGATGGAGGAGATGGATTCTTGGAGTGGCATATCAGACACTGGAGCGATCGAGATCATTTTTTTGTTAAATGCAAAAGACTGTTAAATACTTGCCAGAAGCATGATATGGCATAGCTCGTCGAAGCATACACCCTTTACATGCAGTCTTTGCCTCAACAAACTGAGATTGTGAGAGAAAAGGTCTAAGTAGTTGAAGAATTTGAGAGAAGATCATTATGATTAATATTATGAGAGGGGTGGAATGCTATGCAAATAATATACAGTGTTAATGTTCATACAAAGGCGATGTCCGACGGCGATATCCAAACCGTTCGCCTAAAGCAACGCTCGCTTCTTACTCCAGTGCCGGATACTCTGGCAGATTCCAGTTAGACGTCTTCTTGTCCAAGCCGTCCATTTCGCCCCAATTGAAAAAGGATGCCATCTTCGCAAACCTATGCAAGATCCAGATCCCGATACTCGTTTTCGGGGCCATCAAGTCCTCAGCCCAGTCATGGCCTCCATGCATGGAAGTTGCAACAGGTCGGAACGTTTCTTCATACGCCTTTGCTCCTTGCCTGATAGCCGCTGGAGCTGTTAAATCCTTGTTCTTCAATGCTGTAGCAATCTCGCCCGCCAGCACATAAGCGCCCACAAGGCCCCAGGCGCATCCATAGCCACCTGCTGTATGGCAATGGGCCGAATCGCCAAGAAGAACGACTTGGCCTTTTGACCAAGATCCAGGGGGGAGGTGCACTTCCTCAATTTTTGTGCAGTAGATATCATCCGCCTCTGGGGCATGGAGCAGTGCATCCATAAACCGATCACACTCCCATCCGCCTCCTTGATAGATGTCGGCCAGAGCTTTCTTCAGCTCTTGTGGGTTTCCAGAGCTGATTGCTGCATCAAGGGCAGGCCTCTTCCCACGCAGGATCATGTATACCCGTGTAAGCTCTGGGATATCTTTCCTTGTTCCAACAATTCGCCCCCCCGGCAAGTGGCAGAAGGTTCCTCTGTCGGAATCTCCCGGATTGGATGGGACGCTGAAGTATCCGATATGACCTCCACAGTCACGTCGTGGGTCTGGAGCATCTGCACCAAGCATCATTTTGCGTGTTTTTGAACCGGTTCCATCTGCAGCGATAACAAGATCGAAATCTTCTTCACGACCATCCTCAAAGCTGACATGAACCTTGCTGTCAGGGCCATCTCCGCCGTCTTGAGTAAAGCTTTTGATGGTAGTATTGTATAGATGTCGCACGTTTTCATGGCCGTCTGTAAGTCCGTAGAGAATCTTTACCAGATCGCCTCTCATAATCTCGTACTCTGATGTGATGCTCTGTTTCCCAGAGCCACTCTTGGCGACGGGAAAGAATGCTTGAGTCCGGCCGTTGCGGTCAATCAACTGCATGCCAGGTTCTTTCACACAGGCCGCCATCACAGCGGCTTCCATGCCCATCTTCTTCATCATCGGTACGCCCTTGCCGCGAAGGTCCACCTGCTGGCCTGACGCTCGCATCTTGTCAGATCGCTCAATGAGAGTAACGTGAGCACCGATGCGTGAGAGCCAGTAGGTCACAGCCGGACCTGCAACACCGCCGCCGACAACCAAGACTTTTAAAGCAGACATGATGATACAGCTATAATCATGTAATGAGACTGAAGTGTAAAGTCTGAGAGCACTGTATGCTAGAAGCTGAAAAGAAAAAAAAAAGAAAAAAAGGTATTTTTGAAATTGATGGAAATCCGCTTGTTGGAGCAAAAACTGATGATTGTTCCAAAAATATACCGTGTGTACGATTCAGAGACATTTATACTTTACTGGCCATTTCACGATGTAGATGTAGCCAGGCACAAAGGCCGTTATCTGATTGACACCTCAGGCTCAGATCCAAAGCTGAATACACGCGCGGCGCAATCGAACCAACTAGCGACCAGCCACGCGGACATCTCACAAGGCGCCAGGCACAAACTTGATTCCTGGTCTAGTAGCCATGGTCAATAACGGCAGTTGTGCGATCCTCCAACAAGGGTGAAGCCACAAGCTGCGACTCCTAGCCTACGTCATGCAATACGCGTTCTGCTAGCGATGAGTCAAGCGCTGCTCCTCTGAGTCTTGATTCTGAGTCTTGATGGTTTCGCGATGCTAGAAAGGGACATAGAAGCGATGTTCCTGGTCATAAAAACATGCAATTTAAGTTTAGTAATGGCTGCCTGTGGTCTAGACTGCATGAAGGGTAAATACACGTATGCAGGTGCCCTTTTTGGGCTGTTAGTGCCATGCAGATGTATCTCAGACACACGCAGGAGCAGAAAAAGAGCTTGTGATAAGATTATCAGATCGATAGTGGGTACATGTATGTGATGATCCTTTCCAATAGTGTAGTACTCATATGGTCATGTATCATGGAACTCATATATCGTTTTATGCTTTTGTTGCGGCGCTAAACGTAAATAAGCTCGCAGATACGATCGGCCGACAACTTCTCGGTCAATGCTTAAGTAATTCACCGCTTCACACCCTACAGTATTAGGATTCTACGCTTGATCGACGCTTTCACACATCCGAAGCCTACGGAATTGGAAACTTGACTAGACAAGGAGGAAGAGGGATTTAGAATCGGGCCTTTCGTCGTGCGATGACTCACTAGGGTTGCAGTTTTGAAAAGTTCTTGCGAGAGCTTGCGATTAATAATATTCAAGCCGAGTAGTGCTTTAACGAGGCCAAGATATCCACGTTTCCTGACATCGCAGACTATTTAGAGCTGTTACCCTTCTCTAAGTGAATGGTAGGATTTGTCATCTGAGAGTAGTAGTTGGAGGAAAGCTGTGCTCTTACAGATACTCACAGCAGTTTGAAGCATTCAATAGGTAAGCTATTATTCGTTCAATAATATGAGTATCAGGGTGGTGCACATCTGTTCAGGCTTTATACCTGCTGAACATGAGATAGGAATTGAAATCAGAAAAATGTCCAAGGGAGTACATAATTGTCCAATTAAATCCTTCAAAGAGAATCAAGCCAAGCCAACAAGACCTTTGTTTCAGGTTGCATTTCATGTTCCTCAATGTTTTCACACATTCTCTTATAGTCCGAGAGCAAGAGCACATCGTCAACATGACACATATCCCAACTTTCGTAAAAGCCAAAATCTTCTTCGTCCTCATCCTCATTCTCATCCTCGCCGCCCTGAAACCTCATATATTGCTGATATTTCTCTACTGGATTGTACGCCTTATAGCCAACAATGAAAGAGTTTTTTGGATTTGTTTGTTTTCGATATTGAGCAATAATTGCCGGACGCATCATGATTTCAGCTTCGAGGTACTCTCCCTGCCCGCTCAAACAATGTTTAAGAAAGAGTAAAATTGTTTCAGTAAGCTCATGATCCAAGTCACAAACCTCATTTCTCATAGGAAGTAGCGCGGCAAGGACTTTGACCGCTTCAATAGTTCTTCTTTGGTAGTGTAATACCCGAGCAAGCCATAAAATCGCTAAAGACGTCGGTTTTGTTGTCTTCCTATAGCTTTCTGGCGCAGAAGGACATATTTGCCGAAGGATGTTCTCTGCGTCGTTGTACCTGAGCTGACAGCAGAGCGATCTTGCCAAGCAAATCGTGGTCCACTTTGTATTTTCATGCTGTGGCCCGAGAACCTTCAGTTTTATATCTAAATCTCGGCGAAAGTATTCTTCAGACTCGCTATATCGGCCGAGATCATAAAGCGAATCTCCAATCCAATTACAAGCGGTAGCTGTTTCTTTATGGTTTGATCCATAAACTTGCAAGCATACTGATAACTGTTCACGAAAATATTGTTCAGCTTCGCTATATCGCTCAAGGTTGGAAAGCGAACGTCCAATCCAAAATAAACTGTCGGCTGTGTACTTATGCTTGGGCCCGAAAAAGCGGCGACGTCCAGCCAAAGCATCTTGGTGTGAATTCAACCCTTCTTCGTAGTTTTTCAGATTCTCATGGCAACGTCCCATGCATTCGTAGACGTTGTACCTCATTTCATCATCGTTATCGCCTAGCCTATTTAGAACTACGCGGAATATCTCCAGAGCGTTATGTGGCCTTGGGTTTATGCATAGCTGGCCAATTCCAATGATAGTGATGGTTGGAAAGCTACTTATCTTGCTCATAAGTAAACGGAAGAGCGCATCGAAGGGGCTCCAAAAATCTTTTATGTATTTGTGCCCTCGCAATATCGCGCTGAGTACAGAAAGTAAGTCGGCTTGTTTTGACAGCGAAAGAAGAGGACCGTCCGCTAGAAAATGGATCATTTTTGAGAAGTGGTCTTTAACTTGCAATGTAGCCGATTTGTTGTCAAAGCTTTGACTTTGCACAACGCACGTTACTGAATCAGAGGTATCAATATCGTCTTCGTCAATCAAATCCAAGAATTGACCCAGCAGACGTAATCGCTGAGAGTGCCACGAGTTTTGCGTATGTGCTTGATATATCATCTGAAAATGCTTCTTGACCTCATCTGTCGTTGTGGTAAGATTAGCTGAACCGTTTTCGAGCCATTCAGCAGCTTCTAGATATTCTTGTGGTGTGGGAGACATAGGCCCTTCTATGAAACATGAGATGATAATGATTTCGATCAAAGAAGCCCAATGAGTATCGAAAAAGTGCTTTACTCGCGCTAATGTTTCTGCACTAGGATCCCGCATTCTATTGAAGTGATATACAGTGAATTTGAAAGCGTATAGAAAAAAGGGAGGATACATCAAGTCATGTGACAAGAACATGCCCTCTCTTTGATGAAACCATTCAAATCCGTCGTTATTCATGCTCTCAATGCATGTATTGACAAAGAGCTCGTGAGCGTCTGTAAGTTCTACTCTTAGAGTCGAGATTTCCGAACCCCATTGTGTAATTTGCCTTGTCAAAAATTCTTTTGCCGTTTGATGGACTAGGCAGACCTTGTCGTTCTCAATATAGATTAAGCCCCTACAAGTTTGCATCAACATACTTGTGGGATTGAAACATTTGTATGCATCAAGCTGATCTCTTTCAAACTCGGGTAGACTTATTTGAGATGCCACTGCATGAGCATGCTGGAGCTCTTTCAACTCCAAAGCTCTACCAGACGCAGCAAGAATTTTGAAAATTATTTTTGCGGTCTCTAGTCCGGTCTCTCCATGTTCCTTCATAATGCTGTGTAAAATGCGGCAATATGCATCTTCTAATCCGAGCGGTAGGCACTGCAATACTTTCTTGATATCATTTCGACTATATGCCCCGCGGAGTTGATCCATGGCCAGCCTCGCCCACAGAAACATACCATCAGCTTTTTCCCATATGTCTTTGATGACCATGTCTTGAATTTCCGATTGTCCTAACGTTTGTATTTTTCGAGCTTCCGCCGTGATGAACGACTTGATATCTGCTTGGAGAATATCATTGGTAATGTGAATTCGCTGTATTGAAGTATGCTCTTCAAAAATATGAGGTCTACCAACTAGAAGCATTTTGAGTGACGAGGACGTGTTGATCGTTGTAAGAAGTTGCGTGAATAAGCCACTAATTGAGTCTTGGCATTCATCGATCCCGTCAATGATAAGGTATATTGAGGTTTTTGATTTGGTCGTAACTTCATTAAATGTTTCCCATAGATCAAATGTTGTAGGTTGGCCATTTAAAATGCGTGACTGGATGGTGTTGCGCATCTGTTCGTCTGGTGCTGATGTTAAGGCGTCGTGCAAAAGCCATCGTACCAAACCATCAACGGTCTGCTGGCTACTATCCAGATTAGAAAAGTAGAAGAACATTGTACTCCTATTCTGTTTCTGGAACTTCTCAATAATAGATGACGCAAGGACACTTTTCCCGCAGCCGCTCTTCCCTGAAACAAATAACAGGCGGTCATGATTACTTTGGCTTCTAGACGATTGCCATTGGACGAATGTGGGATTTGTAGTGATCCATTCACATGTATTTGGCGTTCTGCCTTGGAACTTTCTCTGGTGCACTTCTCTCATATTCGTCGCACCGAGCAAGCTGATTGCTCCTAGCTGATCTTGCCTTTGGCGGTGATCTATACATCGAGTTTAGTAATGATCAGGATGCTAGATAGAAAGAAGAGATGAAAGAAGATACCGTATTCTTTTGCACACCCAATAGCTCTAGCAGCATCATGAAAGCCATGCAAGTGCTTTCTTAGCCGATCAACATTTTCTTGGAATTCTGCTTTAGGGGGAGAGACCATCATTTTCCAGAGCCGACCTTTTCACATCATTAGCGATCATTTCTTGAGGTATACATAGCGGCGTGTACGAAGAAAAGAAAGCAAGGAAGAAAGAGAAAAAGAGTGCCCACCCAATGTACTAATTTTGAAGAAAGCCAAGGCTTTCACGCAGAAGCGTGTTATATCATTGAAGACGAAAAGCAGCTCTGTCTGCATATGCGGGTCTTTTAGACTTGGGTAAAGTGCTATGCGTGGCAGGTTCTCGGCAAGAATCTCGACCATTGCCGTGATATTTCGTACGACATACGAATGAGATTTAGATATCTGACATGACTGCGATTAGACCGTAAAACTAAAAGATCAAATTTGTAGAACTAGCGTTCTCTTACTTCGATAATGAATATCACTGGCGCCCATAGCGGGCACAAGACATCAGCTTTTGCATGGACCGCAAGCTCCACTACAGAAGAGAATGATTGTAGTCTCTCTGCATTATTCTTGAGTTTCTCTGACAGTTTGAACGATCTTTTTCTTTTATGCTTGCAATTCAAGTCATCCACGCATTTAACAAGGTGCGAAACACTATGTGTCTGATCAATGCATCTTTGGAAAACCTGATCGCCGTCTTTCAAGTGGTGAAAAAGTGATCTGGCCTCGGCGATTGCCTTTTGTTCGAGTGACTTCCCTTCCGTTGGGCTTTGCGACGCCATGCTCTACCAATAAAACACAGCACTCAGTTTCTAGAGCCTCTCTCGCGAGCGAGAATCATCAATGTGACCTAATAACTGCACAATAGAACTCAGAGTGTCTGGCGGCGTAGAGAAAGAAATATTGGAACTCTATAGTAAGGTTGCTTCTATAAAGTATTATGGCTGATTTTATAGCACGAGGCTCTGCCCCTCTCACTACGCCTCATGTGTGTGCCTTATGCAGGTGACTTATTGCCGTAGTTATGATAGGTCCACGTAATTCTACCAGTTGTGTGCCTTACGCAGGCGCCTTGTTGCTCTTGACATGATAGGTCCACGTTTCTCTTCCAACACCCAATCAGTAGAAAGGATAAGCCCATTGATTTCGATTATCCCGTGCAAGGTTTACGAGGCTCTTCTGAAATGAGAAGCTATTTTCGCGTATCTTTTGAAACGCCACCATTTGTTAAAAGTTGAAAATGAATTACTGGCAATTATTTTCCTTTTTCTCTTTCTTGTTCTTTTTAGATTTATTAAGCTCTGGCAGTAATTTTGGTGTGTATGTCGGTTTATATTGCCTTTCTCCTACGTCTTGGTTGGGATGCATGGCTAATCTTGGAGAAATGGATTTGCCGCTGAAAAGAAACCGCATGATAGTTCAAAAAATGAGAAATAGAAAATATTAGAAATCTTTAGGCGTTTACATATGGCTAGAACAAATAGACTCCGAGTATTAAGTTATCCACATTCCATATATGAAGGGCTTAAATAGAGCGGTGTTTGCATATTTAGGCCTCAGCTTTGCAGTTCGTTCGTTCTCATTAGTTCTGCTGCTACTGATTATGCCACAAAATTTTGGCCAGCGTTTTGCTAGGCTCGGGGTCAGAAGCCAAGTAAGGTTCACAGTAGTAATGTGAGAGTATGTCGTAGCGTAAATATATTAAAACCAAGGTAACAAGACACACCAAGCCTTTTAGCTAAATTATGTCTTTCTGGCACAGCTGGCTGTTCGTCGCGGGTCCTGGAGCTTTTCGTCCCTGCGCCACCAATTTGCATAATTGACTCCTCTCCTTTATAGTCGTATATTATTCAAGACTAGAGAAAAATAGAAAACGGAAGAGACGTCGCAAAATTGATGCTGTGCCCGCGCTTATAAGTCACAAAAGCTTCCCAAAAGCTCTTGATGGTCCCTGAAAGTGGTCACCGGCTCCAGATACATGTAATTACCCCTGTGGCGTTAGCCACTTCCGTGCTTGGGCTCGAAATTTCTCGCGGCGGCAGATGCATCTAGACCCAATAGCTTCACCTGAAGAGGGGCGCTAACAGCTCTTCAGCTGGCGTTAGGTGCTTGGCTATTGACACAAGCATTGCAATAGTTTTGCGCTCCATTGCCTAATTCTGCCTGAATCTATGCGGGAGCTGCGCTAATCGTAGAAATATAGATTCAGCTACCAGGGGGAGCCCATGCAAATGGCCACTAGCTCTTTGAAGCTATCTGCGGATGCAAATGGATCGAGAACAACAACGAAGTGGCTATGGTGATTATTGTTATTATAAGGTTAAAAAGAAAATTTATCGTTAGAAGCTAAGTAAACAGATATATATAGAGGTTGACTTGACCATACATTCTCTACTTCATCTGTAGGCTTTTCAAAGTAAACACAGCTCGCCGTCAACATGGTCAAGGTCAACTCCGTCGTCTCTCTCCTGGCTCTGGGCTCCGGTGCCCTCGCCTTCGAGCGCAATGCTCAGCGTGGCCTCGTTGACGAGTTCGTCACTTGTACCACCGTGCTGGGACCCAAGTCAACCAACCACATCCCGACGAACTGGCACTACAAGACCAAGACCCTGACTTACACCGAGAAGGTCACGGTCACTCCTCACCCGACCGTCACGCCGACCAAGACGGCGACGAAGACCTTAACTAAGACCGTCTCGACTGTGCTTTCGGAGCCCACTTCTACAGACGTCCTTTCTACCACCATCACGAGTAAGTAAACATGCATGATATCTTGACACAATGTATGCGGCCAGGCTTTGGAAGTGCTAACATGTAAAAAGGGACTCGTTACGCCACTGCAACCAATGTTGTCACTCAGACAGATATTACAACTGTCGACACCACCATTATAACCACATCAACCACCACCATTCCTGCTCCCGCAGACTTCACTCCTGTTTCTCAGAACCAGGATTACGTCGCCAAGGTCAAGGCCCGCAGCGCCAAGAACCTCCTCGAGCGTGGAAAGGACGTCGTTCAGTGCAAGAAGAACCCCAAGGGCGGCCACTCTTTCTACCCTCCTCTGCACCCCCAGTCCGTCACCTGCAACAAGCTCGTTGAGCCCGTTGTCTACAAGCGTGTCACCGTCACCGCCAAGCCTCACACTATCACTGCTGTTCCCAAGACCAAGACTGTCAGCAAAACCGTCACCAAGACTCACACCGATACCGTCTGGCCCAATGAGATTACCAGCACCATCACTTTCGGTACCGCGGTTACTGTCACTTCAACCATCGATTCCACTACTACAAACTACATCACCGCCTCCAGTAAGATGACCCCCCTTTTGACTTTTGAGTCTGTCATGTAGACTAATCTTGCCAACTAGACACTGTTTCCGCTGTGGCTCCTGAAGAGACCTTCAACGCAATCTGCGGCGCTGACAACATTATCAGCTCTGCCAACGGCGGTCGTGATATTTCCATCCAGGCCGCCTACCCAGACTACTTGTCCCTTGTCTCTGCCTCAGATTCCTACTCGTGCTGCTTGGCTTGTTCCAACACTGCGGCCTGCCGTGGTTCTTTCTTCTATCCCGGCGGTTGCTACCTGGTTGTGGACCGAAATGGTGTCTGCCATGCCAACCAGTACCAGACTGGATCCGGATACTTCAATGAGCAAGGAACCCCTGGCTCAGTTAGCAATGGTCCTTGTGGCCTGCTGTCTAACCTGGGTAACCACAACAGCATCGTCTATTAAGCCGATGGCAAAGACGCGACGCTTCGAATCTTGAAATGTCTTTCGGGGCATTTACATATAACTTTATATGTAGAACTTATTTCTCAATATACCTACTTAATTAGAAGACACAATGAATAGATGAATACCTCCAAGTCTACCACAAAAAACACTATGGATTGTGAAGAAGAATGTACAGCAATCAAACTGTCCAGATGACATGAGCGTAGCATATAAGCAGTTAATGATACTAGTATTGAGCGCCTGTCATATTAACACTGATACTAAACTCAAAGAACATCATTGCACAGAAGTCATTAGGATACAACTATTTTAGAAGCCGTTAATCCCATTCAGTGGCTTGACTCAATGAATAGCTTGTTGCACCTTGGGATAGACTCTAATCATTTCCTGATATAGCTCTGGATGATCTCTTATCATTACCTGAGGATCCCAACCAGCTGCAACGAAGATAGTGTCGATACCGCTGCCAATAGGAGTTGTGAATACATGCCCGATCTGAAAGCCGATTAAAAATGCATAGGCCATGATAACGGCAGTGAACCCTCCGTCACGGTTGTATGGCGGGTCAGTTTCGAGAAGGTAGAGATAAGCAAAGAGAGCGCATGCGTAGCCAATGAAAATGGCACCAAAAGAGAGCACAGGTCCAACGAGGCAGTCCTATTTGTGACTGTTAGTAAGGTGCAAGATAAACAGAATATATTGTAGCAACTCACGTTGACAAGCGCATCGATGCCACGATCCTTAATCATCCTCCAGGTATCTTTGGCTGAAGCAATGTATGCCTTACCGTAGAGAGCAATGTGGCAAAATGCATACCGGTTAACGAATTGCACAGCCCATTCGATGATGCTTATTACACAAGTAAGGAGACAAAAGATGGCATAGGTAATCCAACCGGCGACACCCCCCTCGCTGGCTGCCTGCGACCGAACAACACTGCACAGTTGCTTCAGCGCCTGAATAAAGGCCACTATGAGACTTCCGAAGCATATGGACCCGAAGCTGTAAGTGAGTGCTCTTTTGGCAGCGCCGCGAGTCGCCCTTTTTGGGAAGTTATGCGGTGAAAAGTACCACGATCCATAAACGCCAGCGATGATGGTGTGGATAGTATTCTTTAACCACTCAGAAATCCAGAACATTGCAAACGTCACGTAGACGACAAAACCAATGACCTTGCTGTGGCTGCAGTTATTCCCCGATACAGAGCATCGCGGATTGTCGGGCGATGGCTCGTAAGAGACATAGATGGCAACGAGTGTAACCGAGAACCAGGCAGCCAATGCCGTTGCGCAAAAACCTCCAATGAGGCTTACGAGATAAACATGACCATATTTCTTGCTGACATCGATACTTGTCTTGAGCATCAGAGCTGAGAAGGGGATCCTGCTGATCCAGGTAAAAAACGCGAATATGAGGAACGCGGCGAAGATGATGAACACTATTCCAGCAGACCAGTATCCTTTGATCAAGTAGTATATTGCGGTTCCGAGCGCCCAGGCGAGGTTGATGATGCCTGTGATCCAAATAAACTGCTTTGGAAAGAGGCGCGCCAGCCAGACATAGATGTACGAGAAGACGAAGGCAATAACGAGACAGAAGGCGAAGAGTATAATGGTATTACTGTTGAGTGAAAAGCTATTTAAGTCGTCGTAGATGCCGTGTCCAGCGAATCCTTTGGAATATCCGTGAATCGAGAGGCCCGAGATGGCTACATAGCCTCCGAAAGCTGCGAGGAACTGCAACACAGAAATTCATTTGTTAGAGCTATGATTCAACAAGAACGAGTCCTCCAATGAAGCACTTACCAGAAGGCCCGCCCACCAATCGTTGTATTTGGGCTTCTCAAGCTTGAATGCGTCGTTGAAAGAATATTTTTCGTCGTCTTCGCGTTTGGGAGGGTTGAAGCTGTAGGGCGGAGGAGGGCCATATGGATGATCCTGGTAGCCATTCATGGGCTGCTGCTGCTGGTGGTTGCCATTGTACGCTGGAATATTGTTGTTGTATCCCTGATTATACTGAGCCTGGTTCTGGTAGTCGCCATGATTTTGGCTCTGGCCCTGATGTTGATATTGCGGTTGATTCTGTTGGGAATCGCCCTGCTGCCGGTATTTGTCTGCTTCACCCATCGTGCATATCAAATTCAACGACAGCTGATTAGAGAGAAAGACTGGCGCCCAATCTATGGCTAAAGACGGCGAGGGGGGTGGTAGAGATGTCTCAGATCATTTACACACAAAGCGCAATGGAAGGGAGAGATGAAGGGATAAGGCAAATTACGAGGTAAACCAAAAGGCAAGAGAGCCACGAGGGCTTTGGAGTGAGCCATGGATTTTCACGTGGAACTGCAAACAGCTGCAGGTACAGAGCTCAGCTACCTACCTCTGCAGCGACGCTGTAATGGATGAGGTCATGACATCGCAGCTATCAGATTAGCGGGTTCCGATCGGTAGCGACTAGGTCCCCATTCGCTGGATACAGCGCCTCGGAGATTTGAATGGCTGCTGTGATCGGCCTATCCGGCGCTAAAGCCGCGGTCTGGGATAGACTTTGGAGCTGCCCTGGTGGCTTATTGTTAGCTGCTAAGGAGAGCCGGAAGAGGCCGCATGCAGACTGTTTGAAATGATAAGGGCTATAAAGTATAGTGTGCTTTAATGAATAGAGAAATCGAGATGAATAGATAGACTAACGGGAAAATGGAAGATCTTCAGATCGATCAGGGATTGATGTTTTGTCGGCATAGTGTACTTGTACATTAAGTCGTAGCATTGTTATTCATCCTTCTCTTATTTTCGAGTACCAACATATACACATTGTCGTCACACAGTATATATTTCCCTTGGTAGGCAGTAAAAACATGTGTATGCCACACTGCTCTCTGATAGTGGTAACTTGGCCTCGACAGCCCTTTCTACGTCTAATCGTACCTATTTGGGCTCCGTACATGCATCTACTTGCTCATCTGCTCTTGCCACTTAACTCCATGCATTGATACCTACCATCAGCTCAATAGTTCGCTTGGCCACGATTAGATCATCAAATGCGTTTCGAAAGACTGTAACGAGCAGCTTTCAAGTAGTAAAGGAGTCGCGTACAATCCCGATTTTTTTTTTTTTTTTTTACGTTTTGCCTCTGATCCTTTCTTGATATATTTCATCGAATCTTTACAAATGAATTGTGTCAAAAAAGCTGGAGCTTGCGTGTTCTCTATCCTCTAACCGCGCGCATCGGTTTACATGTAGATACTCTATGAAATAACAAAGCAATCTGCTGAAACACAGCCGTCTGTGGCGATAAGCCCAAATCCTCCTCCTCTGTACGCACCATCAACAGAACGTAATTCTGTATCACCAACACGAGCAACAATGTTCTCGCCATGAGCTGCCAATGTTACTCGATATTTATAGTCCAACTCCCATGGAAACGCCGCAGATGAGAGTATGCTCCTGTGCGCGTCGTGTGCCTTAACGACGTTGATCCTCTTATCGGCAGTGAAAGTTACGGCGTAGTAACGGTTGAGTCCTTGAACTCTGATAGCTAGACCAGCTGGAGCCCCGAATTTGACCATGAAATTCGGAATTGTGATACTGTAGTTATCCCATTCTCGCGTGCCGTAAATTATAATGCCCTCGCCTTGCCCTTGGGCAATCAGGAACGAAGAGTTGCTGAAATTATCGGCGCCATTGATCCAAGCACGGCGCCAGAATCCACACGGCTGCTGTTGAGGTACTTTGAGTATCATATTAGGCACGCCTGTCCAGGAAAGGCTGTCAAGCCAAACGGTACCTTCAAAAGGTTGTGCTGAACCCCATCTAAGCACGATACCAATCTTCTGAATAGGCTGACTGTCCATTTCATCTGGTATTGTCCAAAGTAGGGATTGAGTCTCCCCAATGGCAAGTGTAACAGCAGGGCCATCAACTTCGACCAGGTCATCGTTTCGGCTATATACCTTCAACCTCAGCCCAATACTTATATTGCCGTCTCCCTCGCCACCGATGTACACTTTGGCCATGACTGTCTGACCTGGGTATAACAGTGGTGATGCCATCAACTCATAAGTCTTCATATATAAGACCTCTTTCGGTGTAAAGGTCTGAGTAAGAACCTCAATCTGGCCTGGTTCTCTGTATATATTTTCCACATCTATCGCCAATCCAGGGCCATGGGCATCATTGACTCGCTGCTGTAGCACAGCTGAAGCGCCCTGCCCACTGCCAGACGGCCATGACAGCTGAAAGCCCTGAACGCTTCCTGGAAGGCTAAAGTGGAATTGCGCGCCACGCTTTGGAGGTTGAAGGGTATCGTGGCCAGCCAGCAGTCGGCCCTTGTTGGCAATGTCGTATGCAATCCGGGCAGCGTTGTTGATGGAATATCCACCATCTGCACTCGAAATGAGAGCACGGTCTGCCAATGGACCCCTCCAGTCATAATTCCCTTGGAAAGCAGGGAGTCCAAGCATGATGCCAACAAGGCAGCCCACGTTACCAGAATTGCAGTCCGTGTCCCAGCCGCAGGTATTGATGATGTGCATAGCTTCATCAAAATCATTGCTAGCGTAAAGTACAGCCATTATCATAAGGGCATGGTTGGGAATTACATGGCAAATGCCATGAAACTTGTCGTATCCATACGACTCCTCTATGCGCTGGCGGGTTTTCGTCCAATCCCCATCTTCTGCGACCCATTTCCGAACGTTTCCGATTACACGAGCAACGAGAGAGTCTTCAGGGATAGTTGAAAGGCCAGTGTTGAGAAGGTGGTCGATGTCCTTTGATATGAAGGCTTCTGACTCCATTGCAGCCCACAATTGAGCAGCATATACAGCCTCTCCATCATGGCTAACTGAGCCAGCAGCGCGAGCAAGCTTGGCTGCAAGGCTAGGATTCCCCGGAGCTACTAGAGCCCAGCCATCAATGAAGATTTGCGCACCTATTTGCTCAGCAACTGTCCGTCCATTTGTCTGTATCGCACCACTAAGAGGCGCAGGTATGCCTCGCTTCAAATTCAAGAAGGCTGTATGTTCTGTTGACATACCCCTACCGCCCCACCAGAATATTGTGCGATTCTCTATAACATTATTGAGCCAGGTTTTTCCAATGTCTTCAGAAGATATGTCAGGATTGCACCCGTGCTCTTCTAGAGCCCTCACAAACTGAAATGTGCCAGAGACATCGTCATCAGTGACGACGAGGGGATCACCAAGTCTTTCATGAACGTAGCCGCGAATGTGGCCGAGCTCTTCAATTATTCTCTGATGAGTCCAGTTTTCGAATGGGCGTCCGACATACACGCCAATAAGTTTCCCAAGTACTCCTGCATAGACTCTCTCTAGGTAGTCGTGTGGCAGTTGTGATTTGTTCATTGTGGTTCTTGAGGCTTAGAATTCAGCTATTTATTCGAGAACAACCGACCACTCTTTATACATTAATTATAACGGGTGAGAATGATAACTAATTACGAGAATAGCTGTGCGAACGGAGATGGAGCATATCTTCATACCGAAGCTATAATTCCAGAATCAAGATCTGTCTGTTCCACTTCCGCATTACGAAGCACCTAATACAGGTGCTTCCCCGCATGCCTAAATCCCGCTAAACGAGGGGCAGAGATAGCATTGTTACTGGCTACAGGTATTTTACGGCGGAAAGTGTGTGCAGCGTTCTTTGTTTCATTTTCTCATAACCATGCTCCTGTCCAGACCGGGATGAGCCATCTATTGGAGAGACAAACAATTTAGCCGGAGTATGACGCGAAATTCACGTTATACTCCAATCATCGCAATACTTGTATCTACAGCCACCGGGAAAAGTCATGGCTCAGAGTGAGATTTCATTTCCGGCGAGAAGAAAGGTAAGATACAGCAATCCGATTCTGAAACCAGGGCTTGCAATATGGTTATGTGATCGTCGGTAAAACTACTAGATACTGAATGAAACTGTTATTTTATTATGCTAAATCAGGCGTACTCTTTGCGAATAGATTTAACGGGTCGAGCCGACTCTTGATAGATCTGATTCGAGCCAGACCATCAGCTCCGTAGTAATGAAGACCGTCACCCTTATGAGGTGAACAGAAGTTGAGATACTTGTGCGGCATAGCAAGACCTGCTGCGTTAATGCCATCGGACACCTTATTTACCCACGCATCACAACTCTTCAGTCCCTCTTCATCATCGGGAGGCGCCGCTGCGAAAATGCCGAGCATCACGTGTGGTTCACGATTTGAAAAGGCTCCATTCGTCATGAGGGTGGAACCAGAACCTCGTGTGCCTGCTCCATGTCTATCGTGGATGACAACAATTGATGTAGAATTTGGTAGTGGCTCTGACAGGATGCGGCCGAGCTCTTCCGACCAGACAGGAACTGAGACTGTCTTCCGGAAAAATATGAGTTCTGCAAAAAGTTCGGGGTTCTTAACGGACATAGTAAATCCGTACGGCGTAGCTATGGTTAATTGTCAGCGTTTCCAGGCGAGAGAATGACGAGTACTCGAAGCTTACTCTCTTGGACTGTATTGACCAGCACGGTTCCAAGACTCAACATGCGCTCAAGATAATCTTTTGCCTCATCAAGATCGCTCTTGTCTTCGTCCAGAGCCCAGGCAGGAAGGAAAAAGAATAAGCCTTCGCCCCCCGGTGGGTGCACGATGCCTACATCGGCCACGAGCTTATTAGGCTTCTTCCATGCATACAGTTTGGCGAGCCTCTCAGTGATTTGGGCCGCTTCTTTCTGAGGGAACCCAACTAGCCCGCCTAGAAGGGTCGGACGACGGTGTACTCGAACGCGGAGACAAGAAACTACACCAACGACACCAGCTCCGCCACCGCGAAGCGTCCAGAGCACATCGGGGTCGCAGTCAGCATCGCCTGTGTCCATAATACGCCCATCAGCCAGGACAACCCTTCCGCCGAGGATATTGTCCGCGGCCATGCCCATGGTACCATTCCATGAGCTATATCCACCGCCACAGGCAAAGCCGACATAACCAACTACAAGAGAAAGGGGCGTTGGCGTTGCAAGGCCGTGCTCGTCTAGGAATTTGAGTAGCCTTTCGGATGACACTCCTCCTTCGACCGTTACATGCTGCCGATCCGCGGACAGAATCATTTTATCCACAGAGCGAACGTCAAGCGAGACATCTTTGGGCCCAAAAGCGCGGCTCCTGCCCCCTTGGTCGACGCCAGAATTCCGAATTGCCAAAGTTAATCCATTCTGAGAGATATATCGCACCGCTGTAGAAATTTCGGCTTCATCCGTAGGGCGCACGGTAGCTACAGGCAGAGTTGTGACAGACCTGTCATTGATTCGATTCAATGCTTCATAATTGATAGAAGAGGCTGTATAGATGCGGAGATTGGGGGCCTCACGATGTAACCCTAGGAGAGCCGGCGCATCTTGCTCGATCGATGAAGTTGAAGAGGCTCCCGGGGGAGGATCAGTGTGGAACTCAGGACCAGATGTTATCGAAATCATTGTAAGTCAAGTTTGCCAAACCATTTATGTAGGAATGTCTGCGCATAGACTGGGGCTTCTGCTTTACTATGCTGAGAAAAAATTCGTGAAAAGTATGACTCGGCACGGCTTATATACATGTATTTAGATCTAGTCAACATGGGGATTCGGGGGAGTTACTTTGACGTGGCTGCTCACCTAATCTTCTTCACCACGCGCCTCACGGAATTAAGGTGTGTTATGGGCCAAAGCCGATCCCACCAGCAGGTGTAAGTCCCAGAGAATGTACATGAAATCAGGCAATTTACTCATATACTATTAGGTTCGCTCGAATCGAGAACGCCGTAGCTTACCAACTAACAGGGTTGAGTGCATCCTATTCTCCAGGATGAGCCAAATTCGTAGCATGTTGTCGCGACTAGAGATAGTTGGGGCAATGCGAATGTTGTTTAGGTACGAATAAGGCAATAAGCAATTAATAATCTGAGCCGGGCGAGACAATCAGCTTTTAGCGTTGCCTTGCGCTACACGGATTTAGAAAACGGGCGCTGTCAGCGGGCTCTCATGTAGTATGTAACGAGACTACATGTAGATATACATTTGTAATTCGTCGTAATAGTTGCTCTAAGTGTATAAATTGCCCATACAGGCCCCCTCACTCTCGTGTAACTCGATGCAGCCGGTAAGCTGCAAATGCCAAGCCCAGATATAATGCCTCTCTCTATAGCGAGTAGCTAAATTCAGCATTTTCCTTATCCGTCAAATCAAGGAATTCTTGATTCTCAATTCTGGTGTAAGACGGATCTGCCCGAACGAGGCGCTTCTTGGCGTTTTGTCGGCGGTAATATGCCCAGATGAAGACAAGGTCTACGATACACAGTGCCCAGCAAACCAAGATGGTGATTTCGCCTGGTCGGTATTCGGGAGCATCTTTCGGTCGGAAAGTCTGGGGTCCTGAATGAGGGTCAATAAATTGTGAGGCTAATGCAGTGTGTATGCACGATGCTTACCGATAATATTCCCAACGCAGTAAGCTACCAGATACATTGCTGCTACCGTCGTCTTCTTAGTCCATCCTAGCAATGCATTAGTACGTGAAATACACACAAATTTGTTGGTCTTCTTACCCGCGACGTTTGTAGATATCAAGGACAAAATTGCGACGAAAGGAGCAGCATCTGCCTGGTTGATGTTAGTTTGATCCTCATCCCCATCTTCACTGCATAATTACCTGAGTGAGATAGTAACCAGCCAGTCTGCCAGCAGGCCGGTCCAACGGGATTGCAATAATCATGATCATGCCGACCATGGACAGTACGAGGGCAGCTATAGACACCAAGAGGCGGCTCCCAAGTCTATCTCCCAGAAATCCGCAAAGGAGCAGCGTGACGACTTCGACTGCTCCACCAGGAGTGCCATAGAGCAAGCTCTGCTCGGGAGTGTAGCCAAACGAGACAATGAGTTGGCTGAAGAAGTTGGAAATTCCACCATTAGGAATATCAGAAAGCAATGCGTACAACACGAAGCCCCACACGATAGGGTCTGTTAAAGCCTCCTTGACCTGGTACCATTTAAAGTGCTTATTTCCGATACCCTGTTCGTTGACTTTGATCCGGTGGACAGCCAACACACGCTCTTCTTTGGTAAGAAATCTCGCGTTCAGCTGATTATCGGGCATGACGAAAAAGAAGATTATTCCCATGGTGCTCGTTAATACTCCAGTAAAGATAAAAATCGCTTTCCAGGGTGCAATCGAAAATCCGTGGATGTCGGCACCGCGAGCGAAGCCATATGCTACCAAGCCGCCAAAAATTTGAGCCTCCAGCAATGTTAGCAATAATGATACAAAAAGAAAAGGGGTTGTTAATAAGTTGCCATACAAAGCCATTGAAGCTGAACCATATACTGGTTCTAAATCCTTGCTCTTTCTTTGTATACCACTGCGATACAAATAAAGTGAATCCAGGAGTGACAGCAGCTTCAAAAACTCCTAGAAAGAGACGAATAACCACAGCTCCTCCAAAGTTCTCAGTAGTAGCAAACAAAGCAAGGACAAGTCCCCACATGATGATGTTGAAGGCGGAATATTTCGCGAGCGGTAATCGTTGTAGGAGGCGATTTGTTGGAAATTCCCAGCCAAGGTATCCTTTGTATAACATCAGTCGACTATCTCCAGAAAATTCGAAGAAGACGGTTTACCGAAATAAAATAAGCTCGATAGCCACTGGTAGTTGTCGCCAACAAGTTTGAGGTCGGTTTTTAAGCCCATGATACTAGCATATGATAACGTCGTTTCTATCAAATGTTAGATGCTGTACACAATACTCACGATTAGCGGTATGACGTTTCTCACTGTCAAGGTAATTGAGGCCGTAAATAATACACATTAGCTGGAAGGTAATAAATAGTTAGCCGACTGACAAGACGCATACAAATGCCATAACTAACAGGCATAAGATTCATATCGATCTTGCGCAATAAACGTCGCTCGGTCTCCTCATCAAGCTGCAAAGTGGCGGCATCAAGGCCGGCAACGGCGTTAAGAGCGTCATCGGCATCGATTTCGACAACCTCTCCCTTCTCAACAACGGCCGTAGAACGAGGGACCTCATGGTCGACCTTGTCGGTCTTTTCTGTCGTGTCGTCCGCCATTGTGAACCTAGTATAGTTATACGTAGATGTAAAAAAGAAAAAAGGAAGCGGTGTACACTCCCTCTACATAACTCGGAAATTGAATAAATTGAAATTCGCCTGAACTGGTTGATCAACCCTACCTCTTAAATAGGATGTGGTTACATTGTCTTACTCCGATACCAAACCCCGCTCTCTCCTCACAGATACAGGGGTGTATCTACACACTATCTACAAGACCTATGCGGAAGGCGATTGACTTTCGGCGAAAGATAAGACACTCAGGATGCTGTTGCGTGCTCCAGATCCGTGCATTGCATATCGTCCGATCCGGAGGTATTAGTCCCCTGCGCACATTATCTGTCATAATAGCATAACAGCATACTTCATTCCTTTGCTCGTTCATTCTACACAATCTATACGTAACGCAATATTTGCCTCCATGTACATGCGTGCAAAGCGCTGAGCAAACAGCATGTTTATCAACTCGTCAATCTTGCCTCTTCGGCATAGCGTAGTGTGGGGAGAGGCTAAGGTGAAAAGCTATGCAGGGATGAGAATAGCCGGTGACGCAGAGATCGTCATGTGCACCGGAAGCGAAATCCACGGCAATTGCCTGGAGTTGGCTGGCTTTGGCCTTATCTCGGGCTATGTGATTCCGATATGCCCGGCATATCCACTGTCTTTCAGGCAACGATAGAGCCGTTGCGATTACTGATAGGCCCTGTCTTATCAGCTAATTGGAACAAGGCGGCTGTCTAAAGGGTGTCAGTTTATGAATAAATTGCATTAGCTTCTTCGGAATTTATCTCTATCAGAGTAGTACTCGCATACAGTAGTGCTTGATCTTGTTTGTTCCGAAAGTGACCCTTTCTCAGAGTAACCCTACCAGTGTAAGCAGCTTAACGATTCCATGCAGCGATTCGGCTGCAGCTCGAACATAAACTGCATGAATGACGCAGATCATGGCTTTAAGGAGTCTTCGTCTAGATTCTGGGCGATACTTCTGGCATGGGTCGTGTGAAGATACTTGCTATTAAAGCAGAGCTAGAAACTGATACCCATGATAACTATTACCAAAAATGGGACAAGATAAGAAAGAATGATTTAGCTCTAGACTTGCGCTTCAGTCTTTCAACTCAAGGCCTTTTATAACTAAATACTGCTTGCATACTACTTTTATGAATGCCTCTACTTATGGAGTGCATGGCGCTTTCTTCTATTTCTCTGATCCAATATGAAGCCTTCATTTGTCTATTATATTAATGTGTTGTCTAAGTTTCGTCTTACCTCTTAGTCTTCCCTATCAACCATTCTGTATCCTTCTTCTCCATGGCCACGCTTTGATCTTGCTCTCTTTCGCCAATAGAATGCTCCTGCATAAAAAACGCCCACAACGCTAAATACTGAGCCACCCATCACTCCTAACGTGCCAGTGCTGAGACTTTGTTCTTCGGAAGAGATTGAGGCTGACGGTGATGGCGGTGAAGGCGGCGATGGAGGCGTCGGTGGTACTGGAGATGATTGCGGCGGCGGTGATGCGGGTGGCGGAGGAGGAGGGGGGGATGGCGGCTTCAAGCTAACTATATCGCTTGTGACTATAGCAGGCTGGCCATCGTTTGCAAGGTCGATGACGACCGTTGAGCCAAGGACATTGCCGGAGGAAGATACCGCTGCTGCGGCGAGGTACCGACGAGCGATATCTTTTGTTGTGAGAGGGATAACGGTCTCAAATCCCTGCCGAGGAGATTCGGCAATGAGATTTGTATAGTTGCTTATGGTCTTGTGATCGTCGGAGGCAAACTACGTTGCGGTCAGTATTCTATGCTATGAGATGTGGAAGAGATGGAGTGGCTTACTATGGCCCATGAGGATACATCTGTTGCACCGTTCCATGAAACGTAAACGGTGGCATCTATCGTGCTGGCATTAGGTGCATCAGCAGCCACAGTCGGTGGCCACGGTGGCCTTCCGGTCCAGTCTCCCTTGTTCACTCTGTAGGCGAACATGTCTGCCAACACCTCGCCGCCAATGATTCCTCTCTGGAAGTCCATCACGGGCGTTCCGTCACTCTTATACTCTACAAAGCCGGGATTATGTCCCCATCCTGTCATGACATTCCCGCTGCCGAGCGTTTGGTATCCTCCCATAGCGCCGGAGTCGATATTTTCTGGGTGGAAGAACTGACTGACTACTCGGGCGGTGAGGGCGACGGGGTCAACAGCGATGTGGAGAGCGCGGCTTTGGCATTTTTCCTGGCAGACGCCGCTGTATTCGCCGTGGTTGTCGAAGAGGGTGATGTGAGTCTCGCTCGGGTTGTCGGAGGGAAGGATGCGGGCATCGTGCTGCCAGCCGATGTTGGTGGCTTCGCCGTTGGAGAGGTCAGTGAATTGGTTCTTCCTGCCGCCGAGTATCCAGATTGGGTGGCCGTCTTTGCCGTCTATAAGAGTGAGGAGGGAGAGGTGGCGACTAGAGACGAGGTAGTTGCCGTCATCAGTCTATAAATTATTAACGATAATGAATCCCTGTATCGTATCTCTTTAGAGGCTCACCTTCTGTACAGAGTTTATGTGGAAAAAGTCAAAGCCAGAGTCCGGGCTGACACCATAATCTTCGTTGTATAAGGCGAACGAGTCGCTTATATCAAAGAATCTGGAGGCATGCCAGTCGAAGACTAACTGATTGGTTGCTGCATCGACCTCCTGGAAGCCGCTGTCCATGAGAAGGGCGTTGTCGGGTCCTCCCACAGAGGTGCAATCATAAGGAATATTAAAATATGTTGAAAAAATAACGCTGTCGTCTTTCGTAACACTAAGCTCGTGCATATCGGCCTCCGCATCGCCGAGCCCTTGCGCCGTGACGGTGTATTTGAGGTTGTAGTCTTGGTCGAAGAAGAGGCAGTTTCCATTGGCGTGGCCGCGCGTATGACCGCCCTCCCAGAAGGCAAGATAGCGTGAGCCGTTGATGGTATGTACGTTTGATGTATAAGTATTTTCATATCTTTGATCTGCGTATATGAGACTCATATCGCGAGCGTCGAATATCATGGGCCCTGCTTTCCATTCTCCGTAAACTGTACCCAGAAAGATATATGATGCATTGTCGACTTGATCTTTTTCCCACTTGTTTACGAAGAAGATGGGGGCAACAATGGCTGAAGAGCGAAATGTTTGGCTGGGAAATCCGCCTTGCGAGTTGGCCAGATCTATGTATTCGGTTGCGTTTGTGATGAGCGGGACGTCGGCTAGAGCAGAGTGGAAGAAGAGCGCGGCCGCGCTGAAGAGAGAAGAAAAGCGCATTGCGTGGACGTTTTGTCAAAATTTAGAAACGTGTATATGAAAGAAATTAATAGAGAAGAATGGATATAGACGCTTTCATGAATGAAGTACAAGATGGGTATCTGGAGGTGGACTCATCGCAATAGATGCTGGCGATAGTTGAGAGCTTATGTGCAGTAGCCTTCAAGACTGGCTCAGCAACTCGAAATGTATCAAATGAATGAATTAACCAGGAAAGACAGTCAAAAATGCACAATGAAGAAAACCAAGAATTAAAAAGTCGACTACTTCCCACAAACTCTCCAAGTGGGCTGGTAGCTTTGTTTTAAAAACGAATTCTCATCGCACATCGTCATACGCGGCCCTTTCCCCTTTTTTACTATACCCACTTACCCTCGACTTTGTGGGCTGCCCAAGTTTGATGATCGACAGTAACGGCGCCAAATTCGTGGCGGTTCTGGAAGTTTGGTTCGCCAAGAAGAATAGGGGAGCAGGAAGTTTGTCTTGAGACTGGGTGAGAAAATGGGCATGATTTGATGAGACTTCTTGGATGCAGGGAAAATGCCAAGACGATGGGCGTTGGCGATCCTCTTGGTCTGAAACAAATTGTGGTTGGCGAGGTGCCGTTGAGCCGGTAATGGCAGAGGTGAAGAGATTGTTGTATTTAGAACGAGAATGGTTATAAAAATCGTTGTATTTTCTATTGAGAAGGGTTTATTGACTTGTATATCTATAGGTAACGCTGTTTACTATACGGATAAGGATTTCGAGATGGAATTGCCAGAACCTGCAAGGTTATGGAGATAGTTGCTGATCGTCAACCGTTTCTCAAATGCCTAACTATGGCTAGGTGTGAATGAGAGAAGCAATTTTCCACCAGTTCCTGGTATTATCCCAGCTTGGCACTATAAATTCGACCCATTCGACCAATAAAATCTCCATGGACTCTACCTTTGTCCAATCTCAGAGCATTGAAGCAAGAAAGCCGGCATCCCGAAAAATCGGAGGTGCTCGGCTCCGCAGTGGGTCCTGCTTGCGTGGACGTTGCAAGCAATTTCTGCTGAGGCCGACGATCCGCAGCGATGGTCCGGTATGTGGCGGTATGTTGTATAATTTCACTTGCTGTATGATACCAATGATCGATATGGAGATTGGAGTAAAAGGCTGAGATGGAGCATGTATTTCATAAACAAAGTTTTGATTAAAACGATACTATAGACAAGAGACTATTCAGACATATAAGTGAGTATCAAGATGTGTACGCGATGCTTTATCTCCAGCTCATCTAAATGGGCTCATCCCTCGGCTCAATCAAAATCTCATTCACCGCAACATGCTCCGGCTGGCACACCGCATACACAATCGACCTTGCCACATCCTCCGGATCTAGAATCTTCGCCCCCGACGGCTCGCCATACTTCTTCACGGCCTCGGCATCAGTAGACATGCCAAGCAGATCCGTCGCCGTGTTGCCCGGCTGGATAGCAGTCACGCGAAGGCCCGAGCCCGCATTCTCCACGCGCAGGGCTTGTAGCGTCGCCTCGACGAAGAACTTGCTGGCCGAGTAGACGCCCAGGCCGGGGAACACTTTGCGGCCTGCGTCGGAGGAGATGGCGACGAAGTGGCCGGTCTTGCGGGCCAGCATGTCGGGGACGGTGGCGGCAATGCAGTTGAGGACGCCCTTGCAGTTGACGTCGACGGTGCGCTCCCACTCATCCGTCTGGACGTTGGCCATCATGGTGTAGTACATGACGCCGGCGCAGCAGACGATGATGTCGACGGGGCCGAGCTTCTCCGTGGTTTCTTTGACGAGGGCATCGACCTGGTTCTTGTTTGAAACGTCGGTCTTGTGGATGAGGACCTTGCTTCCGCTGATGCTGCTGTTGATCTTGGCTTTGATGCCCTCGAGGGCGTCGGTTCGGCGTGCTGCGAGAGCCACAGACGCGCCCTCCTTGGCGAGGCCTGCAGCGACTGCAGCGCCGATGCCGGACGAAGCACCTGTGATGATAGCTACTTTACCGGCCAGACGTCCCTTCTTTGCACCAATAGCCGCAGCTGTTCCGTTGGCTGTAAGTCGACGAGGTGGCTTGGGGAGCCATCCTCGAGCGTAAAAGTGCCGCATATATGTTTCAAGCAGGGCATTGTCGATGTTGACGCGCTTCAAGCCATATAAGTCTAGAGTTGGCTGGGTGGCACCGTCCTTGAGAACAATGGAGCCCTTTAGTGAGTCGACAGTAGGCATTCCTCCACGCAAGATATCCACGGTAAAAGGCTCGTCTCCTCCGCGGGACTCTCGCTTCTCCCTCCATAACTCTACCCATTCGTCCCACTCCAAGCGTCCCGTTTCGTAGCCCAGCTCGGCTAGAGAATCAAACAAAGATGATGCTTTGATCGGGCTGGGGTCTCCCAGGTGGTACACCAACTGCTGGCCTTGCGTGTGATCAGCCAGTGTGATGATGGCTCTGCTTACGAAATCAACGGGCGTCATTTCCATGACCCAGTCGGCAACATCGGGAGCCTGGCCGAGATGGAGCGATTCAACAACCAGGGCATTGAGAAGATCGTATGTGTTAGCAGCACCAGTGACGCTGTGGCCGCTGATGGTGCCTGGTCGGTAGATCTTCACTGGGATGCCTCTCTTGCTTGCCTCAACCACCAGCTTCTCTGCAACCCATTTTGTCTGTCCGTAGCCATCTTGTAGCTTGTTGGGGACATCGTCAAAATCAATCATGGTGTCCTCGGACCAACCCTCAAGTGAAGGTGGCAGCACGCCGTTAGTAGAGACGTGGTGCAGTGTTGCTCCGCCACGCGAGGCAAGACGAATAATCTCCCTTGTTCCGTTCACGTTTGCGCTTCTCAGGGCGGCATATGGATAGACGAGGTTGACAGTGGCGGCTGAGTGGACTATGACTTCAACACGAGATGCGAGCTCTTCGAAAGCCTCTGGAGATAGACCCAATCGGCTCCTGGCCAGGTTGCCTGGTACAATCTCCATACGTTCCAGCATCGAGTCGCTCCAGATGCCCAAGTCGATCAAGTTCTTGCGGATTCGGGCCATTCCGGCAGGGCGGCAATCTCCTGAAGGGTCAGTGAATCGAACCATGCACAGAATGTGTGCTGAGGTGTTTTCGAGGAGGTATTTCAGGAGGAAAGCTCCCAAGTAACCAGTGGCTCCCGTAAGCAAGACCGTTTCCGCATCGCTGAGGCGTTTCATCTGCACGCCTGTAGCGCTAATGTCCTCGGGCAGTACAGCATCAGCTCGCAGGACGGCTGGGAGATCTGCCTGCACCTCCTCGGTGTGGCCATCGCGAGCGGCCTTGACAGCTTCCAAATGTCCATCCAGCGTCGGATTACCAGCCAATGGAGCCAGAGGAACAGGAAAGCCGAATGCCTTGGTCAATCGACTAGCAAGATCAGCGAGAATCAGAGAGTGTCCTCCCAGGTCAAAGAAGTCGTGCTTTGGCGTGATGATTGCGATTGGGACATTCAGAGCCGCAGACCACATTTTGATAATGGTATCCATCTTGATAGTCACGTTCTTCTCCAGCTTGGCTGTTTGCACAGGCGTCTTTGGTCTTGGAGGAGGCGGGAGAGCTTTGAGGTTGGTTTTGCCAGAAACTTCGTGCGTAGGCAGCTCCTTGAGTTCAACCCAAAGGGGCGGGATCATGTAATGTGCTAGATGGGCAGACAGAGCTCGTCGAGCAACTGGACTATGGCCAGCCTCATCGATAACCACAATGGTACGGCCCTGGAGATTGTCGCTGTCGGGGACAATGTAAGCCACCAATTGCTTCTGCAAGCCCTCTCCGTGAGCCACTACGGCGCAATCCCGCACTGCTAAGTGCTTCACAATAGTTGTCTCAACTGCACCCGGCTGCACGGTGTATCCACGAGTCTTGATCATGCCGCCGACTCGGCCTGTGATTTCAAGAAGGCCTGAAGGGAGCATCCTTGCCATGTCTCCAGTTCGATACATTCGAGCGCCCTCTTTCTTCTCAAAAGGATCAACTTGGAAAGCCATGGCCGTTGTTTCCGGGAGATTGAGGTACTCTCTCGCTAGTAGGTCGCCGCCGACGAAAAGCTCGCCGCTTACACCAGCATCCAGCCTGTTTCCTGCTTCGTCCAGGATATAAATGTGCTCAGGATCTACAGGCGGTCCTACCGGACAGACGCGGGCCTCGTAATCCACGAAAGTTTTGATGTCACCCACGGCAATTTCGTGGGTTTCACTGGCGCTGTAGACGTTGAGGAGGCGGGTGTTGGGGAGGGCACTACAAGCCCGTCGTACAAGATCTGTTGTGACGACCTCGCCATTCAGCCACAATGACCTCAGCTCCGGGAGTTTCTCACCAAGGTTTGGATGCCGTGAGAGCACGGTGGTCAGCAGAGTGGGGGTCATGAGAGTATCAGTAATGCGCCTGGAAGCGAGAAACTCAACAAGCCCAATGGGATCATAACTTGCGCCGTCGGGAACAGCAACTGTGGTGGCCCCCCGGATCAAGGGACGCAGCATTTCCCAGACGAAAAAGACGTTGCAGGCGACGCGATCACCGGGCCCAAGGTCGCTCGTACGGAATCTCAAATCGTAGCTGAGAACAGGCGCTCTGTGAGGGTTTGCAATGCCCTTTGGCTTGCCGGTGGTGCCTGATGAGTAGGACACGAATGCCAGGCGATCCAAGTCGTCACTCGCAGGGAGAGGCTCTCTCGTCTCAACAACAATAGGGGCAGCATGTCCGTCGGTGGATGGCTCAGGCTGGTCGATGATGATGGTAGGGATATCAGCCTTGATGTTGGCCGCATGAGCCTTTTGCGTGATAATGACCGTCGGCTTCGCATCGTCAATGACATCCTGAAGGAGGCCTGTGGGATAGGCCAGCTCCAGCACGAGAAAAGCGCCTCCCGCTCGCAGCGCAGCAAGAGAAGCAATGACATTGTCTGCACTGCGTCCCATCAGCACTCCCACCAGATCATCACGGCCGACGCCATACTGCCGAAGACGATCAGCCAAAGACCAGGTTAGGCTGTCGAGTTCTGCGTAGGTGAGAGTCCGTTTCTCGTCCTCCAAGGCGACGGCATCTGGCGTAGCTTGTGCCTGTTGCTCGAACAAAGCCGCCAGATCCTTGGTGATATCAATGACGCTCATCTTGGGAGTTTGGCGAGTCAGTCGCAGCAAAGAGGAGTCAAGCGGACAGCGCAATGGCTATTAGTATCTGAGTGATGGGTAGCAACTGATGAAGAACTGCTGAGGCCCGTCTGGCTATCGACCACCCTGCTATGATGCTGTGAAATTCTGATGAGCGCCAATTGATCTTTTCCCGACGCCCTGCAGCTCGAAATTGGGCTCAATCGCTGGTGTGGTAGGATTTGGGCTTTCGGCCCACTTGATATTCTAGCGTGGCGAGTGTTACCTGGTCTAGCCGCCTGTTCTCGCTGTTGGAAGATTAAGTATTACAAGAGTACAATAAGCCGTGAAAGTAAGATATGGCGGAAGAAAGAAAATTGGCAAAGGCAGAGACACTGGTGGGGGAAGACGAAGACACCATGTGAGAAGGGCGTAAAGCAGGGAGGTTATACAAAATTTGGTTGAGGCTATAGCCGGCAATTGCAGTCTGTGCTTACCTGATACGGTCCCTGCATGCTAGGCAGTGCCTCTACTGTATCAATTGAAAAGTCCATGCTAAATCCGCCGTCGTGGGTCTTTTCGGGGCTTGTTGTTCTGATAATCTGCAGCTGTTGGCTCTGATTGGCCTCTGTTTACACGTGAAAAGGCCAACGTTGCTTCAGAGATTCGGTTCCATATCAAGCTTAGCCCTCTGTGCTGGCAAGGCGAGCACTCCACAGACGGCTCGAGGTCGCGTGCCTTTTGCAGCTTGCAGGCAATCTCTTTTTTTCTTTGGCTTATCTGGCGGTTTGGGGAATGGTGGGGGAAAACTTTTACTGCAGCCTCTTTCGCATTATCTCGTTGATTAATATTCGAATCACTGTCACAACTGTAATTTCCAAACCTTATTCGCCGCTTCACGCTCTTTTTCTTTTTGACAGCTGGTATTGTAAAAGATGGTTATTACGGGAATATCTCTGCCCCCCTGAGTTTAGCGCATTGTGAACCAGTGCCAGTAGTACCGCATAATTTCAACAGATTGAATGACTGCCCAACAAAAACAATACGAACGCGCGATTTGGAGTTGCACGAAGTTGCTAGTCTCTGACATGTGATAGAGCTCTTGTGGAGAAATACCAAGAACCGACTTCAAATACAGCATTGCCTTTTGAGACCTGAGATATTTAACCCCAAAGTTCTCCTCTTCTCTGGAGACTTGTTCTTCTAAAACCCCACCATTGCTTGGCAACATGACATCCCCGGATTCAATAGGAGGCTACAGAAGAGAGCACCCAAAGATGCGAACGAGACGGCATTCGACACGAGACAATAAGCACAGAAAGATTCCTTTTAATATGGGGTATCAATTACTACCTGTAGATCATGACACTCATGAAACATAAAAATACAATTATTACCGCTATGACCGCATACAAAAATTTACTCCGAATCATCAATCATCCCTCACTGCCCTTCGCTCACATATCGGATCGGCCCTTGGAAATGTCCACCTCTGCAAGGGGAATCCACTTCCACGTGGTCCTGTAGACAATCTTGTGGCCGACATAGAGGACAATGAAGAGAATGACGCTAACATAGCACGCGAAGAAGTTGCTCGTGTTCCACTCGATGAAGACGGTGAAGCCGTTTGTGATCAGAATCAGGAGATTGAAGCCGAAGCCGAACCACGAGAGGTAGGGCTGGAAGGGGGCCTTGTATGGGAGCTCGTCACGGGGGATGTTTTGGTATTTGAGCACATTCATGAACCGGATGTGGCACAGGTTGATGAGGGACCAGCTGATGAAGCCGGCGACGGCCGTGATGTTTAGCAGCCAGTTGAACACAACTGTTCCGTTGTTGGACAGGTTGAGGAAGGCCAGCAGTCCGAACGCCGAGCAGGCGGCGACGGCGTAGTACGGAGTTCCGTATCGGTTGGCTTTCTTGAAGAAGGCGGGCGCGTGGCCCTCTCCGGCCATGGCAACCAAGATACGGCTGCTGGAGAAGATGTCCGAGTTGGCGGCGGACAGGACGGCGGTTAGCAGGACGGCGTTGATGATGGAGGGAAGGGCCTGGATGCCGGCAAGCTTGGCGACGATGACGAGAGGCGAGGCCGAGGCGTTGGTCGATCCGTTCTGGAGGTCGGGGTTGTCGTAGGGCACGTTGATGCCGACGAAGAATACGGTGCAGTTGAAGAGCAGGAAGACGGCCCAGAACGTCCATCGGATGGCAGACGGGATGGTCTTGCGAGGGTTGGCCGTTTCACCAGCACCGATGACGACCAGCTCTGTTCCCTGGAAACTGAATCCAGCGGTGATGAGCACAGTCCAGAAACCAACAAACTTGCCAATGGCGCCATCAACCATGTACTCAGCAAAAGCACCAGGTTCTCTCCAGTACTTGAAGCCAATGTAGCCCTGGTCACCAACACCAGCGTTGACACAGATGCCGAAGATGACGAAGCCGATGATGGTAATGACCTTGATGCTGGAGAGGTAGGCCTCCATCTCGCCAAAGATGAAGGTCGGCAGGAACTGCGCAGCTGTGAAGACCACCCAGAAAATGGCAATCCAGACTCCGATGCTGACAGACTCAGTCCAGTACTGGATAATGAGGCCACTAGCGGTCAATTCCAGACCGATGGTGATGACCCAACTGAACCAATAGATCCAACCCATGGCAAAACCCAGCGTGGGATCCATGAACCGAGACGCATAGACAGTAAAGGCTCCCGTGACGGGAATGTATGACGCCATCTCTCCCAGCGCCACCATGATGGAGAAGACGACGCTGCCGAGGAACAAAAAGGAAATGAAGAGAGAGCCTGGGCCGGCCTTGGACAGAGCACCGCCAATACCCAGGAACAGACCCGTACCGAGCGCAGCACCGATGGCGATGAATTGCAAGTGGCGCGAGTTGAGCTCACGCTTCAGGCCCTCTTCGCCGGCCTGGCCTGCCGCGATGTCGTGGTTCGGGCCATCGCCTACGGGCTTGTCGCTAATGCCTTGGACGTATTTCTCGTCAGACACCAGCGGTCCTCCCACGGGGGAAGACGATTCGAACGCCATTTTTTTCCTTTACTCTTTGAAAAACAGAGAGCAAGATTGAAAAAAGGTAGAAAAAAAATCGGACTCGAAAATGATGAGTCAATGAGTCAAAGGGGAGAGGGGAAACGAGATCGGTCCGGAGGGTCGGCGGCGAGCACGAGAGCAGCAGGTAGTATTAAGGAAGTAGGTATGTATGATGATGGAGGGTGAGAGAGGAGGTCACCCAAATCAATATCAAAACACCATACGCGGGACGAAAAGCTGGAGAAAGAGAGAGCCAAGAAGAAGACAGAAAACGCGTCGGCAGCAGACGGGCAGATCTTTATGGTTTACAACCGTCGTTCGGCCCTTTCAATGCTCGACCACATCAACGTTACTCGACTACTGCTACACTACCCAGCAGTCCAGCTTATCAGCTTGACTGAGCCTGGCGAGACCCTCACTTTCGCCCCATATAAGCCCCATCAACCGATGAAGAGTTTGATGGAGCTAGCACCGTCTCGGCACAGCAACGCCGTGATAGCGAGTCGAGGAGGTCGGATCCGACCCTACGTAGGCCCTATTTTACCTATTTTTTCTCTCTCTCTCTCTCTCTTCTCTGATCTGCGTCATTGTGAAGTGCGGTTGTTCTCGTTGGGGCTCATGCTCATACCAGTCGTTCTCCAGTTTGAAGCCACTTTCCAGATCCGGACATGCGGCCAAGCACGGCAAACTCACCAAATCAACTAACAATCTGATCATGTAGTTTTAAGGGCGTAGCCAGCGGAAAATACATACCAGGCACAGCTTCTCTGCATCTTCTAGCGGTGTTCTCTAGCGCTTGGCTTCCTTCACGGCTTCTTTTTTTGGTGGCTGCGGAAGAAAAAAACTGCGCGCGCGTTTTCATAGTGCTAGAGGAGCGCCATCGGCATTGCCGCGGCCAAGGCCAATCATTGACTTGCAAAACTGGGTCTTGGAGGCAAAACCTGGAATTGAATTTTTTTCTTCTCCCCTTCATTGGTGTGCCCTGATGCCCTTTTTGGATCTTCATTTTTTGGCCACCGCTGAAAAAGGGTTCGGCGAGAGAGTCGTGTGTGCGGGATGGATCTCGGCGTTCTTGTGGTTGATTGTGAAGGCGCTGGCGATGATGGCACCAACTTTACTTGCCGCCTCTAATGCAGAGCCTGACCACGCGAGTGCTGGGCCTAGCAGCATCAGGAATATCAGCTAGCAAGCATAATCGACTCCGAGGACGGGCGATGTGACGCTGTAGCTGCGGGTGTTTCTCCAGACTCTGCCTCTGCGCCGACGCAACCCATGGACGGCAGCATGAACAACAGGTGATAAGCATGGCAAAAGACTTTAGGTCTGCTTGACCCCGGCTGTCGTATTACGGGGGAAAGGCACTATGTCTGGGAAGATAATGAAAAGGCTAGTCCAGTTGATATTAGTCTGGTGGTTTACAAACAGACACGGCCAGTGAATCCTCATCAGCCAGGCTCGTTTGCGTATGAATCAGAACGCAACTCCACACAGGTCCACTCAGCTCCCGCGTCTGGAGACCAAGCAAGCAGCAACGATACGGCCGATGTGCAGCCCAACCTCCAAATCTGGCTGCAGCTATTACGTATTAACGTCCTCGGCAGCGCAGCATCCCCATGGGCAGGCCATGCCGCTTCCCCAGGTCTTGCGTCTTGCAGCGGTGATAGAGTTGGGATTAAGGATACCTTTCTCTCCACACTGCTGCGATGCATCGGGCTGTTGGTGGATATTTGTTACCAAGAGAAACGTCGTCGTCGTTGAGGAGATGCCTGGATTTACATGTCGGGCGTTGATCTCGTGAGGCGGCTGAGACGCCCTCTCGCTACCTGTTTGCGCCGCATCTGCACATCATTTGGATGCTTGCTGTGTGCTCAGTAACCCGAAGGGAACCGACCTGGTTTAGTGGGGTGATTGGCTCTTGGGGACCTGGTTCGTTTTTGCGCAGGTCCGAGTCGGGAACTTATCGAAATCTTACATTTGGAGAGGTTATCTGGCGCGTTTGGGAGATGAACTCGTTTGTCCGACTCCACGAACTCTCCTCGTCGCGGGTGGAGACATAAACGCTAGATCTAATCGCAGCGCTCCGTAGTCGGTGATTACGTGTGTAATAGGTATCTGCAATCGCCCAGCGCGCGTATTCCAATAATTCCCGAGTCATGAATGGAAGGCGTGTCGGGAGAACTTTTGGGAGAATCCTTGTACGTTCATGTGCTGAGATAAGCAGCATCGTATAGCCTCATTCCACTGTCTAGACCTATACGTTATCCTTAGGAGTTGACACGCGAATTTATGAATTTCCTATTGATACACGCCAATTTGCCTCTTTGCTGGGTACTGTTTATCAATATGACAACCGTGGCATCTCAAGGGCAGTGCTACAGTCTCCTTTGACAATATCCCTAGCATTGCATTGAGTGTTTCAGAGCCGTAGCTCTCGAGACAAGTCCCACTTCGCATATGCCCGTCGGTGAAGTCGCGGTCTGTGCTAAAGGCTGGATAGGCGACTAACAAATAGGAGAAGAACAACAGTCGTTCTACCAGATAGTTTAGTGGCCTGTCGAGCTATTACGCTATTGGTGGAATTGAAGTACTGCATTGTCAAAGATGAATCGTTATTGGTTATAATGTAGCGAATTCGCTGTCTATATGTATATGCTGCTGAGACAAATAGACATACTTTTTGCGTTATGATGTCGTTATATACACTACAGTGAAGCCTTGGTGACTTATGACTCTGATGGCTATTGAATAGTATTGTTATGAATTGGAGGGAGCACATTATCGCCATCCTCGCTTAGCGTCTGACCAAGTTGATCAAGTTGATCAGATCGATGGAGCTTTGATGACGATTATCATTGTTTTCTTTAGCAAGAATTGAAAACACTTGGCCCATCACTCTTAGTAATATGACTGATAGAGGGATATTAACACAGTTTAAGAGAGATATGACTATTAACTAGTCCTCAGAGAGCGAGTCGAATAGCAATGGGCTTTGTTGTTAATGACGGTCACCTGGCAATTGTAATAAATATACAAGAAATTGCTAGCTCTTGTCTCTCATTATGTGTTGACATGTGGCGTATTACGTGTGGGTTCTGAGCAGAGCATATTCTGTGAGTATTGTCAATAACCAGAGGAAGAGACCAGAGTTACCTGAGACTTGTTGAGACTTCCATACATAATCACTACAAATCAAATAAATGAACGTAAAATATTTCTTTGTGCTACTTCCATCTTATTCGCACGGATTTGGCGCGACGTCCTTTCAGAAACATGTCATCAGTGAGTGTGATAAGATATAAGATGATCCTGCTGCAGGCAAGCAGTACAAAATATCAAGCCAAGTGTGTAGCCTTCAATTGCCAATTACTGGCTCATGCTCACCATGTCTATAGAATGCATCAACAGCCACATAATCAAAGACAGACTGACGTTGGTTTAACCTCTTGACAACGCCCTTCGATCTGACCCTGGCGATTGAGACAAAAGACGTGATGCTTAGCGCGATGCAAAGATTGGCCGGATTCCGGAATAGCGTCCAAATGGCCCGCGCGGGTGGCTGCCGCAACTACCGGGGCTTGGCCCCACGAGATGAAGGCTGGAAGCCGAGGATCCACACGGATTTGTCGAAAACGTGCAAAATATGACCAAATGGCGGTTGGAGGATGAAAAAAGAGCTTTTTAGAAAGTTTTCATGAACTAATAGATAGCTCAAATAAAGAATACAAATCAGTGTTGTACCTGGACGATGAGGCTCTGGGAAAGGCGAATGTCTTGTGCGCCCTTCGGAACTTTAGTCAAGTCTATTGTGTAGCTGTACTCCATAGAAATTTGGTGCTACGGTACTGGTGATAACGCATAATACCTAAAAAAAAAAAACAAGACAATGGTACAAGAAATACAAGGGGCAGGGCTGTTGTACAATAGTGCCGAAGCTCATACCTGTTCATGCCCGAGAGGATTAGGGATGACCCTGCCCCTGTCTCGGGCGAATCTAAAAGAATTAATCTATACAAAGAGTAACATGCTCTAAATATGATTTATGAGAAAAAATGTTCTACTCGCTAACTAGCATGAGAGTTATATCGGAGGTGATTGTAGCGGCCAGGCAGCATACATGTATAAGCTCCTTAACATTGCTAGATACATGCGCGATTACTTACACGAAAGGCACTTATCTGTTTCTACACATAACAATCTGAAAAAGTTTACGTATCCCGCTTTATTTCCACTTGTTCGAATCCTCCTGTTATTATCCGCTACGTACCTAACAACATCGTGGTTGTATCACCAACTTGGCGCTCTGTGTCATGTAACCATCATCATGTACGTTGCCCGATTCGGAGACTTTTCTCTCAACCCAGGTCGGCTGAGTTACACTTGAGCTTTCTTTCTCTGGTTTCAAATAAACTAAGAGGAACTCTCTTCTTGGTCAAATCATCATCTGCGATGAAAACCCTTGTCGCTCGCCAATTGCCAGCGAACTGCGCCGCCAGGGCCAACCATCAGCCCTGATGCGCACGAGGCGACAACGCCCAAGCCACAATTCGACCTCAGCTCCCAATAGCACGCACAAATCCTATTAGTAACCGCGCATACAAAATTTGGTCCATCGCTCCAGAATGACTTCAGTTCAATGCTAGCTCTGACGTTTATTTCGCTGCGCTCTGATTGGCGGGGCCGCGGGCCATCAAGGTTCTCACCACCACAAATGGGACTTTGTGTGACCATCAGGGTTCTCAGCCGCAGTCGCCGACGAGCAGAGGAAAAACAAAGATTCCATACTAACTCACGTCTCGTTATCACATCGCGCAATTTGTAGTGGGGAAGTATCAAAACACTGCCCTCTGCCTCCTCTTTTCGTGCGTGCCACAAACTCCATCTTGTTTGCACGTGGTGGAAAACCCAAGAAACGTCAAAGTGTAGCCCGAAAATCTAAATATAAAAAAAAGGTGTCTCAGTTGGACCGCGCGTGATGCCTCAGCTCCAGCGCCAAGCCAACAGTGGCTGGATATCTTTCCTATAAAAAACTTGAAGCCCCGAACCCCTTGCCTGACTCTGTTCAACGTGAGATGTTGCCACCCCCAAGGCCTCGTCGCAGGGAGCCGTGAGAAGCTGCTCTTGGGTATCCAAGCTGGGCCATCATGGTTCTCACTACGTGAAATTATCAGCGCAGACCCGGCACCAGGCCATCCGCGCGACCCAATAGCAATTCAAAGACGCCAAAAAGCATCTCCACTGCACGGATGCTTGCTGGAGACGCTGAGCCGTGGCCCGTTTGTTGGCCAGCCTCGTCTCTGGCATGTGGTGCGGGCGCCCTGCTAGACCAAAGTTTGGGTTAAACTACAGAAAGGAATCCGCCCGTGGCTGCAGCTTCAAATACCGTCCCATCCCACCCTCTCTCTTCTTTCTTTTCGTTCAGTCGAGGCATCATCTCATCTCATTTTGCTTGCCAAATCTACTGCTGTTGGTTATCCAAACTTTGAGCAACCATGGCGGACGCAGACTTCAACCCCCAGTCCGTCGACCTCGACTCGGCTGATCCCCGAGACATCATCTGCTACCTCAACGCCGGCGGCAACGAGTACAATGGACGCCTCGGCGTGCGAGTTTCGGCGCTGTTTGTCATCTTGATCGTCTCGACGGCAGTGACCTTCTTCCCCGTCCTGGCCACCCGCGTTCGACGCCTGCGGATCCCCCTCTATGTCTACCTCTTTGCGCGCTACTTTGGCGCCGGCGTTATCATCGCCACAGCCTTCATTCATCTTCTTGATCCGGCCTATGAGGAGATTGGGCCGGCGAGCTGCGTTGGCATGACTGGCGGCTGGGCTGAATACAGCTGGCCCCCTGCCCTGGCTCTGACTTCGGCCATGCTCATCTTCCTGCTCGACTTCTTGGCCGAGTACTACGTCGACAGAAAATTCAAGCTGGCCCATGTTGAAGTCGAAGACACCATCACTGATAGCCGTCATGCTCACACCCACCAAGGACTGCACTCGGCTGACCAGGATGGCGCTATTCCTCCTCTCAATGCAAAGGCCAACGAACAAGTAAGGGATCATGCTCCTAGCGACAAGCCTAGCGATGACTTCGACGTGGAGGAACTCAAGGACCTTGAAGGCGATTCCGAGAAAGTAGCCTTGGGCTTTCAGTCTCAAATCGCGGCCTTCCTGATTCTAGAGTTTGGCGTTCTCTTCCACAGTGTCATCATCGGCCTCAACCTCGGTGTTGCTGGCGATGAGTTCAGCACTCTGTATGCAGTCATCGTCTTCCACCAGTCCTTTGAAGGCCTGGGTATTGGCGCCCGTTTGAGTGTCATTCCCTTCCCCAGGCGCTTTAAGTGGATGCCTTGGGTTCTATGCGCTGCCTATGGATTGACGACTCCTATCGCCATTGCCATCGGCCTCGGTCTGCGGACTACATACAACAGTGGCTCCTTTACCGCCAACGTCGTGTCTGGCGTTCTCGACTCGATTTCTGCTGGTATCCTCATCTACACCGGCTTCGTCGAGATGATTGCGCGCGACTTCCTCTTCAACCCGTATCGCACGCAGGACAAGAAGCGTCTGACATTCATGCTCGTTTCTATGTACCTCGGCATAGCAATCATGGCGCTGCTTGGAAAGTGGGCTTAAAGGCGGGTGAGAGCATGAAGCATACGATGGATAAAATGGCTATAGGAAGAGACAAAGATACCCATGGCGAGGATTTGAGAATGCATGCACACGAGCATGCAAGACTTTTGTATCAAAAGGGAGAAGGATTTAGATTGCATACCAGCTTCCACACATTTGGTTTTACGGACTGGGACTTCATGTACTTGGAGCATTTCCAATTTGATAATGCATCGCGCTTTGCATTCTGGTTGCATTTATAGGCACATATGTCTCAATTCATAAAGTTCACTTCAGTTGCATCATTGCCATCATCTAGATCGTGTAAATGAGCTTTGCCCCGCTGACCTTGCCCTGGCGCAACTCCTCCAAGCCCACCAACACGCCCTCAAGGCCGCTGCCGCCGCGGTTGACCTCGATCCTGGGAGCCTTGAGCTTACCCTCTCGGAGCAGCGGCTCCGCAATGTCCCTGAACTTGTTTGCGAACTCGTTGTCTTCGGGGCTCCCTTCGCTGGAAAGGCCTCTCTGGAAGGGCTGTCCAAAGACGCTGTAGGCCATGGTCACCGCGCTTTCAATGTTGGGGTTGATGGCGTGGACCTCGTCGACATTGACGGGGAGCAGCAGGCCTAATTTCCCGCCCTTTGGCGAGATGGACGCCGCGCTGATTTTGAACGACTCGCCTTCGGAGATGCAGTCCCAGGCGAGGGCCAGCTCGCCGCCAGCAGCAGCAATAATGTCTCCAACAACGGTGGGTGAGTTGTAGTCGAAGACGGCGTCGGCTCCTAGAGACTTTAGGTAGTCAAAGTTTCGGGGGCTGGCAGTGGTGATGACTTTGTAGCCGGAGAGCTTGGCGAACTGGATGCCCCAGAGACCGGAGGCGGTGCTTCCACCGTAGATGAGAATTGGGGTAGGTGTGGTGATGGGATTTGTGGGTAGCTGCAGCTTCAGGTTTTGGTATAGACCTTGGCCCTAAATGGTGTTAAGAGGACAGACCTTTAGCAAACCGGAAACTAGAAATCAGGAATGTTCGATAGATATATCAACGTACAACTGTGAAAACTGAAACTCCCAGAGTCGCTCCCTCTTCATCGCTCAATGGGTTGTGGAATTGGACATCTGCCTGAGTGAGCAGGTACTCTCCATATGAGCCATCCTCTTTCTGAAGAATGTTTCTGCAATTATCACGTTAGTTCCCGATGAAAATGCCCCACTACATTTCTCTGCTATCGAAACAGACAGAGGCCAGAGCAGAAGACTTACGCTCCAGGAGAGAGACCAGCAATTCGATCACCGACTTTAAAGTTGCTAACTCCAGCACCGACCTCAACCACTTCACCCGCAAAATCGCATCCAAGTTTTGTGCCAATTGTTGCTTCTTTATCGTTGTGAAGGCTCTTCCAGTCGGTAGGGTTGATAGAGACGGCCTTTGTCTTGACAATTACGTGTCCATCGCGAACTTTTGGGGTCGGCAGCTCTTGAATAGCTGCCTTGCCCGGCGCAATCTTGATGATAGCCTTGCTCGTCTGAGGTGCTCCCATAATGATATAGTTCCTGGTAATAGAGTACGGTCTGAGGTGAAACGGTGAATTCGTCGGTTTAGTCAATGAGGCAAGCGGTCTGCGAAAAGAGTTTGCGACAAGTTTCATCTTATACATTTTCTGCGTGCGGAGTAACACCTCATAACGCCGATTTTCGTGTGGTGGATCTAACCGCTTCCTCGAATGATAGCTTGGGAGCCGCTGGTTGCGTGACTGCCCGCCAGGATGGAGGAGATGACGCTATATTTCTAAGCAAATTGCCGAGGCGATCTGGATTAGGAAACAAGACTTCTAGATCGAATTATGTGTTTAGTTATTCGTGGTCCGCTAAGAGAAGAATGAAAAGAATTGTCGCAAGTTGTTTTTTTTTTTCTTTTTATATCGTATCTGGACCTCAGTATGATTGGCCCCCTCATCATTGTCTAGATCTGGCAATTAATGAATGTTTAAGAGGTTGCACTAGCTGCAATACGCGGCTATACGTCTATGCTAGGGTTACTAGGAATATGGCATCAAAAATCCATGGACATTTGCCGTGACTAAAATTAACTAGAGCCCCTCTTCTTGGGCTGAATCTATGATTCTCTACATGTAAAGAAAGGGCTGACATTTTTTTCTTTAGTCCGGAGGGTAGATCCGGACGGATAGCGGGGGGCATGTCGCATTACAAATGAGATGGCAGTAACTGTATTATTCAGTCACGGATTATTCAGTGGTCAGAATTTAATCGGCGGCCCGAGAGTCTCCTTCGGCCTCTTATCTCCTAGCAGCTTCGGCGATTCGGCAGGGCTACAGTGGGTAGGTATGAAGTATTGGTGCCGCCTTGGTTTCGGAGGGTGAAACGAGCTTTCTATTGGTCGAAATGCGTGAAATATATAACACCGCACTCATGTTTAGGAAGTCTACCGCGGCCATTTGGCGGTGTCTTCTTCTGCCCTGCTGGGTCGACAATTGCCCCTCTTAGGTTCGCATGGGAAATCCAGCCAACCAATTGGCCATGGATGGAATTTGGGCAGCTTCCTTATGCAATTCTAGTTTGAGGTGATGGCGATTCGACTCATCCAATGCTAGTCCCTATAGCTGGATGGACTGCGCGGCAAATGCAGGAAAGCCTCGGCTGGTAGCAAAATGACCCACGCTTAACTATCGCTGATATCATGCATTGCATTGAGCTTACATCGACATCTTTGTAATAATATCTGCTTCAACTAAGTTTTCACAGTAAAGTTGCAGAACGATATTCTATTAATTTCTTTGAAGAACAAACCTTCGTTGCAACAAGTCGGCCATTGCTTTCATCAAACAAATGCCATAGACGTTTATGATAATACCATGGGGAGATTAGATGCATAGTAGAGAGGTGTTAATGTTGATATATAAGCTTGAGAATTATTCGACCAAGGCAAAGCCCCATCGACAGTCCTCGCACCATGAAGCCTATAGCATAGAAACATAACCTATAGTATATCATTGCTAAGGGAAGCAGCTTCTCGTATAGGGTATCCATCGATTAGGAGATGCAATGTATTTAATCCCAGTACTTAGAATAGTTATCCTATTAGTTCAAATGGAGAGAATTCCAATATATCGGCTGAAATCAATACACGTGTATACAATTTATGTTCATACAGCATCGTAGCATCTGTATAATGTAGAATACAGCTCTGTATGCAATTTCTTTTTCTTACCGAAACAATTGCTAGTAAACAACTATAAGCTTATATGGAAAAAAAAGAAAAAGGGAGAGAGTTTATCGATCATGCGTAGGTAATATTTTATTCCCCATCCAATTAAGTTGTCAAAAATGTTTTTCTGTCAGGAGGCTCCAAATATCGGGTGTACCCGGTTGAAGCCAGGAAATTAAGTGGCCAGGGCAGATTAGTCACATTGTTCCCAGTATTGCCAGAACTTTCTATATTTCGGCGAGTAATGCCGCTGGTGATCTATATCGTTGAGATTGCCACAAGGCACACGAACAATATTGACGACTTTTGAAAGAGAGGTAAGGACTGTCTTTTGACGCTTTATAAAATCTCCTCTGACAAAAATTGCTCCGTAACTTTTTCGTTGGCCATAGCGGCCCGTTGGTTCCACTTTTACGGTGTAGCTCTTCGGATTCTGTAGCTGCTGCAACGGGGCGTAAAATCTCGAAAATGCCCGAAGACTCGGAACGGACCAGCTGCCCCTAACCATATCAATTTTACGGACGGAGAAAGGAAGAATCCCGAGAAAGGGGCTGTCTAAAAAAAAAAAAAATAGATGGATAATTGCGTTATCAGAAGGAATTGGTGGTTATTGGAGCGTACTGACCCTTGCCAGGATGACTCGCGACTGTGATATAAACCACTAATAGTGCTGCAATGCAAGCTCAACTTGATTAGAATTGAAATATTAACGACTCTTATACTCATTTTCTCATTAAACGATTTCATAAGCTTATTTGTCTGGAATGCTCTAAGTGACGTCACTTGATCGTTATAACACATCACCGGACAGCCCGAGTCAGCGTCCTGAAAGTTTCTCTTCATAACAAGCTCCTTTGCTCCGGCAGCTTGGCAGTTCCTTTAATTTATACATATCCATTCCAAAATGATAGCTCGAGGTTGCATACGCCGAAACGCTCGTCAATTGACAACTTCGACAGAACAGGCGAAGCTCTTTAAAGCCGTCACATTTCTTCACTCAAACAGTAGATCTTATAGTATTGAGCCAAAGTCAAAGAAAGGTGACATATTTCTCTCTAAACCAGGATCTGTCTCTTCATCCGATAATTTCCAGTCTTGAAGGACCCTTTGCTAATACAATCTTTTCGAAGACACCAAAAAAAAGCGTGTTGTGATTCTGGGCTCTGGATGGGCAGGATATAGCTTTGCTCGGACCCTCGACCCAGCAAAGTACGAACGAGTCGTCATTTCACCTCGCAGTTACTTTGTCTTCACGCCACTACTCGCTTCAACATCAGTCGGCACCCTCGAATTCCGCGCCATCTTAGAGCCCGTCCGCCGTGCGCCAGGGGGCCTACGCTTCTATCAAGGTTGGGCCGACGATGTCGATTTCTCTCGCAAGGTGATCCGTGTTGAGGCCAATGCCATTGACAAGCTCCAGCATGATCTATCACCGATCTCAGCATCTACAGCTGCCAGTGAAGTAGCAACAGAAACCCGACCACCCAAGGGAGAGGTTTTCGATGTAGAGTACGATAAGCTCGTCATCGCCGTCGGTGCTTACAGTCAGACGTTTGGCATAGCGGGTGTGCGAGAACACGCGCATTTCCTGCGAGATATTGGCGACGCACGACGAATCCGATTACGGGTGCTCTCTTTGTTCGAGCAGTGTTCGTATCCGGCTTCTCCAGGCGGCAAAGATGGCAAGACAGCGGGAAAGCCGCTTACCGAAGATGAAAAGAAATCGCTGCTCCATTTCGTCATTGTTGGCGGCGGACCGACGGGAATCGAGTTTGCAGCGGAACTGCACGACCTGATTCACGAGGATCTGAAGAAAATCTACCCGGAGCTGATGCCCCTTGTGCGCATTACCGTATACGATGTTGCGCCCAAAGTGCTGCCCATGTTTGATAAAGCCTTGGCGCAGTATGCCATGGAAGTATTTGCACGGCAGGGCATCCAGGTCCGTACTGAGCATCACCTTCAGCAAATCAGGGCAGCCGACGGAACACTCGGAAGTGCACACGGCGGCCTGAGCATCAAGATCAAGGAATATGGAGATAAAGAGGTTGAAGCTGGCTTAGTTGTCTGGAGCACAGGGCTGATGCAGAACCCGTTTGTGGAACAAATGGTCAACAAGCAATTCACGGCTGTTAATGAGGCAGAGGCGCCAAAAAGTCACCTCTTGAAAGACCCCAGAACGGGTGGTATCGTCACAGACGGCTATCTACGTGCCCGCATAACTGATAACAAGATCAGTGACTCCAACAAAACTGCCATATCTACAGCGGCACCAGTCTTGCCAGATGTATTTGTGATTGGCGATTGCGCAGTAGTGGAGGGTAACGAGTCGTTGCCCAAAACAGCTCAAGTCGCCTCTCAACAAGCAGCGCATCTAGCGAGGCAACTCAACAGAAGCACCGATGAGTCCATTGATATCAAGAGTGTTTCGAAGCCATTCAAGTTCCGCAACTGGGGCACGTTAACGTACCTGGGCGGTTGGAAGGCGATTCATCAAAGCTCTGCGGACACACTACGTGGCTGGGTGGCATGGATAGTGTGGCGAGGAGCATATCTGACGAGGAGCATGAGCGTGCGTAATAAGCTCATGGTGCCGGTGTATTGGTTTGTGAATTGGGTATTTGGGCGGGATATATCACGGTTCTGAGGAATAGGAAAGTTTCCATTTGTATTATAGAAAAGTGTTCGTACGCTGAACGTTAACCACACCACTTTACTTGATCGCCCAGGGAAAAAGGGTCGAATGTATTGCCAACGAATGTTTAAATAGTCATTATCTCCGTACTCAATCTCTGTGCACGTAAGCCTATTCTCTAAGACATTAGCAGTTTCGCAAATGCAGCAAGATAGGGTATCTTGAACTGTTAAAAAAAAAGGTCATTTCTCATTATTCGTATCATGTCGTCCAAACTCTAACTTCTGTACCAACATGACTCACGCATATAACAAAAAAAGTAGGAAATTTGTCCAAGCAGAATTCGCACTTCCAATAACAAATCACAGTCTGTATTTCCAACTGTTGCACAGCCCTTCGCAAACTCAGGCATCGTCAATAACAGTACCATTATCGTCATACTCATATACCTCTTCGAGAGCCAGTGCACTCTCCGAATCCCGAGCAGCCTCTCGCTGCGCAGAAAGAGACATGATCAATTTCTTGTCCGGCCGCAAGATACCCCACATCTCGGGTATCATCAACACCTTGGACGTTTCTCCAGGAGCGCGATGCGCCATCGCTTTGAGGTAGGCTAGTTGCTTGCCAGCCATCATCCAAGCAAATGAAGAGTTGTCATATCTTTTGAAGGTAGTTGAAGCCTTGAGGAGCTCCCAGCCACTTGTTGCAGAGTCTCTGGTAGGGTCAGGCAGTAGCTCTGGAAAGCGGCCGCTTGCGAGTAGCTCTTGTGGAGGTTTGATATCGAGCCATTTCTGATATAAAGCCTCTACTTTAGTCGGATAGGTTTCTGCTCCTTTGCCCCCCTTCTGCATTCTGACAGTCCACTCGTCCCGAAGTGCCTCAATCTCATCTTGGAGATGCGTTCGCAGCTGTATGCAGTATGAAGCGTCTTCATCTTTCCCGCTCGCTTTTTCTTCATACTTGTTGTACAGCTTGACAAGGTCTCCGTCAAAGTTGATTGCGCCATAGGTATTGGTTTCCTTGGTCAGCTCTGTCAAGACATGCTCAATCACCTGCTTCGCAACATCAAACTTCAGGTAATCAAGAATATGCAACCGGCCTTTGACACGAGGCCTCTCCCCATTTTCTTTCGAATATTCAGGATCATCGAGAAACAGAGTCTTCATTCCAAGCTGTGTTTTGACGAATCGCTTCCAGTCTTCATCGGTAAACTCAATGCCCTGCTTGCTTTGATCAACCAAGTAGCCAAGCAATTGGCTTAAATGAATAGCATGTTTGTCTTGAACCGAATTCCGCATGTAGCAGAGCCTTTCTTTATACTTTGTACATCGGCCCAAGAATGAAGGTTGTAGATTAAACAAAAACGCCTGAGATATAAATTCCAAACAAGCATCTTCGAGGCGCTTAGATGTGTTGTGTGCGTTCTGATTGTAGTCGCCATTTGCTACAGTGTCGAATAAATTCGTAAATTTTGTAGTATTTTTGCGTAGATATCCAGCTTTAATGAAATCCATCTGCTCTGGTACGGAAGCATTCTCAAAATTCTGCACAATGCTTTGATCCCAGCATACCCACGCCATGTCGCCGTCGTAATCGCCGCCCGACAACTTGTCGGCAAGAGGAACAGATCCCTTTGTTGAAAATATTATGACATCTTTCAGTTTTCGAAGCTCAGGTCGAGATACTACTCTGACTCTCTGGATATCACTCGGTAAATGGGCTGGGGCTCTCGCTACCAAAATATCCATCTGCTCCAGCAGCGTGTCTGAGAATCCTTCAACCTGGAATTTTGTGGAAAAGGAAAGATGTACTTCTCCTTCCTCGAGAGTAGATGAGAAGTCAGCAGCCATGTAGACGTACGCCGAACAGGGAATGGTGATGTTCATCTTGGTCTTCAGAGTATCAGCCTTCTTCTGGTAGATGCCCAAAACAGCATCCTTCAGGTACTTCAACCTCTTCTGGTCGAACCCAGAGTCAAGCAGAAAAGCCACTTTATCGGCACTATCATTGGGCAGACCACCTAGAAATTTTGCAGACCCATCCAACAGCCGATCGTTCCTTGATGGTCCGGATTGATGAATCCATAATCGAAGACTCATGGTGTCTTTCATCGCATCCGTTTGCTCTCCAAGTTCGGCGTTCAGGGCTCTCTGTAAGTGCGAAGACATTACCCGCCGCATTAACCCCGAGTCCTTTGCCCGCGCTTCCAGCACCGGGATGAATTGTTGATTTAAAGAAGCCGATCTCAGCTCTGCAGGCCAGTTATGTATCTCAAAAGTTCGGTGGTGCACATCTTTGAAATCGCATTCCCATTTTCTTTGTGACGGATATATTTCGATCCAATCTGTTTCAAAGTCTTCCTCAAAATCGCCTTCGCTGTCAACATCAATCAGCCACATGCCCTTTGCACTTCCTAATCGGCCTTGGAAGCAGCTCGGGCAATCCGTCAGCCCAAGCAACTCGGCGACTTTCTTAGCCAGGCTTGGCGAGATGCGGCCAATTCCATCATTCATCACCATCTTACCGGTCCCCAAGTCCTTGGGTCGGATGCGAATCTGATGCCGTTCGAGTTCAACAGTGGGCCAGGTTCGACTCAGACCTATTACAGTTCTGTCAATGCGGTCGTCCTCAGTGCAGAGACGTGATATCATAACTCACTTAGTGTTAAACGAGAGAACAATTTAGTAATAGGCTGTTCCCTATTCCGTATGTCATCGATGTTAACCGCCCATCGCAGCAGATCACTAAGCCTCATCTTTTTGCGATTGTCAATCTCATGTGCTTCCTGCAGCAGCGGAATACCATCTGCAGTGTTGGGGGGACGAAAAAAATCGCCGTCATAAGCAAAAAGATATAATCTCGCGGAAGGGGGGCCTTTGCTCGTCACCGAACCTTTATTTGGTTTTGCGGGGCGAACAAAGTATGGTCTCCAAAATCGTCCAAGGAAATAATGACAAGATCTAATGAGCCAGTCTACAATCTTTTTAAGGCTATCTTTATCGTCGTCGATGATCTTTGGTTTGCCATCCGTTGATGCAGACGGTGGTGGAAAAATTATCTCGAGGAAGCGGTCGGCACCGAATCGACGCGCCAGACGATGGCCTACATCGAGCTTTAAAGGATTCAGGCGAAGAATATACAGTGGACCAGTTTCATCCTGGTTATAAACCAGTTCTGCCGAGAGCACTATCGTCTTCACTTTGGTTTGGAATGTGCCTAATGCCGTTTCCCACGAAGCCGAGTCGCTAGGTGGAGGTAAGCTTTTGCCGTGGAAGAGAGGGTGCTTGGAGATTGTATCTCTCAGACTGTGCTGATCGTGCCATTTGTCGCTCGGTTGATACAATATATCGAATCGATCCAGTGAAACGTTGCAGTGAAGAGCAGCTCTGGTAATCTCCCAGATGACAGCGAGGGGTGCTTCAGTTAATTCAGGATGAGGTAATTTGGCTATCTCATACTCTTATTAGCTACAATCCGCAAGACTACTAGTAAACGCGAAAACCTACGCCAAATTTTAGCAAACCTTTCTTCCAAGGGTTTGCCATTGCAATCACTGCTATTTTGACGTAATTGACTTGATGAAGACGCAGGAATCTGAGACTGCGAACTGTTCGGGTACTGGGACCGGCCACTGGGTCTTTCTTCCTCGCGAAGAGAGAAGTCAGAAAATCTTTTCGGTATTTCATCTTCACTTGATCCAGTCGCTTCTGAGGAAGAGTCGGCTACTGTGGTTTGTGAGTATGGGTAGTTATTTGAACGACTCGGCAATTCAGAGCCAACAGATGTTTGACTAATAAAAGACACATTTTGCGCTTGGGTTGAAAACACTTCAGAATGAAATGATGTTCGAGTCGAGAGAAATGTCCGATCAAAGGACCTCTGCTGAGAAGATGGCCGAAAAGCTTCTCCTCGAGAGCGACTCACAGAGCGGCTCCCGGAGGCAACCACCGTGCTAATATTCGCAAACGACTCCCTAGAGCGAACTGGAAGGGCGTCCACGGCATCATGATGCTCGTATAGATGGCCTCTGGCCCGTTTTGGAGAAACCTCCTGTATGACCTCGGATTCTCTCTTGGTCCATGGCCTCGATTCTGGGTCATCTACTTCGCAGAGGATATCTAGCAAACATTTCTGAAGCAGCGTTCGATTTGCTGCAGGTGTGCAGTTACCGGGACTCCGTGACGCAGACTCAGACAAGATGATGCGTCCACGCTGCTCGAAATGCCCGATATATGCGGCTAGCCGATCATCTCCTGTGTAGTACAATTGCTGGATTTTCCGGTATATATCCTCAACTCGAGCCTCTTCATCACTTCGATAGCGCTCTCGAAACTTGCGAGGCGAGAGCGTCACATCGGGCTTGCTGAGCTGCAGCGCAAAGGTATCATTGAGCCTCCGAATAATACGGTCCAGCTCTTGGACAGATTTCTTGTGCGGACGAGACCCCAACGGGCCTGACGCCATTTTATATCCAGCGCCCTGGAGCCACTACGATTAGCATCAGTATAGCAGTTAGCATAAAGCTTACCAGCTTAGCTTCTGACTCGTAGGGTCTGTTCGTATCGCATTTAGCTGGTGGCATTCGGCGATACCCCGCCATCGCGGGAACGGCTGGGCTAGCACCCCAGCCCAAAAGCTCTTTCACGTGCAGGATTATCACGTGCATCTCTGCTTGGCGTGAGGCAAATTTGCGGACCGCCAGATGATCCGCCCTCAGCTCAGGCATTCTCTATCCTCCGCCCTTTGCTCTCGTGGAGATGCTCGGAGTTCGGCGTTGATGAAGTGCACCAGACTTAGGGACGACTCACAAACTCATTGGACAATCGACTCCACTGCATGCAATTGAAACTGATTTTGCGTTAAGATTCTTACATCAACCCCAATCATGACTGAAAGTGCCGACGCGGACGAGCAGGTGCCGGTCGAAGATCTGACACCTGAGGAGGCGAGCCGCATCATCCACTCGCATCGGAAAGTTCGGTATGGTAAGGACATCTCCCAGCCGCAATTGCGCAGCTCAATACTGTGCAAATTTTCTCTCCTGAGACTCGCCCAAGCTCTCGTATAGTTGCCGCGCGACTAATGCAGCTGCAGGGACCGCGTGTTGGCCGTGCCGCCAGCGCAAGGTGAAGTGTGACAACCAGCAGCCTTGCGAGAACTGCGTCAAGCGCGAACACCCTCAGCTCTGTTCATACAAGCCGAATCGATCATCGGCGGGCAAGCACGCCGCCACTGCTTCTCACAGCCGCAAGAGGGCGCGCTCACTCTCTGATGGAGATGACAATGTGAAAGCCGAGCGCGGGGATAGCTGGCCACCAACAATTGGTAAGTCAATGGCATCGTCGCATGCGCCCGGTTGACGGCACGTATTCATAGATTGACCATGTTACGTAGGCATCTCCACCAACCAAGAGGATGCTGAATCAGTACCTGATCGCTATGTCGGACAAAACAGCATCCCGGCTTTGCTTGGAGAGCAATCGCCAAATGACAAGGACGATGGAACCAGTATCCGCCGGGACATGCGCTCCATCCTGGGGCTTGATACCTCGGCGCCCTTTCCTCTCATGTCATCTCATCACCTTCAACGAATTGCTCGAGATATCGCTACCGAATTGCCGTCAGACAGAGAGGTCATGAAGTATGTCACCGCAGTTGAATCACATTGCCCATATGTGATGAAAACCTTGACACTAATGTCGTCTTGAATAGGCTGTTCCGTACCTACAAAGAAATTCCGCAACCTTTCTGGGGCTTTGTCATTGATATCGACGAACTTGAATCTGACCTCATGATATACTTGGAGGATCGATCTCGAAGTGCTTCGAAGACTGGCAGATCATCAAAACCGGTGACAGCTTCCTGGCTTGCGATTCTCTTCGCAGTCTTGGCGGTTGGGTCCCAGTACCATGAATCGCCGTATCACGTTCGCACAAAGGATTCGCAAAAGTACATCCAAATCTCCTTCCATTTGCTCCGGCTAGCAAACTTTTTGTTAAGGTGAGTCACAATGCTTTGCGCTTTTTTAATATTCCCCAGCTTGTCTCGCTAACAATGGCCTATGCAGACCATCGTTTGACTCGATCCAAGCGTTACTGTTGACCAACTTTGTTCTTCTCAATGACATGAAAGCTGAGGCATCGTGGGCTCTCACGGGCCTTACATGCCGTCTCGCCCAGTCCTTGGGTCTACATCGCCCGGCAATTCGTGGCAGCCGCGAAAGCTCACCCCTCGCCGCCAAGTCCAAGGAGATGATTCGACGCAGGCTATGGTGGACATGCGTGTGGCATGATGCCTTGACATCTCTATCATTTGACCGGTAAATCCGCCCCTTTTCGTCGACGAGATGTAGAATGCGATGCTAATCCCGACCATGCGTAGGAGCTCAATGACGAATATCCCGAGCTGTCCAATTCCTCAGATCGTGGACGCAGCCATTGGAAACTACACCTACTTGGAAATGATGTACAACCTCGTCGAGATCATTTCGCGCCGACTCAACCCCGATGTGATGGCTACCGCCAGCTACGAACAGATTATTGAAAATTGCGAGGCGGTCGAAGAGCTACGTAAACGTGCGGCCCCCCATATGCAGGACAAGGAAAAATGCAAGACAGCGTTGGACCGGCTCCAATTCTTTGCCATCCACCTGCATACGTCCTTTGTCATATCTGTGGCGTGTCGACCGGCACTTCGAAGGGACTGTCCCTTTGACCCAGCTCAAAAAGCAGCTCTCTCGGAGAAGTGCAGGGTCAACTTGACCGACACGGTCAAGATGTTCCTCGCCATGCATCAGCTTTCGGTAATCCCGACGCGAAGCTGGGCCTTTACTTACCACGGTCTATCGTCAGCTTTGCTGCTTGGTCTCCTTTCCGATACCAAGTCGGACCCTGAAGTGCGACAGCTCCAGGGAGATCTAATTGAAGCTCTTTCTGCAACGGCAGCCAAGGATGTTAGCTCCCCAGAGGCTCATGTAGCCAAGACAGATAAGGACATCGAGCTCTCAGGTCCCCTGTGGAGAGCACTTACCGCACTCAAAAACATCTACGACCATGGCCAAGTCAACATGTCGAGCCTTAAGCGAGATGGTGACATGTCTGCCGCTGCCAGCGGTAATCGAACTCCCTTGCTGCATCTTGGACTGAATAGCCAGGGCAATTATAATGCCATGATTTCGAATCCTTCGTTCCGCCCCTTGCCGCCGGGTGCAGATCCTCGCGAAGACGCGGCGATGGCCATGGCCGAGATGCAGAACGGCTCATCGATACAGGACATGTCTGCGTAAGTGAAGGAGGGAATTCATTTTTTTTTTCTAGAATCTCATTTGAAGCTAACTCTGTTATACTAGGATGAGCTATCCTCAGCAAATGCCTGGCAATCTTGCTATGGATGGCATCCCGCCTATCGTCGACCCGATGCAATTCAATGCTCCTATGGAACTCTACGATTCTATCTGGGTTGGTAAGTGATGATCGTTACCGCACCAGTCTGCCATTTATAGACAAAAGGAAGCTGACTGATGGTGCAGAATCTCCCCCTGACCCGTGGAACACCGGCATGGATGCCTTCAATTTCGACTTCTTGGCACAGCCGCCACCTGGTCAAAATCACCAGCAGCAGTACTACTTTTAATTCTTGTACAGCAGATTGTACGACGTAGTGTTTATTTCTCTTTCCTGTCTTTTTTTTTTTCCTTTCTCGATTTTGGTTTGTAAACGTAGAAAGTAAGTTGGCAACTATGGATGACGATGATGACGAATACCCCATAGTACGACAAAAGGCTAAGAAGGTGTTTTTGCTTTTTGTTTTCGCTCGTTCGTTTGTAGTAGAGTAGGGGGCTGTTGTTCGATTAGTGGATTCACACGCATATAGACTACAAAATGATTATAATGACATCTCTACGAGTGAAACTCATCAATCATGCGTAGCACGATGTGATGGTAGCCAGGAGACAGTTGTCAGCGCTCTCTTTGATCATCCAGGTATGAGACAAACTCTCATATTCAGATCGCATCAGAGCCCGAAAAGGGGTTACACACTCAATGGTGATAAACCGCCATTCCAGAACTGGAGTGCGACGATCAATGCTCATCATCCAACGAGTCTCCTGTCTCACTATCATCCAAGGCATTAGTTTCACCTCTAGATCAGGACATCAGCAACACCAGCACCACAATAAGAACCGAAAGAAAAGAGTAGTCAAATGCCATTTTGTGTATCATTTTCCAAATCTACCTTTTAACTTTTTTTATCTTTATTTACCCTTTTATTTCTTCGTTTTTCTAGACGTGCTAGAAACGAGCTTCTTCTTCAAATGCTTGGGCATCTTCTCCTGTCGTTTCTCGCGCTTTGCCTCCTTGACGGCCTGTTTATGTAACTATAAAATATGTCAGCCAGCGAATTCTTCATGTAACTTCAAGATAAAACTTACCTTCTTCTCATCCTTGTCCTCAAACTTGCGCCCTCTAGGCCTTCCCTTGTCAAACCGGCTCTCGTCATCCCCAGACTCATCATCATCATCGCCAAGAGAAGCTCCCTCTCCAGACTCATCCTCTGAATCGTCGTCATCCTCTTCATCCGCATCTTTATCTTTTTCACCAGTCTTGGGAGCAGCAACAACCTGGTCCGCCAGCAACTTGCTATACACCAACTCATTGCCCTCTCCCAGACCCAATCTCTTAACATCCTTCTCAATATCATACACCTGCTCTAGCGTCTGTGGAATGTACTGGTTTCGAAAGACTTCCGTATCCACTTCCTCCGCAGCTGCCTCTTCCTCATTTGTAGCAGCCTTCCGCGTCTCGTAGAGCTTTGCAATGGCCTCGCCCATGGCAGGCTCCTCGACCGGCCCCGCCGGCACGGTGATGAAGTTGAAAATGGCCCGATCCGGCAGCGTATCAACGCCCTTGCGACGGAAGAAGTCGCCCACGTTCTTGATGTCCATGCGCAAGAACTCGAGCGATCGGGGATGATCCGGCTCCACGCTCTGCGACACATCGATGATGTACAGCTGGCCGTTGTGGTAGAGAATATTGTACTCGCTCAAATCAGCGTGGACCAGCCTGCAAATCTGGTACATCCGTCGCATCGTGCCCAAGAGCTGCACATACAGATTCTGCCACTGCTGGTCCACATCGTCGCCCTTCAGATTTGCATCTCGCAGCCGTGGATACGCCCATCCCTTCCTATCACCCAAGAATCCCATGACCAGCACATGCAGCTTCAGCGCCAGCGGCTCCGGACAAGGAATGCCCGCATTGTATATCCTCCTCAAGTTGCGATACTCCTTCTCCGCCCACAGCTTGACCATCTTGCGGCTGTTTCCCTTGTCAAAACCGCCCTTGAAGCGGTGCTCGCCCGTGATGTAGCGCTCTCGATCCTTGAACACCAAAATGGCCGTCTTGTACACCTTGATGGCCCGCTGCGTCGCAGCACCCGTCTCGTCATCATGCGACACCGCGCCGTAGACATTCGCCTCTTTACCCGTGCTGATGGCGCCGTGAACTTCGCTCACAACACCGCGATTAATCATCTGCAGCAGAATCATGCGCGTGCGCTGGTCCAGCACCTGCTCGCTGGTGGCGCGGTCGGCCTTGTCTTTGTCGCGGTCGTCATCCTGCTTGACCGAGTCGAGGCGGATCTTGACGGCGTGCTTGGACAGCGCCGAGACCTGGTCGTCGACGCTGGCAAAGGTGTTTGCCTTTGGCTTCTGCGCATTGGATCGTGGAACAGCGGCACCGGCGTCGGTGGCCTGTCGCTGGCGGTTGTAGTTTTTGGTCAGGTCGCCGTCCGCGGCCCATTCCTCGTCGTCGTCAATCTGGTCGTCGTCAAAAATGTCCTCGAGGTCGTCGTCGTCGTCGCCCTCTATGGGAGGCGGGGCATCGGCCTGTTGCCTCAGCAATTCGCGGGGCACCTCCTCGGTCTGCTCGTAACCCTGGCTCGCCGTGTACTGGTATGGTGGCTGGTGAGGCGCCGCTGGAGAGGCTGCGGCAGCGTCTGCAGCGTCCATTTTGCTGTTATTTCTGCTTGACGGTCTCTTTCTTTCTGTATTATCTGTCTGTCTTTATGCAGATATTGCAGAAATGCAGTGTCGTGGCAGCGCTGACGAGTTTGAGCGGTTGATGCTCCAAAAATTATGTTTGACGCATTCGATTTTTATCTTATCTAGAAATTTTGGAGTTTCCGTGTGGTGGCGCATAAAAATTCGGGTACTTTGCGCCAAGTCCCTCCATACATAGACGTAGCCGCTAAATAGCGGGGTTTCCCACTGACTCACAGGGCACTAGCAGCAGTATGAGTACATGCTGTGGATGTATTTCTGCACGCTATTCTAATCGTCTGCCGCTACGCCTCTGCTTCTGTCTACCTATTCTGTGGCGAAGCTGGGCTGTGATTCCTCATGAGCCTCACATCTTTACTCATTTTCTCAACAGTCGTTGTGAATTGTCATTCTGTGAGTCAAGCCGCACCTGACTCAGCTACTTTCATCAACTCAGACCTTAACGCCGTGAAGCTGACCGGGTCGGCTCTTCCAGATAATCCATCTTGATGCCGTATTTGCCAAAATCCCCATCCATGTGATATGATTCATGTGAGACATGGAATATGCACCCAACGCCAGCAGCGCCATACATGCAGAATACTATAGGTAGGCAAATCATCGATGCCGTCACCTTGACACTTTCCGTTGCGTAAATCCATAGGGACTTGGTAAAAAATCTGTCCGTTGAAATGCAGCCGTGACCCATTGAATAGTAACGTAGCCGTTGTAAGGGAGCTTACACGCACGCGTCTGCCTCTCCAATGTCTCGGTCGCTCTCTCGATGGTAACCATTCAAGAGAGAAAATGTGTTTCAGAAAATTCTCGTGTCATGCATAGAACTGCGGGATTTCCCCCAAGCCATCGAGCTGGAGCAGAGTTTTCTCCATGCACATGCTCTCGAGTAGCATTCCTGGACAAGTCTTGGGCGTATATCACGGGGGGTTGGCCAAGATATCGACATGTCAGAAGCTGGGCTGCAGCATTTTGTAAATCGACAGCAATGGCGCTGGAATCCGCAAGATGGAGAGCCGTTTCATGCCGGTATGCTCTTTAAATTATTATATATTGGACGTACCAAAGTCGCAAATATTCCCTTGCCTCGTCTCATCTCAGCCCAAAGAGAAAAACAACAGCCAGCCTGTTGTCTACGGTTGAATATCCAATTCTCCTTCTTGTGTAATACTTTCATCAGATTGCAACAGCACTTATCCTCATCATGAAATTCCACGCAACGTCCCTCGCCATCGCGTGTCTAGCAAGCTCTGCTTCCGCAGCAGTCGCCCACCCAAGGGACACGGCAGAGACCACTCCCAAAGGAGAGCAATTCTCCATCACCCAAATCAAAAACGAGCGATGGAAGGGGCCCAATGCTCCGGCTGCTTATATTGCGGCTTTGGCAAAGTACAGCCCTACGTTACCCGATCATATCAAGCACGCAATAAAGGTCAATCCCGACCTTCGCCGCAAGTTTGGCAATCTCATCAATGCTGGTAAGCCAACCTTTTTTTTCCATTGTCAATACAAATCATTAGCAATTTATGAAAGCTCACTCGGGAACTAGGAAATCAAACGGGCACTGGTGTCGCAACGCCATCTCCTGGAGGAGACGCAGAATATGTACTCCCAGTCCAGATCGGCACGCCAGCTCAAACGCTCGACCTCAACTTGGACACTGGCTCGTCAGACCTGTAAGCACCCTCCAAGATAGCCCGAGAAGATTGGAGATCTGGAATCAAGGAGTTCATCACTAACCCTCCATTGTGTGCAGCTGGGTGCTTTCCACAGATACATATCCATCCCAAGTCGAAGGCCAGCCGCTGTATAAGCCAAACAACTCCACTACATCCAAACGCCTGCCCGGAGAATCCTGGCGCATCCAATACGGCGACGGCTCCAGCGCCAGCGGCATCGTCTACTTGGACCGCGTGCAGATTGGAAACACCTTCTTCGCCACGCAGGCCATCGAGTCGGCCATCAACGTCTCCGACGAAATCAGCGACGACACCTTCTCGTCCGGCCTGCTCGGCGCGGCCTTTAGCACCGCCAACACGGTCCGCCCAGACCAGCAGAAGACGTATCTCGACAACATCAAAGACCAGCTCGTCAAGCCCGTCTTCACGGCCAACCTGAAGAAGGGCAAGCCCGGCAACTACAACTTTGGCTACATCAACGCCTCCGAGTACACGGGCAACATCCAGTACGCCGCCATCAACCCAAATTCTCCTCTGTGGGAGATTTCCGCCAGCGGCTACCGCGTCGGCAGCAACGACACAGCCTACGTCTCGCGAGTCTGGAACGCCATTGCTGACACGGGCACTTCGCTGCTTCTTGCTCCCATTGACATTGTCAACGCCTATTACAGCAAGATCCCCGGCTCGAAGCTGGACAATGACTATGGCATGATGGTATTCCCTTGCACCGCAACGCCGCCTGATTTTGCCTTTGGCCTGGGCACTTACAGAGGCATCATCCCGGGATCGTACATCAACTACGGGAAGATCAACAGGACGACCTGCTTTGGAGGGATTCAGTCGTCCGAGGACGCACCCTTTGCCGTGCTGGGAGACATTGCTCTGAAGGCCCAGTTTACCGTCTTTGATTTGGGGAACAAACTTGTTGGATTTGCAAACAAGCCTGTCTAAACGGGGGATACGAGGCTCTGCTCATGAGTGAGTGACAGGATGATATAATGCTAGGTAATCTGTTTCTTTTCTTTCTCTATGAGTGGGTGTTTTTGGTGGCAATGATGCCAAGCTTCTAGCATACTCGTATCCAATGGTCGTTTAGCCATTATTTAACGTTTCTTGTCTAATGAAATAATCTCCGATGAATCCATCTCGTCTTTCGGCCGCTAGTGCCAGTATTTTTTGATGACACGCCTCTCACTTACACGAAGTTTAGCTTAAATCCGCTGGCGAGCGCGGCTTGGCAGCAAGAAAATGCGAATTGATAATCTACTAGAAAATATTTCGATGCATATACAGCTCTATACGGGGAAGTTCATTCATACGCATGGATACAGGGTAGGCAGCTCATTTGTCACAGGCCATTGCCAAGAAGGGCAATTTCTAAGCACCATGGTGGCATGTAAGTCGGACGAGTTGCTGCTGATCTCAGGACAGTCTAATTCCCGTTTTAGCCAGCATTGACATGGCCAATGAAGGCTGCAATTGCTCCCGTTTTCTGAGGTCATAATGAGAAAGAACCAAAAGATGCTCACCAATGTTTATGAGACGTCAAAAAAAAAAAAAGCTAAATAGAGCCCTACGCCCTCATTGCTAAATGATTGTAGAGCATGTCCCCCGCCCGCAGCTCACCTTTGCCAACCTCCAGGCCCTAAACCGCCAACTCAACCCCCGCAAACACACGATGGCCTCCAACATGCTCGTCCTGGGCGCCGGCGAGCTGGGCCTGGCCGTGCTGGAAGCGCTCGCCAGGCACCCCAAACGCAGCACCAACAGCCGCAGCATCACCGTCGCGCTGCGCCAGGCCACGCTGGACTCTGCGGCGCCGGACAAGAAGCGGCTGGTGCAGCAACTGCGCGCGCTGGACGTGCGCTTCGAGGCCGTCGACGTGGTGCAGGCATCGGCGTCGGAGCTCGCCGCCGTCTTTGCCAGATACGACACGGTGATATCCTGCACGGGCATGGGCCTCCCGTCCGGCACGCAGACCAAACTGGCTCGGGCCGCGCTCGAGGCCGGCGCAGAGCATCAACTGCGATACCTGCCGTGGCAGTTTGGCATGGACTACGACGCCATCGGCCTGGGCTCCTCGCAGGACCTGTTTGACGAGCAGCTGGGCGTGCGGGCACTGCTGCGCGACCAATCATCCACCGAATGGCTCATTGTCTCGACGGGCCTCTTCATGAGCTTCCTCTTCGTGCCGGCCTTTGGCGTCGTCGACCTCGCATCCAAGACGGTGCGCGGCCTCGGCTCGTGGGACAACCGCATCACGCTGACCACGCCCGAGGACATTGGCCGGGCGACGGCAGAGGTCGTGCTGGACCCCCGCGGACTCGTCAATCAGTGCGTCTACGTGGCCGGCGACACGCTCTCGTACGCGCAGGTGGCCGATTTGCTGGATGATCGGTTTGGCACACACTTTCGGCGCGAGCTGTGGGATCTCGACGAGCTGGCGAGGCAGATGCGCGAGCAGCCGGACAGCGTCATGGTCAAGTACAGGGATACGTTTGCGCAGGGCACGGGGGTTGCTTGGGGGCAGGAGAAGACGCTGAACCGGGCGCGGGGGATGGACATGACGGACGTGAAGGCGTATCTGGCGGCCATGGACGCATCGGTGTTGGACGAGTGATGGGGGTGGCTGTCGTGTAAGTGGTGATGGCTTATCTACAAAGGCTGTCTGTCTGTTTTGGGCTTATCAGATAATACCTGTAGACACCAATAGAAACGAGACAATAAACGCATTAGGTTATTCAACGTCTTTATCAGCGTTATCTGCCTTATCAGATTGCAATGTGGGCAGAATGTGTACTGCTGGTGGTATTAGTATATGGCCTTGGTGCTGCTGCTGCACGTCGGACGATGCATGGGGAAGCGCGTTTGAGATGGATGGCTTGCTGCATGATATTGGTTAGCATACAACCACGGAGCAGTACTACATACCACTGAGAGGTTAGAAATGGTAAAACAATGGCTGATTGTGAATAAGAATACGATGTACACAGTACTGCCGCATTCCACGCGATAGGTACCAACCTCCCTCTTGCAGCCTGTACATACATGCTCTATCCGTCCCAGACCGGCAATCCTGCCATCAGCATCTCCTCGGACAATACTCGCTCTTTTGTTCCGTCTGCATTTCCCCCCCTGAAATCGGCATCCAGTGAGCCGAAACGGTTTAACCCACGGGTTTATTCGAGTACTATTCAAAAGCTATTGATGCTTGTACGATTGGAGCCTGCTGCATTACTCGTATCATGGACCGCCGCCTACTAACACAAATCCAGGAGCAACAAAGGCGGTCTCAAGCGCCGCCTCCTGACCCTCACCGGAGCACATTAGCTTTCCCCGCATTATGTGCTGTCCTTGTCCCGTGCTAGTACTGTAGGACCTCTGTACGCGATGTCAGTGTAGATAGACAATTATCACCGTGTTTGTCTGTTTGTTTGTCGTTTGCTGTCTGCCTCTCCCTCCTTCACATGGTGGACGGACTGGCTCAGAGCCTCGGAGCAAAGCTGAAGCGTGACCCAATGACTGGCCTCTCATTGCAGCCTAGAGAAGGCCAACCACTAGAACTAGGTTAGTAATGCCACCACAAGAGACATTGCAAGCCACAGATAACACAACGCTGCCATGTGAGTCGCCTTGCCCGCCTATCAGCTTGCAACGTGAGCCTCTTCCACTGTGCGCTTATCTCCGTACTCTGTACGCGGTATCTGCTGCATGACTCCATATTCTGTCCCAGTACAGGTACTTGCCCAGCGCTTACGGACTCGAGACAAAACCCGGGGCACAGGATGCCTCATCCCCGGAAGCCTAAAATGGGCTCTCGGAAGCGCGTGGCCGGGAGTTTCTGCGTGTACTCTGTACAGGTGCTCGACCTTTGCTCAGCGGCGCCTCCCATATGTGCTGTAGTAGCCCTCTGATAGACAACATGGCTTTCTTCCGCGATGGCCATCGACATATGGATTACAGTATGAGTTATCATCTTCCTGATACTCATCCCATCCCATGGAGTTTCTTCTCACGCCGTCCATGTTCATGTCATCAATCATCATCAGCAACCCCTTTACATCGTACCGTGTGACCCTCGCGTACTGTCTACCGCTGCTGATACCAGCCCTCGGCCGGTTCCTGGCCGTATCCACCACGTTCCCTGTACTCCGCACAGCTGTCTGCACGCAGGCGGGCCTTGGGTCTCGCCGCTTTCCTCTTCCGGCGCGGCCTCCTATTCTGCCCTCGTCCTGCCTGACCGGTGACACACTGACACACTGACACACCTTACTGTACTTTGTTACCTCATACCCGCCATGCTATCTGCACACCTTCATTTCAGCCTGCAACACCGCCCAAACAATGGCTCGCACTGCGTCTTCCATACTGTATCCTGCCCGTCAGCCTCGCCATGGCGCTCTTCCGCTTCCGGCCAACAGGCACCCCCTTTCCCGAGTCCAGCCGTTGCCGGGCCTCTGTGCGTTTCGTTATCCTCGGTGACTGAGCTGCGCCACCAGCCCGGCCGCTTCCTTGGACGAGAGTGAGTCACGTCATGCGCTCGCCTCCAGCACGGCCAGATGACTCCCCCCCAGGCCAATCAGCACGCCATGCAAGTGACGGCGAGATAGGCGTCCCAGGCCTGATGGACAACTGTATAAGAGCATCGCTGGCTGGGTCGCGGGACATGGGCTTCCAAAAGGACCATCTGTCCTCCTGCTCGCTGCTGCTTCTTTCTTCTACACGGCTCTTTGAGCTTCTTCCTATTACTACTACAGTCTACTTGCCACACACGGCCATCAGCATTCCGGCTTCCTCCTGGGACACGCCCTAATACCATCACGAACACGCCTTCTGTAACTGGAGTGCGTCACTGTTCATGTTCTGTTCTTTGTTTGTAATCTGTACCAAAGCAGCGTTCCTTTGTACTTTGTAAGTGAATCCGCCTATTAAGCGAGAGCCCCTGTGCTAGTATGTAGCCATGACATCCTTGACTAACATGTCATCCCTTATCCTTCCAGTGACAGTTCATCTCTTCTTCCTACGCCCTCCAGTCGACTTTGACATCTTCATCTTCGACCTTCTTCCATCGTCCATCCGTATCTGATCGACCACGAAGCATCTTTCTCTTATCTGTCCACAACAACTATACATACACCTATATATAACTTCATCATGGAGGCTATCATGGATCGTAGCACCTTTACATCCCCGGCTGTCAAGCGCCATATCCAGTCCAAGCGCGGAGCCATTCGACGCCGTGGTGCCAACTATTTCATCAGGTCTACCGCGAAGCGCTTGGCCGAGTCTCCAAACCTCGCCTATCATCAGCTCGCCTACCCGTCCAACTATCCCTGCCTCACCGGTGCCAAGAAGGCCTGCCGAAAGGACGGAGGCCCCGTAGAGGGACCTCGTCCTCTCCGATCGCAGATTGAGAATGATCTTCGTCAGGTCGTCTTCTCCCATGCTTCGGCAACCAGGCGCGAGCACCGTGTGCCGAGGGTATCACCTCGCAAAGAGGCAGATGAGGGCCGGGAGCTCGCCCGCAGCGCCGTTGCGCTACCAAGTGATGCGCATCGACTTGTAAGACGGCCCAGCTTGGAGCGCGAGGAGGCTTTCCGTGTTGCAAGCACCGCCAAGGGCAAAGTTCACACCCGCGCGTCTCCCGAGAGCGACGATGCGCAGGTTGCTGAGCTCTACCACCAGGGCCTGCTCTACGATGCCGAGGAACAGCGCCCTGAGGAAGTCTTCAATCTCAACAGCATTCAGCATGAGGACCCTGTGTATACTATTCGCCCTGCAAAGCGTGGTCGCAAGTCAAAGAAGGGCGGCAAGCCTGCTGCTCTCACCCTCTCCTTTACCGACCTTGGCGACTACAGCACCAAGGCCTCAACAACCCACCTTTCAACCGCTGATGATTCAAGTATCAGCGAAGCGTTCCCTCCTTTGAGGGTAGTCTACGAAAACGACGCGTCAAATCCATCGTTTGATGTGGAGACATCTCAGCCGCCAGACTTGACGATGGACGATATCTCTGATTATGACTATTTCTCTGACGGCGAACTTGACGACGATGTTCCTTCTCAGACGGAGATTTTGGAAAACGCAAACAACCCGTCCGCAGAAAACTGGATCATGCTAGGTTGATCGGCTCGTAGCAGGTCTGCTTAGGATCCCCCCGTGCCCCGCCGGGATTTGGAAACTGGACAGGTGGGAGAGCCTCACCTCAGACTGGTCCATCATATAATCTAGCATGATTGCTTGTTTTCTGCGGGCGTTTTTTCTCTTCTTGTTTCTTTAATAGGGGGATAGAAATGGAACGGATTTTTCCGGAGATTGGGATAGATAGATGTCTGTATACTACAGCCTGCATAGCGACTGGTGTACCGACAGAATCCGTGATGACACTTTATACTCCTATATGGATGGGCGGCGACGCGTTTTTTACTCTTTACTGTTTGGATGATTACGGACTTTGTCTCGCTAGGTGTTTTAGTCACTTATACGGGTGTTGCCATGGCGCGCACTGGAATATTATTACGATTCTATTCTCTTTGCAATTGTTTGTATACTTGTTGAGTGATGAGGGCTCATAGATCGAGACCATAATACAATGTTTGCAGGCATTTCATGCATTTGAATGTCTGTCTGTATTTGTTTCAGATTGATATATGAACTGTGCGAATTATACGGTATGAAGCGTGCAATTACAAGAGAGTTGGTATGCCTGGATTGCTGTTTGAGAGCCACCTATGATCTATTCTCTCGGGCCCCGTATTCAATGATCTCCTAACCATGAAAAATTGAATAATAAAGAATTGGGCACTATTGTCTTGGCTGCATTCTCCGAATGCTGCAATAGCTTTTGGCTTCATCAAATGGTGACTTCATCAACGCTACAATGACGTAATAAGCCGTTCGCATGTGACAGTCACACAACGCGCTTCAGCGCTCATCATGACGGACGCGTTGTATGCCCGATTGGGGTTAATCTAATCGCTAAGACAACGGAACACTGGCTCCGGTTGTCAGCTCAACGATATTCTTGTACGTCAGAATACGCAATTGGTGAGAATGAATCCGACGGCCCGAGGATGAGGATGATGTTCCGGTGGCGCTGGGCTGATGTTAGCCTTTAGGTTTGGTTTTGATCGTTGGAGGTCTGTGAGCTAGGGTGGGCAATGGGCGATCTGGTGCAACCTTTAGAAAGAAGCTTAATTCTTGTTTTATGGCGAACACATCCGAAAAAGATATGATCTATCTAAATAGGAAGTGCAAGCCTCGTTTTCTGAATCTAAATATAATATCGTAATGCTGATGTAGTGCTCTTATTACCTGTCGGTCTGACAACAGGGATGATTGCCCTATGCTGGCTATGTCTCATTTGCCGTGTTCATACTAGTAACAAAAATTGTCTGTACAATTGTTGAGAATGTCAATAACATACAATATTCTGGTAATTGCATATGGCCTAGACGGCTTGGTCTTAGCAAGGTACATATATCTATACTAGGTGTCCAGTATTGTTCACTCTATCTGTACTTCTCTGTTCCGGTTGAACACCTAATCTAAATATATACAGATCTATGTAGATTTCTTATAAGGAAGAGCAAATAATTCGTTTAATACACAGCTTAGCGCCACAGAAACATGTGATATGTTTCCTCTGTGCGTGGGCTGGATTGCAAACTCTTGTAGAGAATAGATATGTGTATTTATCATGCACAGTTTCCTGCTATACATGTAAATTAGGCGCTACAAAAGCAGTCCACGTAATACATGTTTAAAATACGTTTTTCAGAGCTCAATCCAAATTCAGGCCATATTATGATAGTGGCGATCAGTTGGACCTTCGATCGACCAGACCTCAAGAAGATTCACCATAGCATCTACTCCTCTAGAAGATCAAATGAATCAGTGATTCGCCTGTCCTGAATTCCAACTCTTGGCTATATTGCCAAATTACGTGGCCAAAAGAAGGCAGAGCTGCTGTCTTCGGTTTACCTCATCTGCACAGTAAGTAACCTAACTCTATCTGCCCGTGACTTCAATCTCAAGAGCAATGGTTCCAAGCCTCATCCATCCATGACCATAGACGACTACCTCGAGCACCTCCGAGAAGAATAATAAGCGTAGCAAGCAACATTGACCGAAACAAAACAGTTTGAGAGTAAACTACATTGCAGCACGCCATGTTCCGCCAACACGGTCCACCAGCTCTCTCCGCTGCCTTATCTACAGCTCCTGAATTTAAGATGCAGAGGACCCTAAATAATACAAAGACGGCAATAATGGTTGAGATGACAGACATCAAGGACAGCAGGATTGTGGCGGCCAAAATATTAGAGTAGAGGCGGTTTTACCGGCTTCAGAACCCCCCAGAACAAAAGTTTTGTCGAAAATTGAAAAGAAGCACCTCGTTCCTGGCTTATCTACTAAGTGGCCTGATGTACCTGATTATGTCTGAAAATATCTAATATGGTGGCTTGTGGCTAAAAGTGCGAAGTGTGTAGTCATTCTGTTTGTAGTCATTTACTGCGCCTGCTTACCGCATTCGGCTATCAATCTATCAAGTACCTGATCCATCCTTGGCTAGAGAGATAATGAAGCACTGCTACTGTAAGCTCTCAAATAACTGTTGCCTTTTCTACTCATTCCATCGATCGCTTTGGAATGTTGAGTGGTCAGGCAGACCCACTCTCTTTAGCAAGCCCACTTTGTTGTTTTGTTTGCAACGATCCGTTTGCTCTTGGCCAGGCATATTTCCCTTCCTCCCTTGCGATGGGCCTCCCTTATCTATGTTTCGCAAAATAGTCCTCTTTACTCTTTGTCATGAAGTAAACAGACTCCAAACTTATGGTTTCACCTGCTTGTTTTATACATAAGAGCAACGTTGGAAGCAGTTCATCTTTTGTTGGCACCTTGGCCAATTTGCTTCGCAGCTTTGCTCAATTACACGCCGCGAATATGGCGGCATACGTACATAACCAAGATGCGGATGCATTGAAATCAACCACCACACTACTAGACGCACTCAAAATAGGCGGTTCTCCGAATCCAACTCTCATTGATACTATTCCAGACGTGGCCAAAATGATTGATTCTATGCAAGAACTTCCGGCTGAACCGCCATCAATATATGTCGACCTAGAAGGCGTCAATCTTTGTCGATACGGGACCATCTCGATATTACAGATGTACATTCATCCCCTGGAGCGAGTATATCTGGTTGATGTTCTCACTCTGAAAGATAAATCCTTCTCGACATGCGGGAAAAGCGGCCATTCGTTGAAGGACATTTTAGAATCAAGAGCAATTCCCAAGGTGTTTTTCGATGTCCGAAACGACTCAAATGCGCTATATTACCACTTCCAGATCAAACTAGCTGGTATTCTCGATCTTCAACTCATGGAGCTTGCAACACGGAATGTACCCGGAAAATTTGTCTCCGGACTCGCAAAGTGCATCGACAGAGATGCGCCACTCTCTTACTACGAGAGGCGCAATTGGTTGCAAATCAAGGACAAAGGGCAGCGGCTTTTCAGGCCTGAGAATGGCGGGAGTTACGAAGTGTTTAATGAGCGGCCTCTGCAAAGAGACATTAGCCTCTACTGTGCCCAGGATGTCCAGATCCTACCTCGCTTGTGGGCACACTATAGCAGGAAAATTAGGCCTTCTTGGATGCAGACAGTAATCAGCGTTTCGAAGAGAAGAGTGGAGGAGTCTCAGTCGCCAAGTTACGCTCCAAACGGGCCTCACAAGGCATTAGCCCCTACCCGTTGGTACCAGACTTGATACGTGTGCTTTCTGGAGTTCCTGTCACCATTTTACTTTACTTTATCTCTTTTGATCTTGAAAGACGGTTGGTTATATGTTGGCTGCTTTGATTGGCACCCTGATTTAGTGTTAGATATGCTTTCACACAAGGAAAAAGATAATTGAATCGAGAACAACGCATATCTAGTCTTGGCCCGTAGGTTCAATAACCAAATTCAATAGGCGCAGCTACGATAGCTACGATAGCTAAATATAAAAAGGTTTAGTAAACTGGGCTTGATCACGGAGACTAATCGCAGCCATCGCCGCAAGCAACATAGCAGTAATAAAGTTCCACGCCGAGGTGACTCACCCCATCCAGGTGACGTGGCTTTGCAAATCTCCCTTGCGTCGCCAACAGTAATAAAAACCCTCGATGACACCCATAATTGGACCAAACTCTTTCTCTATGCTTTCTTCACACGACAACATAAGTAATGCAACAACACGATTACCCGTCAAGACAACCTTATGGCAGAGAATAAGCTTGCGGGGCTAATCGAGCTCTTTAATCGATCACGTTGAACAAGGGCGACCCGAAAGAGAATGTACCGAGGGCCACAGCTGAAGGGTTACAAGCCAGTGCGGACAAACAACAGCCGTATAATCCACTATACCAGCATCTGCAACCGAGAAGAAAGAAGTCCCACAAAAGGAAATGAATGATTAAAAAGTCACTCTAATGGGTAGTTTATCTCTCTATACTTGGAAGGAATAACTCTATTGCGAGGACTAATGCCTCTTAATTATTCTTTGTAAGTGTGGTCAGATAAACTACCTATTATTGTGACTTTACAATTAGTAGCTTCCTTGTCATCAAATCTTTCTTTTACCTGCAGCTACTGGTATACTTATATAAGGCTATTGGTTTACCGGCGATGTATTGTGACTTTCCAGACACGACCCTTATCGCAGCCTCTTTTTGGTCGCCCTTGGCCATCTTGATCGATTACAGAGTTGGCTTAGCCTGGAGTATTCTGCTGTAAGACTGCCTTACCGGGGCATTAGCGGACTCGAGACATTCGATTAGTTATTATAAAGCATGGTTCAGTATGCTTGGTATACTTCGGCCGTCAATCCATTCAAGCGGTACTCCCGGGTTCTCTGGAAGCGAAGTTGGTTGGAGGATCCTCGGAAAGAGCATCAGGGTCGGTTAGAACGCGGATAGATGCGTTTGGCCGTCCTGTCTAGGTGAAAGTAGACTAATTCTATGAACAATATTGTCTTCCCTGCTTAACTTTCAGAGAATTGTGCGTCGGCAGATGAACGGAGGAATAGTAATAGATTGGTGTTATTTCATCCGAAGTGGTCCGAGATTTGTGCAACGCCGTTCTAGTTCCGGCTCTTCCATCAAGCGGCAAACGCACGGAACTTCCATCTAAGGATAGAGCAATCGCTTTTAAGAAGTTTTTTTTCCAACTATGAAAAAGTAGTTTATCCAGTCATTCCCTAAACTAATTGAAGCCTTTGTACAACTCATCTTGTAGAAACAAACAGGCGTCCCAGCAGGTAGAACATCACTCCATCAGTCCTGTGAAATAGAACATCAAGACTTCCATTTTGACAAGCGTCTCGACCCCTGACCTTTAAAAGCTTAGCTCCAAATAATAGCAACTTGCTCATTGACAAATTCTTGCCAGGAGAAAGTGCCCCAGGATCGCGAGCTTGCCGTGACAAATAGTAAGTAAGCAGTAACCAGAAACCACAACTTCAAGTGGAGCCCGTCCAGCATTGAACTTGGCGCGTATCGAATACGCAGTATGTTTTCCAAATACTTTCGACAACTCGGAACAATATGTCCCAAAGAGTTACCGCAATACTCGACAAGATGCTGAAACTATTTGTCAAACTTCATTTGATCTGAATTGTACATATATTAAGATGGCTCGTTGCAACATCAAAGACTTCTCATTCTCCATCACCAGTCTCAGCATCAATTGGAGACTCACACAGATCAATCCCAGACTCATCATCCGTCTAATTGAGGTTCCATCAACTTAACAACCGCCATGTTCAAGTCAACCCTTCTCCTGGCTCTAGCCACCGCCGTCACGGCAAGAAAATGCCAAAACCTTAACATCCCAATCTCAATCTCAGCCACCAACACTGCCTTCAACCTCCCACCGCCAGCAACTGACATCGATGTCGCCAATCTCCTTATCAATTTCGCCGAAGACAGCACCAACTTCTTCAAAAGCATCCTAGTAGGAGTGAGTAGTTTTCCCCCATTCCATTTTCAGCCATCAAACAAAGACTAAAACGTATTCTCCTTCTCTCCAACCTTTCAGCCTAAAAACGTCAGCGGTCACTACTCAATCGGTGCCACCTACTGCCAGCCAGACCACGGACCAGGCAAAGCCCTCCAAATCCTCACCCACGGCGCCGGCTTCGACCGCAGCTACTGGGATCTCTCCTTCAACAGCCACAACTACAGCTACGTCGCCCGCGCCGTCGACGAGCAAGGCTACTCCACCTTCTCCTGGGACCGTCTCGGCATCTCCGCCTCCTCCAAGGGCGATGCCGTCAACGAGATCCAACAGCCACTCGAGGGCGCCGCCCTTGAGAAGCTCTCCATGCTCCTCCGCGACGGCTCCATCCGCGGCATCAGCGCCAAATTCGACAAGTTCATCCACGTCGGCCACTCCTTCGGCTCAGCCCTCACCTACAACTTCATCCACGCAAACCCAGACTTCAGCGACGCCGCCATCCTGACGGGCTTCAGCCAAGTTGGAAACTTCGTCACCAGCTTCCTCCTTGGCGGCAACTACGGAGCTGTCAAAGACAATGCCGTCTTGGCAGCAAAGTACCCTCGCGGCTACATCGCGCCAAAGAACCCCACTGGCGTCCAAATTGACTTTTTTGCCCCTGGCGACTTCGATCCCAAGATGCTGGCCAATGCTTTCGCCATTGGCCAACCTAGTGCTATTGGTGAATTCCTGACCATTGGCTCTAACGACGCCAATGATTTCAAGGGCCACCTTTACATCGTCACAGGAGGTTAGCATCCCCTTGGTTCTCAACCCCCTTTCGATCCATAAGCCATATGGTGTTGTGTATGCTAATAATTTGATTGATCTAGACCGAGATTTGCCCTTCTGCGGTGGCAGCTGCTACGACACCACAGCTATCCAGGGAGCTTTCCCCGATCTCCTTGCCGCCTCTAAGCCCAATTTCCCCAGTGCCGCAAGCTTCAACACGACCATCGTTCCTGGCGGTGGCCACGGTCTTAACATGGGATACTCTCACAAAGATACATACGATTCTATGTTCAATTTCCTTAGCTCTTACTAATATAATGGTGCGAATTGATGTTCAAACGTCGAAATAGACAATAGAGGATGATTTTGTGGTAATAGTTAGATGTTGCTTTAATATAGAGTCAATTCAGTCCTAGCGGCTCATTCACCTATTACAGTCCTGCTAGCCAGTAACTGCTTTCAATTCTCTGTCGCTATTCGTCGCTGATTTTCCTAACATTGAGCGTCGAATCGTATACCGAAAAGATGCAGCATTAGTTTGCCTCGGCAACTTGGCCGACCCTAGTCGGACGAAGCCGGATAAACTAGTACTTTGTTCCTCATAGACCATGAGGATGATCGCGAGCTATGATCTCTTCTATTGGACAAATAACTTCATGATCCCTGAATAGTGGATATTGTGATCGCCTTTGGCCTCAAACGGAGTATTTAATTCATGTCACACATGCAAAGACGGATATTATGTAAAGATTTACACCAGAGTTTCCGCAGCCTTCTGGTGTGATCAGTGTTTAACACAAAATTCGGGGCATGTCGTGATCAGCATTGAGTCCACAGCAAAACAATATTTTGCTGTAGGCTGAGCTGAGAATATAGCAATGCCTTAAAGCAAGAATCAAGTAACTTCTATTGAAAGAATATTCTGTCCATTTTCTCATCCTGGGGGCATTTGATTAGGTATATCAAGCCATTGGGGCATGTCCGGGATGCCCCATGTCAGATAGGTCGACATTTCATCCGCCGTTTTGATATAGTCCTCAACCGAAGGCTGCATTATAGCCCCGTTCTGGACCAAAACTTCTGCCGATGGTATGACGTGAAGCGAAGCTCGCGGAGGCAAGCTCTGGTTCATGAGTTCGGGCGCTATCTCTAGCGGGGGATACGTTGGTCTCAGCACAGGCAGCGCATTTGCAAAGTCGCTGCTGCCGCTCTTATCTATCGACGTCTCATAGAACAGGTTCTGGCTTGCTTGGATTAATGGCGACTTGCCATCATTTGCTGACATCGTCTTGACACTGCTTGTTGACTGTGCTTCCTCAATCTGTGCTCTACCTCTCCGGAATGAGGCCAATGCTGAAAGGTGGTGGTCTTCCGCAGATCCTGTAACTTCGGCAGGATCAATAGGTATACTAAGGCTAGGCATTAGTCAAGGGTACCAGTATGTTCTGCTCGAGAGTAAAAACATACCTAAGCGTTTCTTGGTATCTCTCTGCAATATCCCGAAAGCCAAAAAGGTGGCAAAGTGGAATAAGGCCCCGTATCTATGGCCATTAGCAGATAGTACACGAGGTGAGTTAGAGAGAGGAAAATGTACAAATTGTATTGGTGCCTCTTTTCCACGATTGTGAATAGCCAGGAGAAAGCTGAAGTTGGTGATGATATTATCTCTTGTCTCTTGCAAAGTCTGAGGAGACTGATCCACCGTAGCTGTATAAATAATTTGCACTTTGGTTGATTCGATGATTGCATCGGGGCAAAAAAGGTCATCAAATGCGATTGGACTAAAGGTCATTCCGGTACGGATGATGTGAGATGCCTGAGTCGCATGATAGCGACATAGATTTTGGCAATGTGCTCGAAATTGAAGCGGTGCGTTTTTAAATGCCGATGCGAGGGGGAAGCTGAAGCCGGCTAAAGAGATTCGGGTGAGGTCAAATATGACGGCATGAATAAAGAGATGTAGAGCGAAAACACCACCGAGCATTCCCCTTTCTTTCAGCACGAAGAGATTGGCATCTGTTAGGTAATACTTTTCCGGCAAGTTGTTATAAAGTGCGTTGAGTTGATCAATGATTCTGACAAAGTCAGACGACGGTTCCCAAATACGCATGGCATCACCAGCAACTCGAATAAGCCTAAAAGAAAACATTAGCAACGGGTAGCCGGGGGCTGACCTAGGAACAAGGGAACAACAGGACATACTGCATCCCTTTCGTCCTCAGGCGCACCACTAAGATCATCAGAGATGACAAGTCCAGTTCTGTAATAGCTTCCTGCATTCCTGAGCCTTCGATCTGTACAACATAGTGTGGTGGTGATGCAAGTTGAGATGTAAAGCAGTCTTCCGGGCAAGGCAACGGAATTTCCGGTATATGGTCCTTCCAGCACATATTTTTCTCGACGCCATTGGCGGCAAGACCGTCAATGACAAAGCTGGCCCAAACGATGCGATTTTCTACCTCTCGTTGAATCACCTGAGCGGCTGTACAGCGATTGTGAAGTGGGCGCGGCGAATCCAAGCTTAGCAATCTTATGGCGCGATGCAAAAAAGCCAGCAGGATAAAGACCAAAGCATGCTGATCTTCCCGAAGACCATATTCACATAGAAGAGCTACCGTCTATAGAAAGGCATGATTAGATAGGCCGGCGGAACTGGAGTTTGATTGGCAACTCACCATGAGACTCTGCACGGTAGGAGCATGCAGTTCTCCTAATACCTCCTTTCTCGCTCTCTCGGCCCACTCATGCCCCGGAATCGCGGTTGGAAGTGAATCGCGATCAGCGCCATCTAGACTCAGTATTGCATCAAAGTAGATGTGCCTAAAGTTCCATATAGATGGGTCAGACTGCGATTTCCCTCTAGTTTCGAAGATAGCACACAGTAGTAGCCGAGAATAGCATACCTAGCGCCAAGGGCGCATATTATGTAGAGCAGAGGTTCTCCGTAGTCCTGCGCAATACTTGCTGCTTCGAGCGACTGCATAAAAGATGGGCGATGAATGAAAGAGAGACAGCGGAGGTAGTGATTTCGTTCAAAGTAGGCATTAACTAGCCGAAGTCGAAGCCCGTGGTCTTTTGGGAGGGTATCTGTGCATAGGCTTTATTTGGTGTTAGCTCATGTCATGAATTTGGATGCGGAAACAGATACCCCGAGCTGGGAAGAGCTCTGGCTTGTGTCCTGTTCTACCTTTCAATATCAACGCCAAATGCCTGCAGCAGTGTGGGATTCGCCCACTGGGTAGGTTCCAAAGGCTGGGCCGGGGCCATTGACGTGAATCCTGCAGCAGCAACCGTAGAGCTGGCCACCGAGCTGGCAGGCTGAGAAGAAGATTCGCGCTCGTGCTGCTTGTCCAACTTTGAGGGATAGATGCAGGGCAAGTTACGCAAGATGCAGCGGCGACAGGACGGCCGAGTCTTGGTGCAGCGATGCTTCGATGACCGGCATTCTTCGCAGGATCCCACCCGTCGTTTTTCAACTCCGGCAGCCTTGAAGATGTCATCCGCAGATTTCTGCATCTCCTTGCGCGAGATGAACTCGCTCTGCGGGCTGAAACCAGGGCACCCGACACCCAGTCGAACGCAGTTTCGACACTCGGGTATAGTCTTATCGCATTTGACCTAGTTCAAAAAAAGATTTGATGAGAATTTCGTCGAATAATCAAGCTGCTGGATGTTCAGGAAGCTCAAGTCTGCTGAGGTTCTTCGTTGCCACTCAAGACTTGATGGACTCTGCATACCTTTCTTGATCTACAGACCAGACAGGCTGCGGACCGGTTTTGTTAGTTGACATTATCTCGCAAGGGTTAGATACTCGAAGAGCTTCGAATAGGAGAACGAGTAGAAAGATGAGATGACAAGAAGCAGAGATAGGGAAGCTGCCGGTCTCACCTATGGCTGCCTTTGGCGCATTTTCATTCCGAGCTGCAGTCGCGCCACTGCGCTGCTGTGTTTGCGAGCCCATTTGCTAGCTGCGAGCAGTTTCGTTTGGCTGTACAAAGTACTGAGGATACTAAAATGTCATCCTTCTTTCATTATCGCGCAGTGCTCGCCGTTGCGAATGAGCATGGTGGGAGGGAGGCGTATCCCTTTGAGCAACGAATTTCTCCTCTCCAAATGACGATTGAATGCAAGAGTTGAGATTCCGAAATCATTGCTTTCCGCCTTGTAACTTGTCTGGTCCCCTTTCAACGGCTGACTCTGCGTCCGATCCAATCCCAGACGCCTCAGCGGAGTCCGCACTAGTTTGGCTGCTCGACAGCATCGGAGAGCTGCCGTAGCCCTGGCTAGGATGAACCCGGTGCATCTGACGGGGAGCCCAGCTGATGGGTGGTGGAGCCGGCCTTTTTGAAGGCGCTGGAGAGATGTTAGTGGCCATCTCGCAACAGACACCATCCTACTGTATACTCAGTACTGAGATTGACGCTGTACAACAATTCACAGAGAGAAGATGCGGCTCGAGCCGATCTGATTGCAGTTCTTCATAGCTGGAAGCTGCGGCGAAAGCGGCCAGTGGCTCGAGTCATGAGTTGAGATGGAGAGACAAATTGGCGTGGGGACTTGTGTTTGCGTTTCATTGTTTTTTTATTTGTGTCGTCCTTGCTGGTCTCGTGGAAATTGATAATTCCTTCCCGTACCTTCCCAACTTTTGACGCTGTTTCTATTACTACATGAACTCTTACCGATACTACACCCAGTATAATCGACATTTGCATGTGATAGTATTCTAAACTCGCCATTGAAATTAAATTCAACGACAATTCATCCAAGCCCGTGCTTAGAAGTACACCAGCTGAAATCACGACCATTCCAAAACGCACAGACACCCCTGCACGAGTAAGGTACCCGTGGACGTGACACTGCTTGTGCCATACTTAGCTGCCGCCAACGCTTACCGGGCACCAAAACTACAACCGCGCGGGAACTCCATAGGAGTTTATCGATTGATTACTCACTATTGCAAGTATCTGCTGGTATACGAGAACGCTTACATGCGATGCACTCGATTGAATCACAGCAATAAGCATTAGTCTTTACAATTGGAATATGGCCTATTTAACAAAGACAGAGCTGATGTTGCTATTAGCAATCCACGAGTGCTTTCCCAGAAGAACTTCATGATTCTCTTTTAGACTCATGGCATTGATAGACTTACTTTCACGCACACGCGTATGCTTCTCGCAGTTGAGCAAGATTTCGATTCTTACGTCTATTAATGCCCTCTATGACGCATGTCTCAAACCTATTCGTTACAGCAGATGATAACCCAGCAAATGACAGCCAACGTGTTGCTTTATACGTTTTCGGCCCTTTGCCGAAATATGGCATTAGTCTTGGTCTTTAGCGCTGATGATCAAGCTCGGGACGTATGTGCAGGCTTTACTACCGTTACATGCTGCATTGTTACATTCTGCCCTGCTGGCACATGGCATGCTCGTGTTGTCCTTTCACGTGGCAATTGCAGGGCATCCTTTCTGCACAAGGGGGCCAATTGGAGTTATACTCGGGTTCTCTTGATACGCTGGCTGGGTTACACACCTTTAACCTCCAGTTCATTGTTGACCAATGCTGTTTCCAGGCCGAGAATGTTAGAACTCGTCAGCTCAATGCGCGCAGGAGCTTCCTCTTGAAGCTTTCGGAAGAGCGCCACAGATTTGTTAAGGTCTGCTTTGCTATTTTCTGTCGGCTAAACCACCATATGCGGCAAGGATTGAAATGATTAGAAACGCCGAGCTCAAAAAAAGCACAGACGTGATTTGCGATTCTGTATGGCCGTCTGCGGTACCTCTTCGAGCTTTTTGCTTTGGAAACGCTGAACTCGGACATGGATACACAGATACACAGGTCACGTTCGGTGGAGGCCTGTAGGTCGCATTGCACTCAACTCTCGCTCTCATAATTTCTTCCTCTTTTCCGAAAATACGCAAACAAAAGAGATGGCGTTAGTTTCAGTTACACTTGTGGCCCATTATTTTTAAATAGAAGCATTATAAACACGATATTCTCCCTAGAACAATTCGAAGAATTACCCGCCAAACCGGGAATGAAGGGCGGCGACTTGCGGGGTTTGGATTCTCGACATCTGTAGCTGCTTGACTATTCCCCGAACGAATGCCTAGTACCCAAGCGAGGCTGGTTGACAGGTAGATCCTGGACTCGGCAAGTACTGAAGTAAATCCGCGAGCCTATCTGTCGCCACGTACAGGCAGCGTGTAATGAAGGTAAAGTAGCAATCTCGATGGCCAACATAGGGGATCCGATCATGAGTCGTGGAGGGGGGGTTAAGGAGGCAAGAACCAGTCATGCATACTCTATGTATGCACTTAATACTAGTAATATCCCTTCAACTGTTGAAGCCACGGGTAAATCACAGATAGTTACTAGTATTTCGAAATCGTATGCCTTTTGTATTACACTGTCCAATGCCTGTCACGGTGTTATGTCGGCTCATAACTAAAAATACATATACCATGATATCTATTTGTCTTACACCATTGGTAAGCATCAGCACACCGAATGCTTCGGGACGCCCGTCTTCTATTTTCGTATGCTTAAAGCATAAAGGTGAGGATGGCGAACTGCATTCTCTTTTCAGGGGAAAACGTGTACCTATGTAAGCGCACATGTATTATCTACATGCAGTCTACGAGAGGCTTCCCTGGAGTGATGAGTTTCTGTAACTGCTATTGGACGGATCGTATGCGGACTGCATGCACCTAGGGATATCCCTGACAACTTGGAGAGTCTCACAGCCATGGCGATACAAAGTAGCAATGCTCTCCAACTTTGTGATGCCCTCTACGCGTTTCAGCAACAAGATCAGAAGAAAGCTAAAATTCAGCTGGCTTAATCAAGTCAAAGTCAACTACAACTAGATTGTCTGGTTCGCCTCAAATATATAATAGTTCATGACTAGATTCCATGCTGATAACTGAGCTACAAGATGTCCAGATGAAATAGAAGCCGATCGCAAGCAAGCATAAATGAGAAAGCACCAAAACATGAACTTAAATAGAAGTCCAGGTACAGCTATTGCTCCAAGGCAATCCGAGTTCCCTCATTCTGTCAAACGCTCTCTACACTCCAACCGCGAAGGTCAACGATGACATCAAGATCCAACGTTATTTAAGAACTATGCGTACTGGCCTAGTCGGGTAACCTCGCAATAGAGAACGATATTATTGTCATCTATCACAGAGGACCGAATAGAATGGTCTAAAGAAGGCCCAAATTAAACCGGCAGTGATAGCCAGCATATTCTTGTTGGAGCTCAAATCGAGATCCAAAGGAGATGACAACAGCGGCCAAAATCGGAGTGGTGCAAGGCGAAGCTGACCAACAAAGCAATGACACCAGGGCAGCCGCAGAGACATGTGCATTGAACAAGCAAAGGCAAAAACATATAGAAACGAGGTATATATTTTTTATATTTACTAGGTGGCCTTTGAGTAGCTGTGATCCCATCCTCTCCCGGGAGGCTACGCTTGAGTTCGCGCAAGTCGCTGTCCTGAGCTTTCACAAGACATAGATGTAAGTCATCCGAAGCTGTTCCTAGCAAGAGGTTCACGTAAGAGTGATAGCATTTGGTAATGCATCGTAAAGTCTAACACAACGTCTTCATCCATACTTACCTTAGGTACCGATGAAGGTCGACATGCAAAACCGCTTCGTCTACTATGCAATCATGGACTGGCATGTGAGTATATATATATAACGATTAGAAAGGTTAGTAGAAAGGTACTCTTGTATCAGTGATTACTACCGGGAATCGCTGGGCACGAGTTTGAAGACTTGAAGATGATCGCAGATGATCTATGGATACATAACAATTCAAGTGGGGTTTTGGCAATGACTTTACAACTGTCACAGCGCATTGCGGACTATGGCACTACGTGCATCAACATATCATATCACCTCTGGGGGATATTCCATTCGGGGAGAAAGGAATCTTAGTCCACGGACCATTTAGACGTCAACAGAATAGTGGCAATTTGAACTCAGCATTGCAACTTCTTTATGGTACCTGCAAATCAAGCCTCTCTCTTCACATGCTTATTTATACTACTTGAAGAATAGGCACTTAGCGTGAAGTAGACACCGTATATTCAATGGAAGTTTCAACGACCAAATTGTTAATGGCGCAAAGCTGTTTTCGGTGATAAGATGCCCAGGCGAACTGACAGCGATAACTCTAAATCCGACACCGCCCGCTTACTGGCTGCTTATAATCTGATATCAGCCCATTGATATCGTGCAATATGAATTAGCTCATTGAATTTAATCACCCAGTATCTGCTCCGTACAGACACGTTTCTAGGGCGAATCTCCACGCCGCTACTATCCGCGCAATGGAGATGGATATCTTATCAGTGGATACTTTGATACAAGATGCCGCGATCCCAGCCAGCTCGACGCAAAAGGCGCGCGCGCGATTCGGCGACGTCCGCCATTTTATCTACGATGACCTACTCAGATGTCTTTCATGAGGAGAATGGCGATTAGGAATACTCCATCTCGACAGGATCTCACAGAAAACGCAAAGTTGCTGCGTGAGATAAGAGCGTTTGGACAGAGCTTATTTATACGACCCACAGCTGGCGGTTCGCACTTGCTTCAGCTATTAGCTAACGGCCGAGGATAAAAGATAGCTGGGAACCCGTTTCCGCTTGCGTCCGTCATCTCCGATATAAGACTTGCATTAAACTCGGATACTGGCTGAGACACGGTGATCCTATACGTAAACACAATGTCTTTGCGGAAACTTGGGGGCTTCGGCCGACAGGCGGCATCATATGCCACAATCGCCTCCTCGAGGGCCTCGATACAGCCGCTTGCGCACCGCCCCGGGTCAAAGGTCCGGTTCGGAGCAGCTGTCCATGGCGTTGGTATCAACAAGATATCTGGTGAGTGCATGGAAATCAAGGCAAAGGGAGAAATTGGAGGAGAAACAGCACCATGCGCATAGGACAATGGAAGAAATGGCTGACACTTGGTGTCTCAGATGCCGACTTTGACATCATCAAAGACGCTCTATACAGACACCAGGTCCTCGTCTTCAAGGCGCAGTATGACGTATCTCCAAAAGCACAATACGAAATCACGCAAAGATTCGATCCCAAAGCGACAGCCTCATACGGCCACGGGAAGACGCTCGACGCAAAACGATCCATCCTGCACCCTGATCTCAAGACGATCCCACACCAGCCACAGGTTCAAGTTATTGGAAATGGCTTCGTAGAGGAGTATGAAGGACTGAAGGATATCCAGCTGCGGCACCCACACCACAAGACGTTCCACGCCACAGTAATCCCTGAAAAGGACGATTTGGACTTTACCCGGTTCTACAGATGGCACATTGATGCGGCGCTGTACGGGCTGGCTCCTCCGGTGGCCACGACGCTCTTCGCGGACCGGGTCCCTCGCGGCCGCACGCAGACGATTCGATACGAGGATACCGGCGAGCAGATGACGGTGCCTCTGGGAACGACGGCGTTCGTGTCGGGCTACACCATGTACGACCTCCTCTCCCACGACGATAAGCAGTTCGTCCTCAACACAAAGGTCGAGTACGCACCGCATCCCTACGTGTGGATGAGTGGCGCAAAGTCCCGCTCGGACGGCCTGGGCCTCATCTCGGAGGGCAAAGAAGTGCCGCTGGACAGGCTCCCCGAAATAGAGCAAGACAAAATCCAGATCCTGCCCATGTGCTGGCGCAACCCGCAGGACGACCGCCTAGCGCTGCAAATCCACCCGTCGGCGATCCGCAAGCTGCACCTGGGCGGCGGCAAAGTCGTCGACGACCTGGAGGAGGTGCGCGAGATCGTCTACCGTCTGCAGCGGCCCGGCATCGCGCCCGAGCTGGTGTACGCGCACGACTGGGAGGAGGGCGATTTCGTCATCTTCCACAACAGGAGCCTGATTCACTCGGTCGTGGGAGCGTTTGCGGAGGACGAGGTGCGCCTCTTTCGTCAGTGCAACATTGCGGGCAGCAGCTTGCCCGAGGGGCCCAGATACTTCTGATTGCCTGAGAGAGAGACGAACTCGTGATGCTGTGCTTGGTTGATTGCAGCGCCGCCATCGGCCAGCCGGCTATGCAGCTCGCGAACGACTGTGATAGAATGTGATGCGACAGGCAGATATTACTGGTCAGGCAACACCCATTTAGCAGAGACAAGACGGACTGGCGGATAGGCAGCAAACGACGCCGCAAGACATGGCCTTCAACCCACCGCCTTTCCCTTACATCAAACGCCTTGATCCTCCCGAAGAACGGAGGCCAAAGGCGCAAGGCGCAACGCCACCACGCATCAGATGTTCAAGTCAAGCCAATTTATGTCATTCAATGTCAAGAATAGCGTTGGAAGATGGGGGGAGAGGGGCAGCAACATGATTGACACAACGCCCGCATAAACGACTTTTGTCCATCATGGGGAAGGTTGTGCTATGGGGTCCATCGTCTTATACAGACCTCCATGCGGCATGGGCCTCGCGTCTGATCGACTTCACCGCAACCGGCGCGGGAATAATCAGGCAAAGGCAGCTTGTTGGGAGGGAATAAGCGACCCTTGGCTTCGGATAAAAAGAATCTCTTGAATCCCACCAGAATCGTGTTCTCATGACCCCTCGGATCTGGGGCCTCAGCGAAGATTCACATCACGAGCCCTTTTCGACCCCCCCGGTGAGGCACCCATTCACGGCCAGCCAGTGGGAAAAAGTGTCCTGTCGGCTCAGCTGCCGACCCTCTGTACATGGTCGGCGGCGCCCTAGCGCCTCTTTTGTTCGCTTTTGCTGCAATAGACGCCGAAAACAGGCGCAGCAGGATGCGAGGTTGATTTGCCCGCGCTAGCGTCCGCTGTCCCGCCTATGCATTGCGCTGTGGGCATTACAGGGCGGTTGGTGGGGGAATTTCCGGGGGGGATTACAGCGGAGGGGTCCTGGAAGCTTGGAGGTGGGTTGCACTGCAGCGATTGATTGAGCGGTGTCGGGGATTTGGTGAAAATTGCACGCGATTAGGCAGGCCATAGACGCGATTGATAACGCATATTCTGGTTTTAGCCAAGCACGACATAAAAATTGAACTTGGACTGTTTTATATCAAGTGCTTATCTTCACACTGACTCACGGGCTGCTTGTAATTTCTTTCCTCTTGTGACTCGAGATCTTTTTTTCCGGGGCAGTGCTTATTACACCGTTCTTTGCCTCCTAAACTCTTTTTCCTTTCTTCTTTTTCTTCGTCTCTTTTTCTTCCTTTTCATCCTTTTGGGCCTCACTTGAAAGCAACTGCTACTCCAAGGCCACTCTTAATGGCGAAAAGGTGACCGTCACGACAGGTCCATCTCGTCCTGGCAGCTGTCTGCTGATCCATCAGTCACCGTGAACATACATACCCCTTTGATTTCGACTTCATCCACAACCGTCCGTCACAATGGCGCCTCCTACTCACGACCCAATCTCCTCCGCCTCCTCCTCAGACCTCACCCTCATGGACCCCGAGCCCATCTCAGAAACGACGCCTCTCATCATCGGCAACAAGTCCACCGACGCCGAACATGGCCGCCGTCCCCCTCCAGGCAAGCCCCTGCCCAAGATGCAAGTCTTTTTGCTCTGCTTCGCAAAGGCCATGGAGCCCATCGCCTTCTTCGCAATCTTCCCCTTCATCGCGCAAATGGTCCAGCGCAACGGCAACCTGCCCGACTCGGACGTCGGCTTCTACAGCGGCCTGATCGAGTCGCTCTTCTCCGCCACGCAGATGGTCGTGCTCTACTTTTGGGGCTACCTGGCCGACACCGTGGGCCGCAAGCCCGTGCTGCTGTGGTCGCTCGTGGGCATGGCCGTGGCGACCTTCTTCTTCACCGTGTCGACGTCCATCTGGCAGATGATTGTGTTCCGGTGCGTGGCCGGCGTGTTTAGTGGTTCTGGGCTGGTGATCCGCACGATGCTGTCGGACCACACGACGGCGGAGACGCAGGCCGTGGCGTTTAGCTGGTTTGCGTTTGCCAACAACGTGGGCATCTTCCTGGGGCCCATTATTGGCGGCACGCTGGCCGACCCGGCAGAGCAGTTCCCGGGCGTCTTTGGGGGCATCAAGCTGCTGGAGGACTATCCCTACATCCTGGCCGGCGCGGCCATCACCGCCTGCAGCGTCGTCAGCATCATCCTGTCGGTGCTCTATCTCGAAGAGACCCTCGAGCCCGAGTCAAGCACCACCACCGCTGGAGTCTCCGCGCCAGCTCGCCCCCAGCGCCTGTCCACCTTTGAGCTCCTCAAGGCCCCCGGCGTCGCCATCGTCATCTGGGTCTACACCCATGTCATGTTCCTCGCCTTTGCCTTCACCGCCATCCTGCCCGTGCTGCTCTTCACGCCCATCGACCTCGGCGGCGTCAACTTCTCGCCCTTCCGCATCTCCGTCTGGATGGCCATCCAGGGCGCCAGCCAGGCCACCTGGCTCATTGTCGCCTTCCCCATGCTGCAGCGCCGCCTCGGCACAAAGGGCTCGCTGTCTGCCTGCGTCGCCGTCTACCCGCTCTTCTTCGCGGGCTACGTCGTCATGAACATGCTCCTCCGCTTTGGCACCGAGTCCACCGTTGCGATATTCTGGGTCGTCGCCTTCATCGTCGCCTTTATCGGCCCTGGTGTGTCCATGGCCTTTACAGCGGTTCAGCTCGCTCTCAATGATGTTTCTCCCAACCCGCATGTCATGGGCACTCTCAACGCCCTGGCCATGACCGCCGCTAGTGCCATCCGGTCGTTTGTGCCTGGCGTTTCGACGGCGATATTTGCCATTGGCGTGCGGAACCAGATCCTCTGGGGCCATCTGGTGTGGGCGATTCTCATTCCCATTGCCATGACTCTGTCTATATTCGTGAGATGGCTTCCGGAAGATAAGCAGTCGCATAAGCTTCCCCAGAACGAAGATGAGGAGTAGAATCCAAAATAAGGTGTGGTTTTTTTGAACAAAGAGCTTTGTTAATTCCGTTTAGCATATAAAAAGAGTGCAGAAAGAGGGGAGTGATTGAAGATTTCGCATGAAGAAGAATGCTGCTGCTACATATCATACACTTTCACAGCTATAGGCATAAAGGGCGCAAATCACGGGTTAAAGTTGCACGTGGACGTTACGGACAGGCTATGCATCTGCATAGAAAGCATTTGGATTCAAGTTGAATTGCTTTTGAGTTACATGTACATAGGCACAAATATATATAAGCAAAATCATTATGATCTTATAAAAACCAACTTTTCCTCGCTGTCAACACTAGCCGCAACTTCGCCTCAAGGTACCTACTACTATCACATGACAAGTATAAGGCATTAAGTGGCACAGAGAAACGAGATTATGAGAGAGAAAGTAAAGATTTTCTAGAATATATATGTGATATGATTAAAGAACCATGTAACGAGCGAAAGAAGAAAATAGATATCCAGTTTTCCTCCCTTCCAATCCCCATTACATGAGCTGAAACGTAAAAGCAAAAGTTGTGCATGACGCCGTGCTACCGTGATATAATTCCTTTTGAGAGACACAAAAACCCTGTATATGTAAAATGCTTGATAAAAAACCCAACGTTGAAAAAGAAAAACAATCAGTTTTGAAAAAGAAGAAAAAAAAAAATCTCTCAAAATAGATGTCAGTCTGGTTCTTTTTGTTTTGCTCTTGTGAGCGAGTGTTGCGATGTGAGATGAGGCAGACACTGCTTTCTTCATATAGCCTCATCTCTTTCTTCATCTTCATCCTCGTACACCCGCAAGGCAAACAGTTCATCTTCAACTTCTCCATGCCTCCTACATCTCGAGTGAATACAACAACAGCGCGTGTTTAATCAGTCTTGACGTTTTCCTCGTCTCCAAGCTGGTCTCCCCTCCATCGCTTCCACTCAAACATCTTCCTAGGCTTGGCCTTGATGGCCTCTTGCAACTTGGACTCGCTTCGCTCCATCCAGGCATCAGCACTGGCAGAGCTGTAGGGATATAGGGGAGTGTTTTCGGGGTGGAAGAAGAAGTCATCGGACTGGAAGGTGCTGTGCGAGGTAATAATGTCCATATCGGCGGCAATCTGCTCGCAGTAGCTGTCCAAGGGAAGATCGTTGACGTCGTGTCCAAAGGGGTTCTCAATTTCCTGGCCAATGAAGAGAAGGCCGAGAATGATGTACGAAGCGACAGTCGTGGCAGGAATGGTGATGTAGTCGAGCACGTTGACCATCTGGAATGGAAGCAAGATGACGTAGAGCCATGTGATTTGCTGAAACAGAATTCCGTAGGCGATGGGGAGAGGGGTGGTCAAAACACGCTGGCAACCGGTGTAGGCATCGTTGAGGGCAGAAAGATTGTTGTAGGCCATGGTTTGTTGCATGGGCACGGGAAGCTGGCCTCGAGCAATCAGGTTGTCGATGGTAACGGCAAGATGGTTGATGATCTCGAGCGGCAGGTTGCCCACGGGCTTCTCCGCGCGCTTGAGCAGCTTGCGAGGGTTGCTGGCGGCGAAGGAGAGGCCCAGGTAGTCACCGACAGACTTGAAGAGGCTGTGCCTTCCAACACCGCCATTGACAGGCATAGTGGCGGTGGCAGACTTTGCAAAGGTATCCAGATGACCAACGAGATGCTCGATATCCGGGTACGAGGTGTAGGGCTCGAAGCGCAGGCTGTGCTTGAGGGAAATGGCAAAAGCAACCACCAGGTTCATGGCGCTGATCTTGCACAGCATCTGCTTGCGCATATCAACGTCCGGCAGGTTCTTGGTGTGAATCCAGAAGATTCGTCCAAGGGTCTGCGATGATGTAACCAGGGAGGCGAAGAATCGTCGACCTTCGGCATAGCGTTCATATGCCGTGGAACCTCGGAAGCTGAGACCCGTGGAGACGACGAAACCAAGAACCGTCAAGAGGATGGAGTTGACACCAATATGGTGAACCTTTTCGTGGATGAGAGTGATGCATGTACTCCAGAGGCTCATCCAGATCAGAGGCACAATCATCTTGGGCATGATGCTGCCGTGCATCTGCATGAAGAGAGGCCATTTGGAGTGCTTGGACATATCACGAGGACCGGCGAAGTAGTCCTCGATATTCAGCGTGTGCCTCCGACTGAGAGCCACCGGGGGGGCCGCCCTTGAGCCCGGGACATTTGTCGTCTCTTGCTCAAGAGGGATCTCCAGGCTATTTTCGGGGCGCTTCTCATTGTGCTGAGCTGGTTGGTCAACGACAGTGGTGACCTCTGTCGGCACGTAGGCGTCGCCGTCCGACATGGCTGCGGTCGATCTCAACGGTGTTGATGGAAGTAGATGCTAGTCGTGATGATGGTTGAACGGCAAAAAGCGAGATTGGGTTCAGTTCTGGCGAGAAAAGGATCTGCTCGCGTGTCCCCGTCCAGATAGCAGGGAAGTGACCAAAGAGTGAATTAAGCTTGAAGAGATGCAACAACAAGCGAGCAACAATTGGGATCAGCGGTACAGGGAAAAGGAAAATCTAACCACGGTGATGCGCACACAGAAATACACAAACAAACAAAGAAAAAGGGAAGGGGAATGGGAAGGATAAGAGGGGGTAAGAAAGAGAGGTTGGATAAGTAATAAAGAAAAGGAGAGGCGAGGCAAAAAAAGAAACGAAGAAAAGAGCCGGCGGTAGATGCTGAAAGTGTCGATGGACGAGGTGCGTCTACGTACAGGTACCGGTACAGGTACAAGCTACGGGCCAGGGGCCAGGTTCAGGCTCAGGTTCGGGTCCATGCGCTAGAGCTTGTTCTAGCTCAGAACCAAGAATTCCACGAGGCAATCAGCGGCGCCTGTAGGGCAGACGCTGAGGTCCCTGGAGCGCCACGTCGTTAGTGAAGGATCTAGCGCTGTTGCTGCGCTGCAACGCCTTCCGTGGAGGCCAAAGCCTGAGCTGACTTTATTCACTGAGGCTCTTTTTTGACAATGAGCTGATTCAGCCAGGTCATGGTTCTTGTGCATGCTGTCTGGTCCTTTCTCAGTCTGCTCTTTCTTAGTCTGCACCTTCTCTTTCTTCCCTTTTTCATCAATGGTTTCGCCTCTACAAACCTCACCATCTCCACGTCTCAACTCGTTTGCGCTGAGCTTCTCCTTGTTCCGTTATGCCTCCCCTTGCCCCTGTTTCTTCTTCTGCAAACATCTGCAAGTGGGCGTCTCCATAGCATGTGCGCCGCGGCATCCAATTCGTCGGCCTAAATGGTGGGTTCCATCGACGCCTGTCGTCTGAAACAAGCGGTTTCCAGGAGGCTGCTTACATACATACATCCAGCCCGGGCCTCGTGAGGGAGTACTTGGGCGCTCGCATCTGCAGGTATCGCCTCTCATTGTTTTCGTGGGGCGGATACGCGGCAAGGGGAAGGCCTGAAGTCGCTGACATGCAGCAGGTGCATGACCGTCTCGTCATCTCCAAGACCCTCTATGGGGCCATGCATGCTGTGCTACGCCACCGACCGCCACGGGGCCCCAAACTGGACATGATTTTCGACAAGAGTTCAAGACAAGAGACAGCGGGCGTGTGGGATGTTGCAGCTCCAGAAACTCGATCAACACAGCCAAGGTCAGGAATGCGGCCCGCTGAGGCCTGCCCTGGCGGACGGTCTACAATACAATCCACTTGCAGTTTTCAGCCCTGGGCCACAGGCCACCAAAACGGTTATACTAGAGAAGCTTGGAAGCTCTCCGAGGCGCCCATTGTTGCAATCTCTTTAGCCGTCCAAGCCTGGTCCAATACGAGGCGGCCGTTGTATTCCTAGCCAACGGAGCCGTCCAGCCAGCTGCAATATCACCCGAACGGGGACCCCTTCGCCCAGCTTAGCTGCTGCTTAGGGCGTGAGCTACGATCAGAACTCACTAAACTTGTCGCCTCCGCCGGCACTCATAGCCGCCTTTCACCAGTGTGCTAGTTGACCTCTGTCATGTTGGCACCCCGTTGGCCGAGGAATCAAGTGCTTAGCGTCAGCGCCTACTCTGCAGCAAGTCGCTAAAAAAAGTTTTCAGGCACAGAGGGCTGCCAAGGCCTGCCCAGAACAAGATTCGTAACGACTAATACAGTATCCGGCTGCGAGAGGCTTCCATCACGGAGACTGGTGGGTCAGGAGAAGCCGTGTGCTCGAGCCATCAATTTTGAAAATCGTATTCATTGGAGCCTTGAGCCAAGCTTTGAAAGTCAGAGCCAAGTGCAATTAAGCATCAACCGTTCGCAAATTGCCGTCCTAGCTCGCGCGGAAGAGCACAGCCTGCCAAGCCCTGCAGATGCAACCCAAGAGACTGCAAACTTTTTCTACCATCAGGTTTTAGCATGAGAATCGTTGCTAACACTGGTGCTAGCAGCGGTAATGCATGCCTATCGACGGGGGCACTCCGAAAATTCTTACGCCAAGGATCTTGTACTGGTACGAGGCCGTACCAACCACCAAGGATTTGCGTGCATGGAGGCTCAAGTAAGGGGCCAATAACTCTTATTTTCCTTTGCCCGCACGGCCTGGCTTGATCGCGATTCCCTCCGCATCGAATCGTACCAGTGAGACGATCCTTGAGAGGAAAATGTGACATCCTACGCAGGGAGTCGGAGCCCATGGTCCCCAATGTTCGCCATGCAGCCCTTTCTGGGGCATTAGCACACGACCTCTGTTTGTCGCGTTGCATTTCTTCCACGGAAGCAGTGCACTGTGTTCATATTGCTAAACCCCGCCACGGGCCGTTTCGTTGGCTAACCAGTGTGGCCGTGTTGATCCTCAAATTTAGCATCAAGGCGAAGCTTTTTTGTCCTGTTATTTCTGATTAGCAGTGCCAATCTTCTTAGCTTCAGACGATTAGTTTTTATGAGCCGCGATTTCCTAAACTTGGCACCATCTGCTCGAAATCGGCGTCCCACCCCTTAGCCAACTGTATCTAAAAATACACGCTGCAGCTTGAAGCGAGCAAGTATGACTCAGCGCCGATAGAAGGCAGCAGCTAGTAACTGAGAATTGAGGCTCAACTGGAGAGCTAGGGACATTGTCTCCCCCTTTTTTGAAGCTACTGGCCGTATGGAGTAAGGCAGCTTCCCGACTATAGGTCCGACCGACGAGGAAAAGATTAGAAACTTTTGCAATAGTTCATTATCCAGGAGCAGCCTATGCAGTAGAAGCTAGATTCAGCAAGGCTCATGTCTCTAGTAGTGCCGGTTAAGCGTTGCTTGTCACTAGTCGTGTCTATGGGTGAGACAACTAACTGTCCGGGACTGCATGTCTGAGATAAGTTCGACAACACAGGTTCACTATATATAGAATCGGCTGAAAACAATGCGCATAGTAAGAGCAGATGGCGGATGATGTAGCAGTATATGAAGCTTGCCTTGTCAACTAAGTTTGTAAAATGCAGCCGTTATAGCCTAGCTCCATTAACACATGTTTAAGAACTCCATGTTATACTTTCAATATAAAAATTACTACCTCTTGTTATTCTATTTAGTTTTATTAACTATACCTTGCCTAAGTAATTGCAGATTTCTAGCTACCCCCTCTAGGGCTACCCCTCCGGCTAGGATTCGCACAGCTTTAGTTTCACAGCAATGTTAACCCTCCCCAAGGCAACCAAGTATTGATAAGTATTTAACCAATCAGTAGTTCGCATGATGTCAAGTTCTCCGCTGCGGCACCTATTTTTGTTTTTCACGGCATTCTTAATCCTCACTAAAGCCATATTGAAGCTCAGCCTTGTTCAAGAATGCTATTTGGTAAGAAAGCCAGGTCACCATGCTTCTTTTTCTTTTTCTCAGAGTACATGATAGCGCCTTTTATAGAGTTGGAAAGCTGTTATAGCCAATCCCATAGCGCAGATAACACAACCAACAAATGTGTCGCAGCATTTGAGAGACTTGGTTCCTCTATTCGATCTACAGCTCGCGATGGGGCGCTATATCCGTCTATTATATGCGCAACCGGCAAGAAATCGTTATTCTTGCTCTCTTACCAATTCTTCTAGATGTCTATATCAAGTATCCTTCTCTTGATGGTTCCATCACGGTGGTAGCTTCCGAAAGTGTCCAGTACAGCTGTATGTCTTCCCCAATAAGCCTCTGGGCTGCACGGAATCTCAAGAATCTCATTTCACTCGATGAGCGGACACAGATACAACATTCTACCTATAAACGATATGCTATTACAAAGAATTACGTATACACGTATACAATTCGCGAAACGCATAGTCGTCTAGATCGCGGCGGGATCTGTAAGTGCCACTTCGGAACTTTCCGTCACCCCCTCATCTGTAATGATAGAGCTCTTGCTTTGTGCGCAAAGTTTGGGGTTGTCGACTGGCCTACTCATGATTAATCCAGCTAAGAAAAAGGCTTTCTCCTCTTTTTGTAGCCTTGTGAGATTCGCGATCTCATCCGAGTCATGGAAGATACCGAGAGATGCTCCTCCTTGTTAACATTGAGGTTTGGAGCCAGTGTTCTTGGATAAGCATTCTTTTCTTCTTCTTTTGGTTTCAACTAGGCTTTGGATGCTTCAGTCCGGATATTATGAGTTTATTTAGAGAAGCGTTTATGAAGCAGACATGCAGTTTCGTGCGAAGTTGTTTGATGGACGGGGTTCGTAAGTTTTAACCTGTAGGTCGCTCATGAATGGCCTAGGTTCTTGGCTGAGAGCTTGTCGCGAGGCGTTAGGTAAGCATGATAGAGAATAGACATCCTTGCTTTTCATTATCGTGTTCTCTGGTACTAAACAAAAGAACGAATGAGACATTGATCTCAACACCACATGTGCCCAATCGCATGACATTCTGGAAAACAGCAGCTTCCTTTCGGCCAAAAGCTTAACCCATATCGGAGATAGTAACGAGCTAGCCAATCCAACGCCTAATCTGAGCTTGGCCCCATAAGCCGAGGCGTAATTTGTCAGCTACCAAATTCGGACTTTTATCCGCAAAGGCATCTTAACGCCCAGGGAACGCCGTAAGTGGCAATTCCTTGTAAACATTAGGAAGAGTATTGTAAGACTTATCGCCTATAACTGGGCGAACTTGCGGCGTTGAGCGGACTTATTGCGGACATATAGTGTATGCAATTATACCGCCGTGGCAGTGTACGCTGACGTGTGATCACTATACTCAAGCTATATCACGGCTTTTGATGGAAGTAGAATCCAATATCTACAATGCTATCAAAGGACAATTTGTATTTTGTTTTGTTCGTTCAAATATCAATATGAACTATATGTCACAGAAGTATAGATAGAAGCTCTTCCCAGGCCATAGTCATTTCTACTACACAT